CCCATTTAGCTCCAATAACCTTTATTGATTTCTTATCCTTGATAATCTCTGCAACATCAACATACAAATCTAGGTACCCTTTAATTATATTTTGGGTCCTTAAGAAGGTTAGTAGAATCACAAGTCTCTGCCAAATGACTAAGGATAAAAGAATATAACCATGATATAATAATCGATTTTCACAACACCTTCAGAATCAACATAATTGATTATAACAACAAGAAATTTTTTTCTGAAAATTCATAATCTATTAAATGTTTAAACTATCATCTAGACATTATAAATGTTTTGTATGTTGGTTTTCTTTGAAGAGGTCTAAATGAATTTTTTAAAGTTCTTAAAACTGGTTTCACATTTGTTTTCCTTGACTCTTTCACAAAAATAGTTTGATGAGGTTCTAAACTTTCTTTGGGTTTATAACCAAGTCCAGCTTTGCTAGAATTCCCTCTTTGATAACCTAATATAGAATCAAGATTTTCAGAAGATTTTGAAAACTTGCTTATTATTTTCTCTAACTTGAAAATCTCATTTTCCAAATGATTACAATTTTCACAAGGTTTAACAACTTCTTTATTTTTAGACAAAGTTTTAAATTTCTCATCATCTTTATTTAAGCACTCATTTTCTTTTTCAAGAATACCAACAGTATTTTCTAATGCATTAAACTTTTGTCTAAGTGCATTGTATTTCTTAGATAACTTGGTAAAACCTTCACACATATCTTGATATTCTTTAAACAACTCATCATATTCATTTAAGGATTTTGTACTGCTTACCTGTGATGAGTTTTCTTGTGATGAGGCTTCATCATCACTTTTTGCCATAAAGCAAATATTTGCTTCTTTTTCTTCATCACTGCTTTCGGAAGAACTCTCTTGTATTGTGGAAGAATCATTATCCTCCCAAGCAATATAAGTTTTGTGTTTGTTATTATAGATATCGTTCTTCTCTTTCTTCACATCTTTCTTTCTTTTCTTAAGTTCCGGACAGTCTAGTTTGATATGGTCAGGTTTTCCACATTCATAGCAATGGTATTTATTTGTTTTCTCCTTTCTTTGTTATCTATTTTTCCTGTTTTTCATAAAGCGAGAAAATTGTTTAACAAAAAGAGACATATCAGAATCTGAAAACTTACCTTCATTTTTGTTTTCATCTTGTGAAGATTTTTCTGTTTTTAGAGTTATCGTCTTGGTTTAATTTTGTTCACCGTTCTTTAACCTTTATAGCTTCATCTCATATTCTTGCAGTTTTTCAAATAGAGTAGCAATATTCATTTCTGTGAGATCCTTTGATTCTGTAATAGCAGTGATCTTTGGTTGTCAATTCTTGTCTAAGGATTTCAAGATCTTTGTGTTCAACTCCTCATTGTCAAAACTCTTTCCTAATGCTTTCAAGTGATTTACTATATGTGTGAAGCGTGTCTGGAAATCCATGATGTTTTCATTCTGCTGCATTTGAAACAATTCATACTATTGGATGAGTGTGTTCTTACGTGCTCTCTTTACATCATTTATTCCTTCATGTGTTACTTTAAAAATGTTCCATATTTCTTTTGTCGTCTTGCATTGTGAGACCTTGAAAAATTCATTACGAGTTAAGGCAGAAACAATAGCATATCGGGCTCTTACATCATAATGGGCACGCTTTTTTTCATTCAGCGTCCATTGGTCAAAAGTCTTTAGAACAACTCCAAATTCCGTTGTTCTCATCGGAATGTAGGGACTATTGAGTACAACATCTCAAACGTTGTAATCTAGTGTTTGTAAGAATATTTTCATTCTCGTTTTCCAAAACTGATAGTCTTCTCCTTCAAATAGTGGTGGTCTGTTTATTGAAGTTTCTTCCTTGTAAACTTGATTATGCATAGACATCTTGACAGATTGTTTAGAAATATCTTGTCTAACCAAGTTCTGATACCACTTGTTAGACAAATGACATCTAGAGGGGGTGAATAGATGCACAAATTAAAATAGATGTCAAATTAAAAATTTATTTTAAGATGTTCAATATTTATTAATTCAATTTTAATTATCAAATTGAACAAAGATAAAGCGGAAGCGATATAAGCAGAGAGATGAAATATCAACAAGATAGAGAAAGATAGAGGTAAAAATAAGGGGTGTAAGGAGAGGAATGCAGTGAAAAAAGAGATAAGGGAAAGAGAAGAACACATAGTGTTTTATACTGGTTCGGGTATAGTCAACCCTACATCCAGTTCTCAGTCAACTCTTAACACAAGAGTGACCCCAATTCACTATCTTTTAAATTCAGTTCACAAATTACAATAAACTCAACAAAAAGCAAATTAATTAAAAGACAATCACCTTCTTAGAAACTCACTAAGGATGAACACCTCCCTAGAATTCCACTAGGGATGAACACCTCCTCTGAACAAATCAAATGATGAATACACCTCCTTAGAATCTCACTAAGGATGAACACCTTCCTAGAATCTTACTAGGGATGAACACCTCCTCTGAACAAATCAAAGGATGAAAACACCTTCCTAAACAAATCAAAGGGATGAACAATTTCCACACAGAAAACCAAAAAAAAAAAAATACAACAGAATGGCAGTGACTACTTAAACCCTAAATAGGGAATTTAACAATCAACCACTTAAGCTCACAAAGGATAAAGGTAATACAATAAGAACAGTCACACCTAGGTAATGGAAACAACAAATTGTAGAAGCCTGTAGAATGTCAACCTCCAAGAACAAGTGTGATTAACAATGAAAGCACAGTAGGCAATGAAGAAGAGGGTTTTGGTAAAATATATCTCCATATCCATTATTCTAAAACTCTATCTAGTCTTTAGAAATCATCTTTGGTTTGTTTGAATCTTGAATAGAATCTTTATCAAATCATATATTGGGCTTGATTGAGTCTTGAATGTTGTTGACTTGAATCATCATCAAAATCATCTCTATGTAGGGACTTGTTTCACATTCCCATGAATCTCTCTGTCATTGTTTTCACTTACATATGCCAATTTTACATCAATATTAACACAATCACTTAATAAATAATGGATCAATCAAAAGATACAAATAAATTATAAAGACCAAAAACAAAAAAAATTATAAAAAATAAAAAAGAATTGAGTTAAAAAATTATTAAGGAACAAAAAGTAATAAAGAAAGGAAATATAGTTTTACTGAATTGTTGATGTGTCACAAAATAGATAGTTCATCACTTACAAATTTTATGAAGGGCAAGAATGGGAGGAAAAAAATTAAAATCACAAAATTTGTTGATTTATAAGGATTAAAATAATTATTTAAATAAAAAATAATATTTTAGTTAGTCTTTGATTGTCTATTTAAATAATTTAATCCATTTAATATTTATTTATATTCATATGCATATTTATATTTGGGTAAATCTTTTTATTTTTAAAATATTTTTTAAATAAATAACTAAATATGAAAAATAAAATATAAAAGTATTTATGTATATTACACTTGGAAATAAAATAACTAAATAACTTTTTAATAAAAGTTAAAATAGATTTGTAATTTATCTGTTACAATATTACACTAAATTTCATTATTTATTTCTTCTCTTGATAGATTTCATTTATAATGATTTAATCCAAACAATATAAATAAAAGAGTGAACAATATATTTTATAATTATTATAAATCCATATAAAAAAAAGTCAAGAATAACTAAATAAGAACAAATATTATCTTATAATCACATATTTTATATGTATATATATGGTGCCTCATAATATGTTCGTTTTTTTTTTCTAGTATAAATTATTATTATATTATCCCTAATTCATGATATGTTTTCTATTTTTCTAAGTGATAGTATCTCTTCTTGTACTTAATAAAACATCCTCTTATTTAACAAAAATAAAATTTTAGAGGAAACGTATTATAAAACTTATACAAATTAATAATTTTATTAAATTTTTATTCCAAAAATATTTATAAAAGGATTTTTACCATAAACATATTCAGATTAACTTACATATAAGTTAACAAAAATAAAATTTGAAGAAACAATAGAATAAAACTTGAAAAATCTTATGTTTTTTCTCCAAAAAGTATTATCCAGTTAAATTAAAACTGCAAATTAACTTTTATCCCACTGTGAGAGATCAACACTCTAAAGTTCCATTTAGTTTATGAGGAAAGTTCTACAAAATTATGATAAAAAAAAAACTATGAAAACACATAAAATGAAGACTTTATTTTTTTCTAATTACAGATAAAAGTCAGTGTTCATAATTTGTCAGAACGTCACAGGCTGCCACTCAACGGTGGCAGCCCAATCCAAAGAGTGGAAGAGGACAAGAAAGCGTCTAATAACATTCTTGTGCGTGTCAATAAGGCTGTGAAGGTTGCTATAGCGAGATCGAGAAAGAGAGACGAGACGATGAGATGCATAAGAACAAAAATATGAGGCCCGAAATCGTTAGCCTTACATTCTCTTAGGTGCGTGTGTACAAGGCCAGCCCAGGCTTTGGCTTACCTTATCCTATCCTTACTCTCTTTGTTTTTCTATCTCTCCCTCAGCTCACCTTTTTCCTTGTGTCCCCCCAACTACTCTTTCTCTTCGTTCTTACTTCCCCAACCATCTCTCTTTTCTTCCCCACCTATGTCCCTAAAACTTTCTTAGCTCATTCATTTTCTCACTATCAATCTTCTTCTTCCATTCAAACTGCAGTGTTTAATTTTCTTGAAGCATCTAACTCCTATTTTCGTATTTACTATTATTTTTATCACTACATAATAATATTTTTTTTTCCTCTCATTTTGCTTGTTGATAAATGCTTGCTGTTTTCTTTGTTTTAAAATAAAGAAAATTCAAGAGCTGAAGGACGGAAATTCTATTTCGTCGCAGTTCACATGCAGAGATATTAATAGTATATTCGATGAATTCAACTATTGTTTCTTAGTAATTTCCGTCAAGAGATGCCAGCGCTAGTCAAGTTATAAATTCCGTGTAGTTATCAATTGATCAACTGGTTTTGGTTCAAGTGCAATGGCTCCCAAAACTGGAAAAACTAAACCGCACAAGGTCAAGGGAGAGAAGAAGAAAAAGGAAGAGAAAGGTTAATTCGTAATCTACCTCTTCTCTATGCGGTTATGCTTGTTACTCACAAATACAACTGAATCATTTTTCCGTGGTTTTGAATTGTAACGGAAAGTTTTTGTGTGGTTGTCCAGTTTTAACGAGTGCAGCATATGATTTATTTATTTACTTTTTTCTTTATGCTGTTGCATTACCATTTACGTGTTAAGAAAATTGAAACTCACACGCTTCGTTTTGTGGTCAAATGCATTCATTACTTATCTTAATCCCATTGGTTCGTGAAATTCTTCGCCTTATCCTTTGGAAATTGCTCCTAATTTAAATTACATTACCCTCTGCAGTGTTGCCAACCGTCATTGAAATTACAGTCGAAACACCGGACGAATCGCAGGTTACTCTCAAGGTACTGATACAGAATAATTTTTTTTTTTTTACTGGTAATTAATCATTTATTTTTTCAAAATAAATAATTATTTATTTTTAAATGTTAAAACAATGTAAACTATTTGTTTTCAAAAGTTTTTTTTATCCTATTTGAGTGTCAATTCAATAAAACTTTACAAGTTGAAATACTTCTTCCTTACACTTCATCGATCTCTTGACAGTGATTATGTTTATTTTTTCGATATATATATATATATATATATATATATATATATATATATATATATATATATATATATATATATATTTGTATTTGACCTCATAAATGATGTTTTAAAAATATTAAAATCTGATATTGACCAATTTAATGTGTCTTGGACTTTTCAGTATTTGCAAATTTAATTTAAAAACTTTGCAATATTTTGGAAAGTTATAACTTAACCATTTAATTTTCTAAAAAAAAATTGTAAATAACTTTCAAAAGATGAAGTATTTTTTCATGTTTAATATGACGACTAGAAGAGATAAATGTTGTGTGTTTACATTTAAATTATTTAAAAAATATATTTGTATATCTTAATTTTTAAGCAACATTTTTACATAACATCAAAATTATTTCATATAATATATATATATATATATATATATATATATATAATATTGTTAATTTATTTTTTAATAACAACTTCTTGCATTTGTTGCGAGACAGGGCATATCCACGGATAGGATCCTAGACGTAAGAAAGCTTTTGGCTGTACATATCGAGACTTGCCATTTGACCCATTTTTCCTTATCTCACGAGGTAAATTTTTTCTGTAATGGTTTAATATGCTTTTAATTTTATTTTATTTTTAAATGTCAATATTAATTGTTTTAAATTGCTGATTTTATAAACATTTTTTTATTCACACTTTACAAAAATTTATTCAGTAAAAAATAATTTATTCTACAAAATTAATTAAAAACTGTTTAAGAATAAAAAAATAAAATAAAATAACCTATGTTTAGCTTTTTAGGCCTGCGTTTATTTCATTGTAATTATGGTAAATCACTTATAAACAAATTCAAATGCTGTCTAGTTAAAAAAATAACTGTTTTCATGCTATTGAAAACAGAGAAAAATGATATCTAATATTTTTTTATTTTTATGTTGCCATCCATTTATGAATTGATGTGTATGGAACATTTTTAGTTTTTTATTTAAATATATCTAATTTTCCTAAAAAATATTTGCATTTGATTATTTTTATTCGGTTCTTCAATCTGATACATTATTTTTGTAACATTTACTTATATTAAATTAGATAAATTTTTTCTAAAAAATAAATTTAGGTATATTTTAGTTCAAAATTAAGATCAAACATGCAGGAGTAGGACGTGTAGACATTAATGGTGCCTTACCACTTTCCACTTTGCAAATAACCAGTCAAGGCAGTGGTGGTGGTGGGTGGGCAGTTTTTGTCCCTCTTTGCATACATTCCTCGTGCTTATACAAGTTGTTTGGTGTGTGGTACAGTATATATATATATATATTATAAAAACATATATTTTTATAATTGATTTTACTAAATTTTTAATTAAATTAAAATAATTTTAATATTCAATAAAATATTTAGTTATATGATTTTTTATTTAAAATTAATTTCATAATTTTTCTATAAAAAATAATTATCACAAACTTAAAAGGAGATATAATTCTCTTACACTACCATATCTTTCTATTTATCCACCTAATTTATTCAAAATAATTTGTAAAAAAATATTTTTAAAAAAACTGAATATAAAAATACATAGACATGATACTCTCCATCATATACACGCCCACTCATCAGTTTTTATAGACAAATAAATATTTATAGATTAATAAGAATTTGATTTTCATAAATTTTTAAATTTATTTATTAACTGTTGTATTAAAATACTTTATTTTATTTTTAAATTATCAAAATTATAAAAAATATTTTTTATTTTATTTTTCTCTATTTATTAATATAAACGTTTTTATCACGAACTAAATTCATTATTATAAAAAAATTTTAAATCATTCTCTAACTTTTGTTAATATTTTTTCTTTAATACTTTTTATGCTTATCTATATTATTTTTTTATTGAAAATAATTTTTTAAAATATAATTATTAAATTAGTTTTTTTTTCAAATTATTTAAATAAAAATAAAAAACTAATTCACACAATTATTAAATCGTTATATATATATATATATATATATATATATATATATTAAATAAGATATGGATTTAAACATTATAAAAATATTAATTATTGATATAGGATTTTTTTTCAATTATTTTTCTTTTTTATTACAGGAAACTACATTTATCGGGAGTGTGAATATAGAATAATATTTTTATTATATAATAAGAAAGTATTATTTAGGAAGTATTCTATCGAGTCCAAATATTTTTCGAAAAGTATTTAAAAAAAAATTGAATGATTTTTATCATCTAATAAAAAAATATTAAATATCATAATTAGATTTACTTGTACAAAAGTTATTTATAAATCATGCATATTATAATGTGATTATTTAACAATTTTATACTGAAATATCTTTAAATCAAAAGAGAAATTTATGTAATTTTAAAAAAATAGTAGTATATTTTACTCAACTTTTTCCATGAAAAATATGTAACTATAAAACTCATAAATTAATAATATAAAAAAAATGCGATTCAATTATTGAAGATGCTAATTAACATTACTGATAATATTTAATTAATAATAAACGAATATCTTATTTTATTTAAATAATAGAAATTTGTAATTTACCAAATTACCGTTATTGAGAGAATCTAGTTCCTTATTTGAACACGCGCGAATTCATTTGACCCCGCCACTGCAGTTCTCTTCGAAGAAAATAAAATAAATAATAATAACGGCTAACGGAATAAGTTGAACAGGTGCGGGGCGCGAGACTGAAAGACACGGTGGAAATCGTTTCCCTGAAACCCTGCCATCTAACCATCGTCCAAGGTAGGAAGAACACTAAACTTGAATCCTCCGTAGAAGAGTATCACTGCCCACTCACAGTTATGCGTTTCTTTTATCAGAAGACTACACAGAAGAGCTCGCCATCGCGCACATTCGGCGACTCCTTGACATTGTGGCTTGCGCCACCTCCTTTGCCGCCTCCACCTCAAAACCCCCTGCTGGCAAGTCTAAAGACCCCACCGATTTGGGTTCAGAAAATGGATTGGAAACAAGCCCGAAACCCAAACTCGTGGATCCGAATTCGGACTTGGGCAATGCCAAAACCGACAAAGTGGACGGTGACATCTCCATGTGTCCACCTCCCAGACTCGGACAGTTCTACGATTTCTTTTCGTTTTCGCACCTTACGCCACCATTTCAATGTTAGTCATATACATAGTTTTAATTCAATTGCTGTGGAAATCTATGTTGAGTTTAATTTTAAAGCTTTTAGTGTAATTTTTTTTCTTTCCTCTGTAAACGTGACTTTAGAACTAGTTGTTTTGAGTGATAGTATATATTATATGCATATTTAAATTCAATCCATTTATGTTTTTGGTTACTTTCCTTTGCTTTGGTGAAATCATCTATTTATGAGAAAACAATAGGGTAAAATTTGTAACTTCTAACTCTAAGCATGCAGTTGGATTATTATTTTCTTTATGTATTTTGTTTTAGTGATGAATGATCTTTTGCTCAACAAACTAGAAACATGCTGTTGTCCCAAGCTGCAAGCTTCAACAACTTTACTAACGTGTATATTTTGTGTTAAATACTGCTTCCTCTTGGATGGATTTGTTACACAACAATTAGATACATGAATAATGGTTTGTGTATGTGGATTTTAGTTAAGTTCGATATTATTCGAATTAGTTAAGCATTATGAATGCTTGATGGTAGATTGAACCGGAAACCTTGTTTAATGGATGTTATTTTGGTTTTTATGCAGACATACGGAGATCAAATAGACCTTTCCTTGAGGATAAAACAGAAGATGATTTCTTTCAGATTGATGTGAGATTTATTGTTTTGCTTATTTTTGCATCCTGTTTTCTAAAATTTTTTAACCCAAAAGGAATTTCCACATCCACTGTTGGTGAATGTGATATACCTTGGGAAGGAAGAGAGATAAATTAATAGTAGATGTGATAGGTAATGTTAAAAGGAGGAGATAGGAGAGGGACCTGTAAGGCTAGTGTAAATCTGAGTTGTGACAAAATCAAGGTTGATGCCATACATCGTTTTGCTCCTTTCTCTTGAATAAGTTGTAGCAAATAATCTATCTTTGATGTGACATTGTTGTGCATTTAACATATGCAGGTTAGGTTTTGTAGTGGAAAACCAACTACAATTGTTGCTTCTAGAATGGGATTCTATCCTGCTGGAAAACGTCCACTTGTGAGTCATACAATGGTGGGTCTCCTTCAGCAGATAAGCAGGGTGTTTGATGCTGTAAGTTCGAACGCATTGATGTTTCTTTACCATTGCTGCTTTAAACGATTCCAGAACATTTTTTCTCATACTAACTGTTTATAAAAGGTCAGATACTGTCAACAAGATAAATAACTGAACAACGAACTAAATATTTGTTAAACTTCAGGTTTTGGCCTAATTCAAAACTAAAAAAACTGTCTTAAAAGGTGAAGTTTGCACCCTCGGGGATGTGGGACTAAACCACCACCATTGAGATTGAAATTTAGGCAACCTGAAAAGAGGCTGCACTATGGTGGATTACCAACAATAATATTCACCATCATAACCTTTTCTTAACTAAAAACTATAATGCTACGGTTTATAACAAAAAAAGGGTAAATAAGTATAAATGTTGCTGTTTTTAGAAGAAATATGTTTGACCTTTTCCTAGTTAAATTTAAAAATCACGGTGAAATGAACTTCTAATTTAAAAGAACTTGATTTATAGCATAGATTTTTTTTTTTTTTTTTTTTTGCGAAACAATATAATGTTAAAAATACTCATCCAAAATAATATATTCTTTATGTTTATTTTTAATATATTCGTTTCCTAACTTTTTTTTGTGTGTGCGCAAACCATCCAAGTTAAAGAATGGGAAAGGTTATAGTGAAATAGTGTGCATTTTTGTTTTGTTTAAAGTATCGCGTTGCTAAGAGGCTCCTCACAAGGCAAAGGTATGGGAGACGGTGTTTCCAGATTCAAACCCATGACCAAGGCACAAGTTTACTGCTATGCAGGACTCATCCTTCAATATATAATGTTGCATATATTTGCCATTACATTTTTACATCGAGTTGATATTGCTTTGTGGAATTGGGCCAAATATTTTTTTTATTGAAAATAATAAATAATAATTCTTCGTGCAGGCCTACAAGGCACTTATGAAGGCATTTACAGACCACAATAAAGTAAGTACTTCTCATAATAACTTTTCGCATTACTTTGCTAACTGTACCACATGATTTTACAATTACAGTGGTGTCATTTCAGTTTGGCAATCTTCCTTATGGTTTTCGTGCAAACACATGGGTTGTTCCTCCAGTTGTTTCTGACAATCCATCAGTCTTTCCGCCACTTCCCATGGAAGATGAAACCTGGGGAGGAAGTGGGGGTGGACAAGGCAGAGATGGTAGTCACGAGAATAGACAGTGGGCCAGAGATTTTGCAATTCTAGCTGCAATGCCATGTCAAACTGCAGAGGAGAGACAAATTCGAGATAGGAAAGCTTTTCTACTTCATAGTTTATTCGTCGATGTATCAGTCTTCAAAGCAGTTTCTGCAATAAAGAATTTAGTGGATATAAAGCAATCTTCTAGTAATTCATCTTTGCCAACTTCCTATGAAGAGAGAATTGGAGATTTAACTATTACAGTGACAAGAGATGTATCCGATGCAAGTTTGAAGTTGGACTGCAAAAATGATGGAAATCGAGTTCTTGGACTGTCTGAGGAAGAATTAGCTCAGAGAAACCTTCTCAAAGGCATAACTGCTGATGAGAGTGCAACTGTTCATGTAAGTTAACTAAGTCTAATGAACCTATTATAGCAGTCAGTGGATTTTGCTTTTGATATTGTGCTTGCCTTTTGTTGTAGGATACTCCAACTTTAGGTGCGGTACTTGTAAAACATTGTGGCTACACAGCTGTGGTAAAGGCCTCAGCTGACAGAGATTTGGAGGAGAGTCCTAATTCCTTGGAAATTGATATTGAGGAGCAGCCTGAAGGAGGCGCAAACGCATTGAATATTAACAGGTAATTTATTCTCTAGCAGTAGCTTAACCTATTTTAGTAATTGAGAATCATGATTAGTTCTTAGGGTATCTCCAATGGCTGAAAACTATTTGGATTTCTTAGTATATTCAAAGTTGTGTTGGTGCTCCCTGCAGTGCCACATTACTCATAAGAAATCAATATAACATTTTGGTTCCAATAGTAAAAAACTCAATAAACTTCAACTCTTTTTTAAGGGGAAGAAACCCTTCATGTCACATAGACCTATTCCAATGGTAAATTTCTTCAAGAAACGGTTTCTTAAGCATCGGGAATGGGAAAAAATGACCACCGGAGATGCTCTTAATTCAAACTTTGTTCTTGCATTACTTTCTAATAAGCTTTTGCATCATAAAAATTATAAAATCCATCATCAATAAGTGCGAAAACTTGTTGCATTTGCAACATATATTGCAGTAGTGCCAATCTGATATAGTAATTGTTTTGGCTAATTAGCTTTAGCTTGAGGGTGTTTTCTGTTTTTTGTCTTCTGGGGTAAATTTGGTTTTATAAGCTTCTGATACAATTTTCTTTTCAAAATTATCTCAGCTTAAGGATGCTGTTGCATAAGTCATCTTCACCCCAATCATCTAATGCAATTCAACGAATCCAGGGCACAGATATTGAATATTCACGTTCAACTCAGTCATTGGTAAGGAAAGTCCTAGAGGAAAGTTTACTGAAATTGAACGAAGAAACCACTAGACACAGTAAGTCTATCAGATGGGAGCTTGGGGCATGTTGGGTACAACACATACAAAATCAAGCTACTGGGAAAACTGAGCCAAAAAAGGCAGAAGAGGGTAAAGTTGAACAGGCTGTTAAAGGTCTTGGGAAGCAAGGTGGACTACTAAAGGAATTAAAGAAAAAGATTGATAACAAAATGTCCAAAGTTGAAGTAGGAAAGGATATTTCCCCATGTAATAGCGATAACATAAACAAGCCAGAAGCCACTAAACAGGAATTAGAGAGACAAGATGAAGAAAAGGAAACTATATGGAGAAAGCTGCTTTCTGATGCTGCATATACACGCCTTAAAGAATCTAAAACTGATCTTCATTTGAAGGTTCATCTCTGCTTTTTGACACAAATGATGTGTGTAATTGTAATGTTGTTCTCAATTGGAACATGTAATTTTATGATTAATAGTTAGCCATGTGCTCATTATTCTATGTTGTTTATTTATCAATATACGTTGAATCGATACCATCTTTGCAGTCACCTGATGAATTGATCGAAATGGCACATAAATATTATGTTGATACTGCACTTCCAAAGCTGGTGGGTTTCTTAACATTGAACTTATTTATATTTAAACTGAGTTATTTTGATATGTGTTTAGTTATTGTTACTTCAAATTCATAGGTGGCAGATTTTGGGTCCCTTGAACTCTCTCCTGTTGATGGAAGGACGTTGACTGATTTCATGCATACCAGGGGCTTGCAAATGTCTTCCTTAGGCCGAGTGGTAATATTTTATATTTTAGGAGAATGTTAACAAGTGTCCTAGGGCATTGGTTAAGGAATCAAAAGTGGAAAGTTTCTATAGGAAATTGAAATATTTACTGCTACAAATGCACCCCGACCTTCATTTTCCAATTAAAAAACAAACAATTTATTGATTCCTAACCAGTTCCCTTAATATACTAGTGAATAGTACTTTAATTTTTAATTATTTATCTTTTTCTACACCCTTCCTTACTAGGGTGATTCGGTTCAAATCAATTGAATCCAATTATATATGTAAATATACAAAATTTTGTTTTGAGAGAAAGAAAAATACATTATTTTTGTCCAAAATTCACACAGTTCTATCATTAAAAGAGATAAATAACAATTTTGTATTATAATTGACTTATGTGATCTAAATAATAAAAACAATTATATTCTCATATAATAAAGCTAAATATATAATAATTAATGATAAGAAAGTACATCTTTGGTTTGGTTCGGGTTCATTATTCCCGAATCTAATTAATTGGTTTGATTTTGTATTGTTGAGTTGGTCTGGTTGATCTGAAGGGATGAACACCCGTAAAAACAACAATGCAATGTGTGCTCTGTCTCACATATGCAAGTGTTATGAAGTCTAAATTGAATTTTGTAAAATATACAAAAGGTGCAAAATTGTTTCATTGTGTCTAAAACAGAACACACAGCTGTATTTATACTTACCTTGTTGATACAAAAAGAATCAAACATAAATGCTAGTACAGTCAAATCCCTAACTATTAGCCACTCATATCAACATGTTTTGTTTTAATGTTAACATTAACACGTGTCTTTTAGCATTAGGAAACTTCATTATTAGTCCAATACTATTTTTTAATCAAATTCTGTCTGCCAGGTTGAGCTTGCAGATAAACTTCCACATGTGCAATCTCTATGTATACATGAGATGGTTGTTCGAGCCTATAAGCATATCTTGCAAGCAGTTGTTGCAGCAGTTGATAATGTTTCTGAGTTGGCTTCATCTATAGCATCATGCCTAAATATTTTGTTGGGAACACCATCATCTGAAACTAGTGATGACGATATTATTACTAGTTACGAACTGAAATGGAGATGGGTGGAAAACTTCCTTTTGAAGAGGTTTGGATGGCAATGGAAGGATGAAAATGGTCAAGATTTAAGAAAGTTTGCGATTCTTCGGGGACTCTGCCATAAGGTAAAATAAAAGGCCCAGTCTGTAATACATTGATGTTGATCTCTTTATGCCATTGTTATTTCAATTAAGAAAATCCTCTAACAGGTGGGGCTTGAGCTGGTTCCTAGGGACTATGATATAGATTCATCATGTCCTTTTAGAAAGACGGATATTGTAAGCATGGTCCCCATATATAAGGTGAAATACACAACAACTTGACTGCGGAAACTAATACTATTTTTCTAAAGCCCTAATGACTAAATTACAACTTTAATTATTTTCTCAGCATGTAGCTTGCTCATCTGCTGATGGCCGCACACTTTTGGAATCGTCTAAGACTTCCTTGGATAAAGGTAAACTGGAGGATGCCGTCAATTATGGCACAAAGGTATGAATAAATTCTCCCATCTTAGAGTATGGTTTGTTCCTAAAGCCAACAACTAAATGTACCAACATTTTGCATTGAATCTTGAAGGCACTCTCAAAGTTAGTGTCGGTATGTGGGCCTTACCATAGAATGACAGCAGGAGCATATAGTCTTTTGGCTGTTGTGCTGTACCATACTGGAGATTTCAATCAGGTTTGTTTTTTTATAGATTTAAGTGCTCTATGTTCATTTATCAATACTTTACATGCATTATATAATACTAAAAAACTATATTTTGTTTGGAGCAGTTGGGTTTTAAGCAAATAGTAAATCTGTGTATGGTGGACCACCTTTTAACAAACCTGAAACATCATTAAAGGAGGCATTAATTCCAATTTCCCAAATTGTCTGCTTGATGAATCAGTTAAATTTTCTATTTTTTTTCCCATTTAACATTTTTATTTTGACTAGGAGGATAAGTTTTCCTCTTAAATTTTTTGCCTTGTCTTAGTTATAAAAAAAATACCATTATATCTAAAATATAACATTTTTCCTTGTCAATAAAAAAAAGTGAAATATGAAGAACTAAATTTATCTAATTGTAAAGGACATCATTATTTAAATTTATCCTAATTTTAAACCCTTGAATTGTAAATATTTTGGCTTTAGCTTAAAATACAGTTCTTCAAGACTTACATCAAAAAGTTTTAAAAACGTTTTGCAAACTATGTGTTTCACTAATTGCTATATCTTGCATTTTTTTATTTTTTTTAAAGTTATTTTGGTTAGTTTTGTTAGAACATGTCATTAGTGAATAAAAAAATCAACTTCAGGTCCGTGTGACATAGACACGTAATTTTTAAGAAACAATTTTGAACAAGAGGCCAAGTTAATTCCATTTTGTATCATTGTAATAACTTTAGCTGTTCTTTTTGTCAGGCCACTATCTATCAACAAAAGGCACTAGATATTAACGAAAGAGAGCTTGGACTGGACCATCCTGATACGATGAAAAGTTATGGAGATCTTGCCGTTTTCTATTATCGACTCCAACATACAGAGTTGGCTTTAAAGTATGCTTTCTCTTACATCATATTCGGAGGATAAAATTGTTTGATTGTTTTAATGGAAATTGCTTTCATGGTTCTTCATGTGAGAATCTGGTGTCCCGACCCTTTCTACTTCTGATGATAAAAATTGTGTTACAATTAATAAGATGACGAGGCTTTGATGGTTATAGCTTGTTTTAGTGGTTATACAGATATCATAATTAATTGCAACACAAATGTAAATTAACATGAGTAAAAAGCAACAAAAGCTTTATCATTGGAATAAATTGCATTTAGGCAAACATTCTGGAAAAGTAAGTCAACAGAACTGGACCAAGTCCCCTTTGTTTTATTGTCTCATGAAAGAATATTAAGAAAATACCAATATAGGCGTTGTATAGTGGTAATCATCTTAGATCATTATAGGGCTGTATTAAGGTAAAAGCATACTAATTGGGTCTCATCCATTAAGAATTTGTTGACTGACACATACTATACTGTTCAGATTTAGTAATATTTTAACTTTTTCTAGCTAATATCACATAAGAAAACTTCTGTGAATAATTACATTGATTTTTTTTATCTTATTTGCATCTAGGTATGTTAATCGTGCTTTGTATCTTCTGCACTTGACATGCGGACCTTCACATCCAAACACTGCTGCCACCTACATTAACGTGGCTATGATGGAAGAAGGATTGGGGAATGTCCATGTTGCTCTCAGATACCTTCACGAGGCTTTAAAATGCAACAAAAGATTACTTGGAGCTGATCATATTCAGGTTCTCTCGTATACCTTGCATGACCCTTACAGGTTGCTATTGCATGAGACTATAGGTTCTTAAGCTTTTCGACTATCATCAAGGAAAAAAAGAAAATCTAAATAAATTCATTTGGTGATGAAACAAGATTCTAAGCTTATAACTTACCTATCCATTTGTCATTATTCGTCATGACAGTTCAAATTTATATTCAACTCAATAATTAATTATTTGGAAAAAAACACTGTTTCAATATTCCGCTTGACCGACCTCTTAGGCTGATTGAACTATACCTGGTTGGAATATTGAGTCAGTTACCCATGCATTATTTCAAGGTTTAAACCTCTTCGGATCAGTGTGAACCTGTCAAAATTATAAGACTGAAAAAACCTAGTGGCGGCGGTGGTTTTACATAACCGACCAGGATTCTGACATCTGGTCATTCTTTTTGCGGGGCCTTCATAGGCTAAATCATTCAGTACTAGTAGTAGCAGCAAGATAGCTATACAACTACCACTACCAATACAATCAAACATTTATATTCCATTCCATCATTCTATATTATTTTTCAAATTTCATCTTAAAAACCGATTATAAATGAACGAACTAATCTAATAGATATATAAATTACACTTCAAAAATTAAGATAGACGATCCGATACCTACCAATCCCCTCCCTTCATTGATTCTTTTCAAACCATGTCAGTCTACTGAAATAAACAATTACTGAGATGAGTTATAGGTACTGATACGAAATTAAATTTCATCTTAAATCCTATTGACAATAAGTAAAATTTGCTAATAAATATATATACGCCGGACTTCAAGAATTTAGAGAAGCTTCTCAATTGGATCTTAAATTTGTCTCAATTCTTAAGATATATATATATATATATATATATATATATATATATATATATATATATATATATATATATATATATATATATCTTTGTTGGACAATTTCACTTCAAATGAAATCTACCAGTATTTAACATTTGCTCGCCAAACTTCAAAGAGCTGATGTCATATATATTTTATCTTTTAAATCAGTCATTTGTATGGTTGGACTTAGATGATAGAAACATATTGCTTTGGTGGTTTTTGAAGAATTTCATTTCAAAATTTTAATTTCAATGTGCTGTCACTATTTGAGCTAAATAACTTTCTAAAACTATTTATCAACATTTCAACTGTTGTCGTCACCTAATCATATATAGGGTAACCTAGTGCGAATTTTCTATTCAGTTCCTACAGTGACAAAATTGTTTCTTAGTGACCCTAAAAAAATACCAATAAAGCATGGTAGTAAAACATTTTAAACTATGTGGATTACATGTTTACAATAATAGGGAATTATTTAAAAATTTTATAAAATCTATTTAGTCTCAGACCTATTGTTTGACTTAACATATTTGTTTACTGGTAGTAACGTAATATAGTGTTTGTAAGAATAAGTGAGATTGTGTTGGAATCATTTTAAGCAGGGGCATATTATTGAAAATATCAAACGAGGAAATTTGTCAAATATAGTGGTTTTCATTCTATGAAATGCAATTTCGTATCAGTACTAGTTATGCTATGTAAGTCTACAAGCTAAATATTAAGTTCACTGAAGACACTTGTTCATGCTCATTTACTTCACATATATGCATCAGATCAGGGTAGTTAACATTTTTAACTTGTTTCACAATTTTTTCATTTATTCAGACGGCTGCAAGCTACCATGCGATAGCTATTGCTCTTTCTTTGATGGAAGCATACTCTCTAAGTGTTCAGCACGAACAGACCACCCTTCAGATCCTGCAAGCTAAACTTGGTGCTGAGGATCTAAGGACACAGGTACTCTTATATGTGCTTTTTGATGATGATAGGTTAAATTACATAAATAGTAATCATTGTTCCTGATGCAAATATCTGAATTTATTTCAGGATGCAGCTGCATGGCTAGAATACTTTGAGTCAAAGGCTCTAGAGCAACAGGAGGCTGCACGGAATGGTACACCTAAGCCAGATGCCTCAATCTCCAGTAAAGGTCATTTAAGGTAGTCATTACAATTAGAACAAGTTCCACTTATGTCAGTCTATCTGGTTCAATTTATGCATTTTGATTGAATTGTCTGTATATCAATGCGGATCTGTGGTTGTCCTCTACTAGCTATTTTATTTTCATAAAATCACCAAATGGAATGTGTTTAGATTTCCTGTTGAGTATGCACAATCTAACCTGACCCATGGAGGTAGCATGGAACATGGAGGATGCATTGAAATAGGTGCACTGATATAGGTTTAACATGGAACAGGAGCAAAATGACGGTTTAAGTATGAAGGGGTTGATAGAATCATCTCTTGAGCAAGGGCATTCGACTGTAGTAATAGTGTCCAAGTTGCTAGGGTGGAACTCAAATTGGCTCAAGATTTTCAATGGCCAACCCAATAAGAAACGGATGCCCATAATCCAAAATTAGTAGTATTCAAACCCTACAATACTCAGAATATTTAATGAGAAGAAACGAGAATTATGCCACCACACCACTAAGGGTTAGCAATCAATCCAAGACATCAATATGTCTAGCAAAGAGAAGAGTAGTAGATTTGTGATTTTGGCCAAATATGAGCAGATAAACGATTGAGATTACATTGATGGAATATGAAGATGGAACCAAGGAAGAGAAAGAGGTAGTAGAGTATATGGAATCTCAATGGCTAGTACTGTGAGTTTGTTCTGTTGAAGGGATTGACTAAATCTTAGAACATGAAACTAAGAGGTATACCAGAAGTTATGTTGCTGATTGGCAGAGGAGCATGACACAACTTTGTATCTAGTAAATTGGTTCAAGGGTTGAGGTTAGTTGCTAATTCAAGAACGCCTTATTGTGTACAATTAGGAGATGGTAACCCAACGATGTTGCAAGAACATAAGTCATAGTAGATGACTTCAATATCATCTTAGAGAGTATACTTTCTGCCTAATTTAACCCTACAAAACAAACTTATAACATGAGATTTACATCCATTTATATATTTTAATTTAGTCATATCTTTAGTCAGTTTGGGATCTCGACCAATAAGATTGCAATTAGGAAACTACACTTTGAGTGATTTCTTTTTGGTTGATTTAGTGGGAGTAGATACAATCTTGGGAGTGGCTTGGCTGGAAACTTTGGAGAAATTAAGTTGAATTGAGAACTCTCAATATGTCTTTTGTTTATCAAGGGGAAAATGTTATGACACAGGGAGGCCCAAGTTGTCTAAAACAGTAATCACACCTAGAGCATGGATGAAAATAGATACTAAAGGAGCTGGATAAGGGGGTGGAAATAATAGAGCTGGAGATGATGCTTAAGTTGTGGGGGGGAGAAAAATTGATAGCAGAACAAAAAGTTCAGCTGCAGGAAGCCTTGACAGAGTTTGCTAATGTTTTTCCTGATTCTAAGAGATGACCTACTTCTCTTCCTCATGATGATTCGAACTTCCATCTGCCTTGTTTACATGTTTATCCCTCATTTTCCTCATCCTCACAAAACAGTTTTCAAACTTTTTTTCTAATCTAGCTAATCTTTCACCCGAATTTTCTACTTTTGATTCCGTACCTTTTGCTTTGACCAAAATGATAGAGCACTGAAATAGATTTCGACACTCTAATTGAGCAGAAATTTACGGCAAAAGCTGTCCCATAGCTGTAACAACTCCTACAGAGAAAATCTCTATCCACAGAACTACCAAATACATCCTCTATCCTACAGTTCATCTTTTATATGAATACCATAATAAAACTTAATAACTTCCTACCATTAGACCATATATAAAATAACTGCCCCTAAAATACGTAGCTAAAACCTAATAAAAATATACACAATTGATAGTATGTAACTGGTCCTAATTTTTTCCAAAAACTGTCATAGCTGCCCCTAACAACTACTGTTTAAATATAGTCCAGCACCAATTTTGATTTTTATTAAATTCTTTCAAGCTCCTATTAAAGTTTATGGCCATAAAAATGCCTTCTATCAGTGTGTCAGACCTCTTGGACTACATAACACCGGATGCAGATCAGAAAGCGCGGGAAGCACAGAAAAAGGCTCGTGCAAAGGTAACACATATCTTCTTTTGACCCAGGATATACCTGTGAATACTCTCACATTTCTTTATTACTTAGTACTTGTAAAATTAATTTCATATCTCTTAGTGAAACAAACTAAATTATCATCTATTTTACAGTTAAAGGGAAAACCAGGCCAAAACTGGGAAACAGCTTCAGATGAAAATCAGAAGGATGAAGACATGTCTAAAGGTTATTCGATTACAGAGACTACTAGTGATAAAGAAAATAAATCTGAATCGCAAATTAAAGACAATGGGATTGATATAGTTGAGTCCAGTCACATAGACCTAACCATGCTCAATGAAAGTAATAACCTGGCACAGGATGACAGCTCAGATGAAGGATGGCAGGAAGCTGTTCCAAAAGGTCGTTCACTCACTGGACGCAAGTCATCTTCATCTAGGAGGCCCACCCTAGCAAAACTAAACACTAACTTCATGAATGCTTCTCAGTCAAGATATCGAGGCAAGCCTACTAATTTCTCATCTCCAAGAACAAATTTAAATGAGACCGCTGTCGCCCCATCCCCTTTGGTTCCAAAAAAGTTTGTTAAGAGTGCAAGCTTCAGTCCAAAGCTGAATAGTGGTAATGTCCCGGATGGTGGAACGGAGAAGTTAGCAGACTCTAAGTCAGCTCCAGCCAGCCCTGCCCCAAGTGATCAAATTCCTAAACCAGCTCCTTCTAGCACTGGTGTTGGTGCTCAGTCAGCAGTTAAACTTTATTCCTACAAAGAAGTAGCCTTAGCCCCGCCAGGGACAATTGTGAAGGCCGTGGCTGAACAGCCACCAAAAGGAAATCCTATCCAACAAAATTCTGAGGTGAGTGCCATGATAGTTGCAACAAAGGAGACAGGAAATATTGTGGCAACAAATGATGTGGAAGATGGTGCTCAGAAATCAATTGATGAGAAACAGCAAAACGATGTCCATGAAGATCAAAAAGAAAGGGAAACCACTGTGGTGAACGATAATACAGAAACCGTAAATAGAACGGCCGAAGACGGAGTTGCAGTTAAAATCCAGGACGCTAGCATTGTCTCCGGAATACAGAAGGAAACTGAAGTTGGAAACATCACAGTTGTCGAGGTTGAGAATTCTGGTTGCTTTGATAATATAAACAACAGTGCCTCTAAATGTGAATCAGAGATACAAGTGCAAGAAAGTTGTCAAGCAACTTCCCAGAATTTAAATCCCCTAACCATTTTAGTTGAAGACGAAAAACAGTTACTTGAAAATGATGCATGTGAGTTGATAGATACTGGCAACGAGGGAGATGAGAAACTTGAATCATCTAGCCACAATGTAGTCTGTAAGTCACTACCATCAGAAGGAGAAAAGCAAGAAACCGAAACAGGAAAGGAACCAACCAAGAAACTTTCTGCAGCTGCACCACCCTTTAATCCATCCACAATTCCAGTTTTTGGCTCTGTTCCCGTTCCGGGTTTCAAAGATCATGGAGGTATTTTGCCCCCACCAGTAAATATTGCTCCTTTGCTTCCAGTCAGTCCCCGCAGATCTCCGCATCAGTCAGCTACGGCTAGAGTTCCATATGGTCCACGAATATCTGGTGGCTATAACAGATATGGGAACCGTGTTCCGCGGAATAAAACTGTATTCCTCTCAGGTGAACCTTCCCCTGATGGTAACCCCAATAGTCCTCCTAGAATAATGAATCCACATGCCACAGAGTTTGTACCTGCCCAACATTGGGTATCTAATGGTTATGTTGTCCCTCCTAACGGATATATGGCTTCTCCAAATGGCATTCCAGGGTCTCCTAATAGTTTTCCCCCAGTGTCTCACAATGGTACGCCAGTGTCACCAAGTGGATATCCTGCTTCTCTAAACGGTATCCAAGTGAATCAAAATGGGTTTGCACCATCTCCAACCATTTCAACTGATTCATCACAAGTTGTGTATGTTGAAACTGATCTTGAAAACAAAAGTCAAACTCCGGATGAGGAAAATAAAGATGCTTTTTCAACAGATGGGTGTTCTGAGAATAATCTTGTTGAGCAAAATCCTCAAGAACTATCTGCCAGCAATGAAAATTCTAATCCTAAAGTAGAAGAAAGGCAGGCAGATCTCAGCCCACCATCTGCTTTTAGTACCGCAGATAAAGTAACCAAAAAGGAGGCAGTAGATCAGACAACGCAAAACAAGTGTTGGGGAGACTACAGTGACAGTGAAGCTGATATGATTGAGGTCTCAAGTTAAGGAGTGATAAGGTTTTCTTAGTAAAATGATAAAAAAAAATTAAAAAAAAAAACTGTTTCCTCCTTGGTAGGGTTTCATGCTTGTTTAGATACCAAAAAGTGACGCAAGGGATTGACTGGACTGAGGAGGTTTTCGAGGCAGAACTGATTATTTACGAGGATGTGCGAAAGGCCTCGCATAGCTTGCTACATACTTCTTTATGGTGGTTCAAGTTTATAACGTGTTTCGTGAAGGTCACCATGATAACGGAGGGGGATGGCTTTCTTCCGCAGCTAATTGGCAATGTCTTAAGTTGTTTTAATATTCCTGCTACATTGCGTATTCAAAATGGAATTCTAGCTTTGAGTTCAAAATACTCTTACGGCTGATTACTAGGTTGCAATCTCAAGGCAACAAGGCCTTATTTGATAGGCCTGTGTTTTTCGAGTTGTAGAAGCATCCTCAGCAGATCTTACGAAGTTGTTGATAATTTTATTTTTAAATGGTAATCATGTTTGGCGCTAAAAATTCTGGGTTTGATAATGGAGAGATGATTTCCTACAAATAAATGCCTTTTTTCATAAATTCAAGGGTGAAATTATTTAACTGTGTAGAATCTGTATCAATCATTTCTAGCATTTCTGATAAGGTATACAAAGGAAAAGAAATACAAATGTCTAGCATTTCCGATAGGGTACATACATAAAAGAAAAGAAATACAAATGTCTAGCATTTCCGATAGGGTACATAAAAGAAAAGAAATACAAATGTGAAAGGGAATCAATCAAAACCTAAAAAACCACTGTTTCTAACACAACAGAATGATAACATTAATATATACATCAACTGGTGGTGGCTCATACTTAGCTAGCCATTTCTGGAAGAATGATAATGATAATGAAATAGGAAAACATGAAGAAAAGATAATAATGATGAGAGCTAGGTTTGGAAATAGACTAAAATGGGCATGTGGGCGACCCCCATCGAAATTCCATCACAAGCAGTGTGGCTTGAGTGTGTGCAAGCGCCCCAAGAAGAACAAAAACATGAAAAATCTGATGACTATGACCTGCAATATCGAATGCCCCAGGCTTCCATCGCTCTGGAATTCTAGTAACATAGAACACAGCTCCAGTGGCATACAGAATGGCCATTAGAAGCTCGTATCCGAGTGCAATAACAACATGTGGGTGGCCCCAATGGTTTGCCAGAGCGTGAACTGCGGGAATGACACCTGAAAATCCCATGGAAAGAAACAGATATGCCCTGAAGGGTCGTAAGTGAGGGGAAGAGAGTGAAGGGGCAAGAAGGGTAACGATGGCCAACACTCCAAACACAGATATTGAGGTCAAATAGAATGTCCTTATGTATGGATCGCAGAAGAAGACATAGTAAATTGGAGCATAGAAGGAGCACACTATCATGAGAGAAATCCCTGCATAATCTAGACGCCAGAAAAACAGGTTGAAGCGCTTTGAGTGGCACGCCAGAAGATGGGAAAGACTACTGAAAGCCAAGCATCCCATTCCTCCAGCTAAGAAAACAAACCATGGCCATCTAGGAATCGTTTCTATGCCATCCTCTCCCAGAATCATGGATGGCACCAATATGTGTCTCAAATGCGAATCCTAAAAAAAAATCACCAACAAAACCAATTCATGCTAAAACTACACTAAAACATAAATTTGTAACAATATTTTATATTGACTTTAATTTAAAAAGAAAATAATATATTACTATTATTGTTTTTAATTAAATAAGTTTAGATTGATTTTTCACCAATTTTTATTTTTATCAATTTTTCTCTAATTAAGTGGCTTACTTATTCGACCACAGGCCCATCCAATTTTCAAATATAGAAAAAAAAATATTATTTTTCATTAATCCTTGTGGAAACAGACTTACAATAAATTAAATTACTTAATATAATTCTTACAATCAAAATAATTATCAAAAATAAAATTATAATAGAATATATAACAGTATAAAAAAAATTAAAGAAACAGTTGCCAATTATTAAAAGTAAAATAATAAGGAAACATATAAAATAATTATAAAAAAATTATATTTATTAATAGTTATAGATTTTTGTTGTTCAAAGCAAAAAAAAATATATATTAAAACTTTCCTAAAAATACCATGCAAATGGAACGCATGCATAATGTCGCCTTTTTTAAAAGCTCACATGTAGTTTCCAAAATCAGGAATCATAACAACAACCCTAATTTAAAAATATTTTTTTTAAAATTTAGATTAAAATAATATTTTTATAATAAATTTCGTTATCTAACTAAAGAAATAAAAACAAATAATATTTTTATATTATAATAAAGTTCGTCCTCTAACTAAAGAAATAAAAACAAACGAACCAGGAATCCCGCGGAGGCCGGAATAGAACCGTTGAATTCCTTTCTGACGATGAACAGCTCCATCGCCGGTGCACTACAAAACGACGCAGCATCATATCACTGCATTCATTCATCTCCATTCTCTTCTCTCAAAAAAAAAACAAACATCAAATCATACCTGAAGATACTCGAGAGACAACTTCCGAGAACTGCCAACGACGCAAATATAAGAAACCCAACCAAATGCCTACAAAGAAAAAACCACGTTGTGTTAGCAGAAGAAAGCGAATGAAGGAACAAAAGAGAATAACATAGATACGTAAACAAACGGATAAAATTCCTCACGTCCAAACGTTGAGGGTTTCGTTGTGCCACATGAAGACACTCAACAAGGCGTCCTTGACGGACCATTCCGACCGGTAATGGTCCAAGATGAACTCGTTGTCTTGCAGGTACGGCGGCAACTCCTCGAACCTCACCAATCGCCTTCCCATTTTCTTGATGTTCTCTCTCCGCCGGTACCGTTCCTCCGCTCGCCGGAAAATGCCCCAAAGTTTCTTTCCCCGGCGAGAGAGTCGCCGGCTCTTTGTTTTCTGTCTCACCCCTCACACCTTTATCCCTTTTGTGGATCCCTCCTTCTATTTATGCGCAAACTCTAAGAAGTGTGAACCAGTTTTTTTTACTTAAAAAATGATTGGTTGTGGACGTGTAGCAAGAAAATTGAAGGCAAATTGATGGATTGAAGGTAAATTGTAAATGTGTTTTTCGTTTGGGGCTTCAAGTCTAAGACTCGTTATGATTTTTGATTAAGGAAAGAGGATTCACGTTTTGTGAGAAGGTGAAGAATGTGGTTTTTGTGAGCCAAGAAATGTTATCAAGCAGAGTTAAATTACAGAGCTGGTTTCAAAAGCATGACGAAAACCAAATATTTCTTTTCATGTGACCCAAAAACTCACTTCTTTCTTACTTTTTCTTTGTGTCTATTTAAATTGAATTCTAATTTTAAGAAGAATAAAAACACAATTTCTATTATAAGTGAGTAAAGAAAACTAAAAAAAATATATAAGCATATTAAAATTTCACTATTCTTTTGTTAGTACAATTATTTTTAACTCTATTATACTAGATTTTTTTATTTGAAAGATTGTTATGATTGATTCAAAAATAGAACAAGTTTTTCACGAAATAACTATTATAAGTATTTAATATAATTAAAATATTTTGTTTAAATTTCATATAATATTAAATATTATGTTAAGTTTACTTAATTTTATATCATGTTAAGTGATGTATATATTAATATTTATGGTTTTAATCCAAAAGAATTGATTTCATACAAAATATATCTTTTTTTCTAATGTTTATGATTAGAATGGTCATGTTCTTCTACGTCACAATGTGTATCATAAAATTAAAAAATTAATAAAATAATTAATAATATATGAAAATTAAATAAAAAATAATTATACTAAATACAAATATTTCATAATTATTATATAAAAAATATATTTTATCCTTTATTTAATGAGTTGACGCAGTTTTAATGTATTTCCATGGCTTCAAAGAGATTGTGATTATAACCCAATGACTTTGTGATAATGTAATGATAATTTGTTCACTTTGCGATAATGTAATGATAATTTGTTCAATAATTTTTGAAATTCGTTTTAGGGTTCATTCAACACATTCACGATGTTATCACATTGATTTAACAACTTTGCCATATTAGGATTATAATTCAACAGCTTACAGGAGATTATGATTTTATAAAATTATTTTTATAATTGATTTAACTTCAAGAGATTAGGATCATAATTCAACCATGCTTACTATTGCTATTATAGTTAGGAATATTGTTCTGTTTTCTCCTCTTTGTTATTTTTGTTAGTTTTTTTATCCTTGTAAATATAGGCTTATAAAAAACTTCTCTTTGTACTCGATACTTGTAAGGTTAATCAATAAAGAGTTATGCAAAGTTTTTCTTTCTTAATTTAAACCATAAACATTAATATGATGATTTTGATTGGGCAACTTGTAGCATCATCCGCCGATCTATCACATGTTACTTCATTTTTATGGTGATTGTTTAATCTCATGGAAGTCTAAAAAGCAAAATACAGTTTCAAGAAGTTCTACTGAAGCTGAATATCGGGCTCTAGCCACTGTCGCATGTGAACTACAATGACTTAAGTACATAGTTGATGATCTTTCTCTCAATATTCATTTGTCCATCTCCACCTACTGTGACAACCAATCAATCATATTCAATTAGCTACAAATTCATCTTTTCATGAACGGACAAAACATATAGAGGTGGATTGTCATTTCATCCGCTCCAAAATCATTGAAAGTCTTATTGTTCTTTCTCATATTCCTTCCAAACATCAACTTGTTGACACTTTTACCAAATCTCTATATCTCACACCTTTTGCTAAAAACATCTTCAAGCTGGGCTTAATCAACATATACCACCCAACTTGAGGGGTATTACAGTTAGAAATATTGTTACATTTTTTCTATTTTTCTGTTTTCTCTTCTTTGTTATTTTTATTAGTTTTTTATCCTTCTCTTGTAAATATAGGCTTATAAAAAGCTTCTCTATGTACTGATACTCTCAGGTTAAATAAAGAATTATGCAAAGTTTTTTTTTTCTTAATTCAAGCCATAAACACTAATAATTGGCTCAATGAATTTATAAGGTATAATTAACTTTTATTTAACAACTTTATACTGATTACGATCATAATTCAACCATATTGTCACTATTGACTCGATGAATTCACTATATGTAACTATAGTTTATTTAACAACTTTATAAACTCATTTATATAATTGATGTAACAAATTATCAATATTATGACATTGACTTAAAAAATTTATGACATTAAAATCATAATTCAACAATTTCACGAGATTCTGACGACGCGTGTAATTGTAGTTTGTTCAACAACTTAATAAAATTATTTTTATAATTGAATTAACTTTACAACATTAAGATTATAATTTAACAACTTCACGATGTTATGACTATGACTTAATGACTTCACGTGGTATAATTGTAGTTTATTAATAACTTTGTCAGATTATTTGTATAATTGATATAACAAATTTTCAATATTGCGGTAACGATTTAAAAATTTGATAACTTTAGCATCATAATTTAACAACTTTACAAGACTTCGACTATAACTCAATAACTTCCCAAGGATATGATTGTAATTTGCCGAACAACTTTATAAGATTATAAATCAACAATTTCACAATTAGAACTATGTCTTTAATAACTTCACCAAATTAAAATATAATTTATTTAATAATTTCATGATATTATAAAAATAATTAATTAAATGAATTCACGGTATCATAATCATCATTTAACTATTTTAAAATGTCACAATCATTATGATAATATATATTAACAAATAAGTTTATTGAATGACAAATTATTTTTATTTATAATTTTTAAAATATGTCAAGTTTTAATTAATAATTGTATTCAATAAATTTTATTTTTAAAGAAATACTATTTAAAATATTATTTAATAAAATTATTTTACATATTAACCATGTTAAAAATAGATTATTATTATTATTATTATTATAATTATGAAAAGTCTTCTTCCTTTCTTTCTTTTTTATCTCTCTTACCATAACACTATTACAAAAGAATAAATTTTACAAAGAATTTTAACTGGATTATAATATAATCAATGTAATAAACTTTTATACAAAGATTAATCGAAAATCATTTCAAAAACAAAATCATCCATCGATGAAAAGTGAGAATTATTTCCAGCACCATTTTCTTTTTTAAACACAATTATAATATTTATTCACTCTCATCTCAATCTTTAAGAAAAATCTTTAGCAATTCTTCGATTAAAGAGGATCACATGAGTGGAGAGTTGTTTTAAATTTAAGAAAAAATTATTCATCAAGTTATTATTCTTTAAGATAAAATATATTAATTATTTTAATATTTTATAAAATATCTTTACATCTACCAACAGATAAAACTCATTTAACATTAAACATCAATCTAACAAATTATCTTAATTCATGATTCATCAACTAAAAATTACAAAGTTATCCTTCATTAATAGCAATCATCACCAATTGTAGCATTGTACTGTCAATAGAAAAAATTGGACTGTTAAATTATAACTGTTTTGAGCTAAGAAACCGTTAAATAATAAAAAATTTCAAATATATAACCTTAATTAGAGATAAAAAAAAATTACATATTTTTATTTTATTATTTTTATTTTATCCGGTGTCAAACAATTTATTATAATTTATTATAAAATTAACTATATTTTTGGATGAAAAATTTTAAAGTTATATTCATCAACTACCAATTTCTATCACCTTTAATCATATCACATTATTAACTAAAATAATTAATTTTGAACAAAAAATTTAATTATTTATTTATAAAAAAAATTATTCAAAAAAATATATTAATTTAATTTTTATATAAAATATTAATTAATAAATAAATATTATAATATAAATTTATATATATATATATATATATATATATATATAATTATTGGTTGATTTCGTTTAAAAAATTATACATTTATTTTTACAAACGACGCAAAGATGAACTATTTAAGACGCTCAATAAAAGATCGTTTAAATAAGGATTATGATACATTAGAAATATATTTTTTTTCTCAAACATTTATTTAATAATTATTTTAAAATTTTATATTATTATTTATCTATTTTATTTTATTTTATCTTTTTATTAATCAATAGAAAAATATTTTTTAAAAATTAGGTATAAAAAATATATTTTTCCTTTAAATAATGTCCTTGTTAACAGGTGTAGAATCTGTATTTTCTGAGGGTCACAATCACTTACATTTCACTTGTCTCATTCACATAACTATTTCCGTGACTTATCATGTATTTTTTTTTATTACATTTAATTATTTCATCCACCTTAGGTTATTAATATTAAAAAAAAACATTTTGACATAAAAATTTCCAAATTATTAAAGACATGTTCCTTAAATAATATACAAATATATAAGGATGAAAAAAAAAGTACAACAACGCTACTTATTACATTTTCTAAAGGAAAAAAAAAATACTCAATCTATTATTGGATTTGAGCATCTGATTTTTACCCAAACTCTCCTCATGTTAGTGTATAATAAATCTCTACAGCCTAAGTTTTAATATTTATAAAATTAGACATTTAGTTTTTATAGATAAATTTATAATTAAACATAGACCTAATTTCAATGAAAAGTATACCATAAAAATTCCGTGTAAATTTAATTCACATTTCAAAATGCGTGTAAATTTAATTTACATTTCAAAATGCAGCATGAAATGCAGTGTAATATTTAATTAATAGTTTTTTCTTTCTAAATTTTTTTGACTTAATATTCTATGAAGATTTTTTTTCTTTCAGCTATTAGTGATGTCAAAACTTAACATCAATCTCCATAATGTTTCACTTAAAAGTTTGATTTGATGGAGCTAACATTAAAAAAGTTATACGAAGTAAACATAAAATTTAAATATAATTTAATTTGAGTCGATTTAATTTAAGTGATTTTTGTATTTTTTTTAATCATAATCTTAAAAAGAGTTGACAGGAAGGTAAGATGTGAGAAAAAGGAAAGAAAACAAGAGTAAATAATAATAATAAATGAAAAAAAAATATCTAAGCTTTCATGTGAATGTAAACAATTTCATGGTCTTAAAAGTTATGCCCAAAGCGTCTTCAAACAGATAAAGTACTAAAGTATCCTGCATGCATAATCTGAAGATGAAAAGTTAATCGTAAAAATCCAAATGTCCTCCGATGCTTTTTAACATTAATTTAAGGATTTGGAAGTAAAACCAAGTTGTATCTACTAATCCAATCAGTTAAAGCAGATCTTCACTAACATTGTGAGATGATCTTTCTCCATATATTAGGAAAATTGATGCTGCAATCCTTCAAAATTTAGAATAATACTTCAAATTTCAATCAAACACAATTTTCATACTGGTCATTATTCAACACTCACGTATAGTATCTCAGCAATATCAATTTACATGTTTTAATACCGTATTACTAGGATGAAAATTGGGGTGACATTGCTGTGAGCCTGTCACAATCTTGAAACAATAAATTGTCATTTTCCTCTACAACAATGAAACAGAACAGAATGTTTGAGATATTCTATTCCCATCATTTCTTACACCTAGAAACCTTCATCTGACCATCCCTTTTCACATTTCTGTCCACATTACAACAGTGATGGCTATACTTAATAGTTTGCCATGTCATACAGCTGTTACCAGCGTAATGCATGCATTTGAAGTTCGCTTACGTTTAGAACCCCAACAGAGATCTAGCTTGCCAATTTTCTTTTTCGTCCCTAGAAAGCCTTGACAATTTGCTGCACCACAGTTGCATTTAACCTCTGGACCAAACTGCACAAATCTACAAAGCCAATAATAAACCAGATATAACATTAAAACTCTGTTGTTGGAAGTTTCAGTGAAGAGATCCAACAGAGTAAACAAAACTACCTGATAGATAGCCATTAGTTAGTAATGTTACTCATTTAGTTAGGTTAGTTAGTCACAGAAATACAAGTATAATGTTAGAAAGAAGAATGGGCCTGCAGCTAATTCACGACCACTACTGGCTAAAACCATTCTATCATATATGGCCCTATTTTTCACTTGCGTACCATTGATGGGTAAAAAACACATTGGTCTCCTCTCTCCAAGCAATTCTTCCAACCAAGAGCACCAAATTGTATTTCTGGCAGCTAACCCGCACACCGAAACATTATTCTCCAATATGTACCATTGATTTTTTCTTTTGCCTTTACACTTAAGTCAACACCCCTTACGAAACTCAAACAGACATGAAGGTACATTAGTATTTATTAAAAACTTATTGATTTAACTTTTAGAAGAGGCAAGAATATAAATAAAACATTAACAAAAATAGTGTCTCATTTTTTATATATCCTATCGTAGAAAAAATATAAGTTAGTTTAAAATGGTAAAAGCATCAACTTACTTTGTTATTTAACCCATTTTATTAGAATCTCTCTTGGTGTGTATGCAGTGTTCTCGTGTCCAATAATTTAATAGTGTTAGTGTCATGTAAATCCAATGTTCATGCCATAGTTTGTACTTAGGGGTGCTTAATGGACAATCAATACAACCAAAAATATGAATAAAATAATAATATTATTATATTAATATAATGAGTTGTTTAATTGTCACATAAATATTTCTCTTGCACTTATAAACTCGCATCCTTTATGATGTGTTCTTTTCATGTGTGGAAGGATGTATGTTTTGTTTTCTATTCTTTCTTTCATGTAATTTCATTTTTACATTAGTTGGCTCTCTCTCTCTCTCTCTCTCTCTCTCTCTATATATATATATATATATATATATATATATATATATAGGGTTTTCTATTAATTTACATTCTATATCATTTTTACATTAGTTGACTGTAGTAGCAATTTGAAAAGAGATTAAGTTATTATCAGAATTATTAAAAGAGATATTTCCCATTTTTATTAATATTTTTGAAAAATAGAAAATTAGGATGAAGAATATTATAATTATTAGAATCATTATATTCTACATGAAGAATAACTGCTACAACTACTACTATCATAATCATCATCACCCTCATTATCACCATTACCAACTTCGGTGATAGTGATAATTGTAACAATCATTGCAGTATGATAAATATGATAGTGATGACAGGAACCATGAATAATTTTAATGAAAATAGCTATGATATTAATGAACTAATAACCATCTTGAAAAAACAAAGCCTAATAGTTGAAATTTTTTAAATCTTTAGTGAATATACAAATTTTATCTTAAGTATTTTAATGTAGGTTGTCCCTTTTAATTTAACCTTCAAAATTAGTCATTAACCTAGCAAGGCATTCTCATTATATTAAAGGGGAAGAAGATGGACAAGAGTCGATCAACCATATTTGGACTTGGAAATAATTTCTAATTCACATCCACTCAAATGATATGACTGATCAAGGAGCATCAATTTATTAAAAAGAAACTTTTAATTCACATTCGTTCGAATGATACGGCTCGTTAAGAAGTATCAATTTGCTAACAAGAAACTGATGGATGAGATTGAGACAGGAATATGGCAGCAATTTACTACAATGTGCTCACTACATTTATAACACACGGGACTAGTAGCAAATTAGATAGCACTAGTATTGTTAGCATTATTATCAAACACGCAGGTTGAATCACTAGCTTAAACCAATTTGTGAGTCAAGTAAGTGGTTACAAATTAACTCGTGTAAATCTATTTTTGAGTAAACTCGTGCTGCCTCGGGATACACTCAGGTAGAATTGCAAGTTTAGAATTGAGTCAATGAGTTAAAGTGACCTAGATGCACTACCTTGAAAGGAACAATTTTGGGCGTCGTTTCGTCACCTCTCTAAACCCAGGTGGTGCACAAGTGGGATTTCTTCTTGTCCCATTTCATTTCGCCGTTGTTGATTCCCACACACATTCTCACCAAACTCGCATCCTCCACACAAAGTGTTCTTGTATGTTCTCCTTCGCCAACGACGTGTTCTACTCTATTCTCCTCCACGCTACACGTTCTACATTGTTCGACACATTCTACTCCATTCTCCTCCACTCGTGGCAGAAACTCTTCCACTCTGTTTTTCTCCACATTTCATGCTCTCTGTTTCGGTTTTCTTTATTATGTTTTGGTGTTCTGTTTCATATTGATGCTCTATTTTGTTTTCATGCTATTTTGTGTTTTTACATTGCATTTCTTTCTTATGTGCTTCTCATTTTTGCACTTTGTTGCCATTTTAGGCATTTCAAATTTTAGTTATTAATTGTTTTTTCTATTTATGCATGTCTCTACTAATCTTCACATTGTTTGTCTTCAATAACATCATGTTTTTATCTCATCATCAATTTCTAGTTGACAAATTGATGCTTCTTGATCCACCAATATCAATTTGAGAGGATATTAATGGGATTAGCTAAATCCCTAATTTATTTATTTCCTTATTGATTCCACTATAATTTCTCAACAATATTTACTAACAAATTTGTACAGATTTGAACAGTTGATTTACTTGTTTTAATTCATTCATTGACAAATTTGGACACCTATAAACTAGTCATGTCTTAGGAAAAGTTTCTTTGTATAGCTGTAGGCAAAGTTGCCTTGTATAACACTAAATATTCTCTCAATGATAATAGAGTCAAATTTGATATATGCTACTTATTAGATATGAAAAGATACCCAATTGAACTTTATAAATCCAACTTACAAGATGAGACTCGTACCTTATGTTTATATTGTAATAGTATGGTATCTCTAGTCTATATAAGGTTTCATCACACCCCCCTTCATCTCAAAGGAGATTTTCATCACATCCCGTCACATAAAAGATAAGTGATCTAGTCCAATATCAATCCGATAACAAGTTATTTAGTTTAATAACATTCATCGAATAATGTCTCAATATTATTAGAGTTGACTGTAATATTATATTAAAAATGGAGAGATACCTATAAGATGAGATTTGTACCTCACTTGTATATTGTAATGTTATCATACCTATAAGGGTGTATTGAAGAAAAATCTCTCAATATGAGAGGAAATGTTATAAGAGTTATATTCTTTTATATGATTACCTTATGTCCAATAGGTAAACACCCATCTAATGTTACTCCATCACAAAAACTCAACAATAATGTCAGAGTCGGTGGCTCATCTAACGAATGACTCAATCGATTACAAAAATGGGTAGATGGTAGATGAGTTGGAGGGGAGAGTGTTTCAATGTGTAAGGAGAAGAGGGAGTATTGAAATTTAAGTGAGTTAGAGTCCACATTGAGTTGAAGTGATGAAGTTGAATAACATACAAGTGAGAAGGACCAAAAACCTACAATCTTAAGGTTTTTTTAAGTGAGAAAGACCACAAACCTAAAATCTTAAGATTTTTTTGTTTAAGATAAAATCATATTCTCTTATGGTTACCCTTGTCCAGAGGTGACCATCGGCCTAATATTACCCGCCTGGCAAAAACCCAATACTACCATATATCAATCTACTACTATAGAATTGATATGTCTATCAAGCATAAGTAAAAGGTAGAAAATTAACCTGTAATCATATGTTAAAGGCTCTCCTGCTTCTATTGAACGAGCAGCAAATACACCCACACGTGTTTCACCATCGACTTGCCTAAAAGAAACCACATGAATTTAGACCTAAATGTAAAAGGGATGTTGCCACTGAATAGCTACAATACATATTCCAAGCTGAGAATAAGATGCAAAATTAAGAACATGGGTACATGAAAAGAAAAATACATTCATACGTGAGCATTAACAAACACATGTAGAAAAACATGGAACATAGAATTCACTTGCGAAAATTGATAGCCTCATTTCTCTTCGTACTTCCTCTAAAAGCCTAAAACAACTATTTGTCTTGATTTTATAGGTTGCCAACCTATTAATTTAAGTTGAACGTGCACCAAGATGCCAAACCCCCCATGCTGCATCTAATACACTTTGTTCAACCTGCCTCCTTCATAAAATATACTTTGTGCCTCTTATGCAAACAAACTTTAAAAAAAAAAAAAAAATCTGATTAAGTGGAACAGTTGAATCAATTAGGCCCGAGTTTTGGTTAAGACTTATGCGAATATTATTTTTCCAATTTACAGTTTGTGAAGCAAACTAGTCATAATGGTCTTAATGAATAACCAATATATCTTTAATCATCATTTAGGATATAGTAGCACAGCTTGATAGAAAACCAATTGATCAACTAACAAATCATTATACAGAACACAAATCACACACCAAATAGCAATATACAAGCTATCCTAAAGAGAGTGCTCTGTCTACAAAAATAAAAAATAACACAAAGTGCAATGAAGAGAACGGAAATGGTAATTGTGTTTCTCAATGTATCACAAGAAAAGTACCCCCTCGAATCCTTTTTATAGACCTAATTAACTAATCATTAGGATTTAAGAAATTAGTAGTTTTCCAAAATTTAGTCGTTTTCCAAAATTATTCCTAACATTCACGAGATATGCTACTTTTTTCCTAATATAATCTCACATTGTTAATATATATTTATTATTGCTTTAATTTTTACCAGCTATTCATGTGAATAATCAAAGTAAATTTTCCAAAATGCTCTCTATATACAAGACAAAATTGCACTCCCAAAGAGTCTAATACATTAATGTACTTAACTAATTATTAATTAAAATAAAATGACTCAAAATTTTGGATATTTTTATGAAAAAATAATTAAGGTGGAGGATGTTCCAGATTGGTTCACTCAAAAAAGGACCAAATTAAACATCTAATTTGGTTCTTATGACCGAACGGAATAATTCTATTTATAAATACATCAGGACTCACAAGAGCTTATGGAATATTGCAGAATTAAAAAGAAACCAATAACCTAAGAAATGCATCCCAAGTCCTTTTGTCAGCATATTAACAAAGAAGATACAGGATTGACAACATAAAATTATCTATACCAGCCACTGTTTAAGCAATTAAAATGAAAACCAGCAATTCAGTATCTTATATAAAACATGCATAAGAAGCATATATCTTATTTGAGTACACAAGTTGTTAGCACACTGTTATAATGGAGTATTACCTTTTCAAATGTTAGCATATCTTGTGCTAAGACTGCAGTTTTCTAATAATATTCAGTCTGCCTATAAAAATACTTACTTGATACATCAGGGATACGGCAGTTCACACAAGTTTTTAATAGTAATTTGGTCCACTAGGAAACCACATATCTGTTTATGAATCTCTGAAGAGGGAATGCATGGATGAGTACGATGGTATTTGACACTACTAACCACTTTTCCAAAACACAGTTGGGATCACAGCTATGGTTCAAGAAGCGTGAAATATTTCCTTTGAAAGTTGCATCGATTGTGAAGTCTTTCCGAATCTCACACATGTAAAAATTCTGTACACCCCTGTATTTCATGTCCCAGAGCCTCTTCTCACATAAAGCATCGTCAATTACTGCAGCAAAAAATATTTCCAGTTAAATTGTTTAAAGGCATAGTTTAAGGATACAAACTAAACTGCAGAATAGAAGATCATGTGCTTTTAAAACATTCCTGAATAGATGAAATTTTATATTTCCTGAAGGACATACTCGATTATGGTTTCTAAAGGGGAGACAGACTATGTTTGACTGTATGAAAACTATAAGCCATGTAGAAATATGAACTACCTTCTCCAATATACTCCACTATAAATCCACCTTTATCAATTGTTTCAGCGGCCTCCACTCCCCATCCACAAAGTTCAGTCTGAAAAAACAAAAGCATGTGTAATAATTGGTAGCAATATTTATTAATCCTTAACCCAATAAAAGGGAAAACCACAAAAAAATACAAATAAGCTTCAAAGTAAAAATATACTTTGTCCATCTTGAAGTAGAATAATTTCACACCTTGACTATCTTGATCTTTTTCTCCTTGCGAAATGGACGATTATTGCAATTTTCTGAGCAGCGACATGCTTTAGAACAGCTTATGCATTGAACCCTGATGAATGATATGCAATAATTAATGCATGAACCCTGCTGATGAAATCTTACTAGACAAGGATATTAGCATTACATGTTTACAACCAGTTACAATGACATGTCACATAATGCGTAGCGTGATATTTAGTGCATAACTGTAGGTGTCCAACACTACAAACAATTCAACTCACGAAGGGAAGGTGATCACAATTTTATAGTCCAGACAAATAAATTTCTCAGTATAATTTGCTAACTCAATAGGATTAGCCGGCATAAATATTTCTAACCATCATGTCTGGAATCACCATATTTTCAACAGTAAAAAATCATTTCTTTGTAGAACAAGCAGTAGAAAAATAACTCATTGTCAACTAAAATTAAAAGACCTAAACTATCTACTACATCTACGAGAAGTTTCATCCAAAAGAAAAACACTCCGATACATGTACCTGCACACACAATTATCAGAACATGAAGAACTGCAACTGGTACACCCTGCACCATCATCCACATTACTACGTTTCTTCTTTACTAAGTATATATCTGACATTAGTCCAGGCTAGCAACATGATGAGCAGTGCAGTAATTAACTAAAAGTGATTATACCAAAAGTAATAATCAAGTTCTTTTACTGCACAAATTTTAATTTTATTAACTATAACACGAGAAAACAAGTAGGATACTGCGTCTTATGTGTACATATGGTGGTGGCTGCTCCATCTTACTGTCCATGTCTTTCCACGTGGAATCAATCTTAAACTCCTCGCTGATAAATGGAAGAGGTAAGCGACAGAATACTTCCTGGAAAAACGTAAATAGAAATTTTCAGATATTAACAATATTACAAAATTCCTATGCAAATAGCTGGTTGACTCATTCAAAAACATACACAAAGTCAGCATAAATATTGAGCAATCAAAGTCATTAAAATTGAAATACATAATCCTTCAGTATTTTTTATTACTTAATTTAATAACATAGAATCTTTTATTTCTTAAACAAGCTATATATTATTCATCTTACATCCAAACTATATCACAACAGAACATGATATATACTTAAGTGCAATTGATGTAAAATATTTTTCACAAGCCTTACCGAAATGTCACTTGTTGAAGCATCAGGCTGCTCATCCAACAAATACAACATTCCTGTCAGCCAGCCTAATCAATGAAAAATACCAATAAAAAAATAAAACTTTGAAGAGAAATATCTAAATCAAGTGAGGTATACTCTCCAAATACATTAATCCAAAGAGAAGCAGTAAAACCTTAAAAAGCATATAGCACATGTGACGACTACGTCAATTGAAACATCAAGAAAGTTTATGTACTGTGGAGTACCATTGGAACCGTATGCAATACATAATAATCAAGGTGAGAGATTTAAAAAAGAAAGACATGACAAGGTAAAGAAAGAAACACAAATTTATATTCTAAGCATAAGAAATAACTGAATAAGAATATGGGCGGGAATTAAACAAGGAGATACTGCAGTATAATTAATAAGCAGAAACAGTAAAAGATTCTGGTGAAAAGAAAAAATTGACCTTCCTATCCAGACGCCAATCAGAAGGATGCCTCCAGCAAACAGCTTGCCCAGGATAATCTTTTAGCTGCAACACTGCATCTGGCCATGGTGCACATTTACTATGGAATGCCATTTTACAACGTACACACCTCAATTGCTTTTTTTGCTTGCAAATGAAGCACACCTGCTCATTGAAGGAATTAATTAGAAAATGGCAAGAAAGGAAGATAAAAAAAAAAAAAAAAAAAAGGAAAGAGACTGTGGACGTGGTTCAGTCAACGGTTAATCAATAAATATTCATTAAGCTCTTGTTAAATGATAATTATTCATAATTTGACCCTGTACTCGTGGAAGAGTCTAGCACAGATCAAAATTTGAGAACTTGTGATAAATCTCCCCTTTCACATGGTTTCATACCACCCCAAGTTCATCAGAAGACACTATAGTCTAACTTTCACTCCGTGTGTTAAATATCAGCTAAATGATACATTAAATATCCAATTAATCTTCTACAAATTTCATTAATCACAAGAAACCACAATTCACAAGGTAATGCACAAATATACTGATACCGGCAGTGCCCATAAATCAAAAATTGTGTAGGAAACATGTAAACCCATAAGTCAAAACAAATCATTGTATTAAGGAAATAAGGGTTAATATCAGTAGGAAAGAGACCAATGTAGCATTCACCAAAAACCTACATGCTGTGGACACTTGAATTTTTTCAGACTGGTAGCCCCAACAGATTCTTTTGCACATTCGGGATGATAGCGTGCGTCGCATCCGCGAACAGTACACAATAGCTCCTCCCCAGGGTAGATAAAATGGCGGCAAAAACAACATTCACCCTAAACCCACACAACGAAAAATAAATCAAACCCTTCAATCAGTTACAAGAACAATTAATCATTAATTTAAAAGATAGTAAAAAAAGTACCATCTTGGGAGCACCAACAAGAAAAGGATGAGAGAAGGGATCTTTGAGGCGATCCTGGAAGGCTTTGTCAGAGGCGGGCTTCTTGACCCTATCCAGGGAGCCACGGGTGCGCTTCAAAACCCGAGGCTCGAAGGCAGGCTCTGAACAGAAGCCATTAGGAAGGGTTTTGACGGGAGCATCTGCGACATCAGAGGTGCAGTGAGTGAGTGTGAGAGTCGAAGACAAAGACAGATTCCCTAAATCTGGCATCGCCGAAATGCTTATGAGAAACCTGCCGACAGAGGCACAGCGAGTGAAGGAGGGAAGATGCAGAGAGAGAATGCCAAAATGAAGAAGATGAAGAACAAATGGGCGGGAAAGTGTAATTTTCAGAGGGTGCAGTGAAAGTACCGAACGACGCATCTCACAAATTCTATATTTACAATTATGCCACATCCTACCTTGCACCCCACGGTTACGAGGGGACCGCTAAATTTGAATTTTTGTCACAAGGGACAAAAGAGTCAATCCAGTGTCTTATATTAAGTATTGTGTTTTATTTAATGTATGTTTTTTTATTAGTTTAATTATCTCAAATATAAAATAAAAATTATTATTTTTAGTTTTTTTTATCTCAAATATTAATGATGATAGATAATAATTAGTTGTGCTATATTTTTATATTACACTTTAATTATATTGTTTGTAATATATTATTTTATTATGATATTATATTACTATTTTTTGTATTACACTGTTTTTTTTAATTATTATATTAATTATGTAATGAAAGATATTTGTATCTTATTTTAAATTTGAATAAAAAAATTAAGATATAATTCAAGATTATTGGTAAAATATACAATATGAAAAATATAATTAATGTGATTACTTTATCAAATAAAATTTTAAAAAATATAATCTGAAATTTACTATGAATAGTCAAGTAGATCTTTAATGTGTCAATATTACAAATTTAGTTATTTAAAGGACAAACAAAATCTGAAATTAGGCATTATAAGGAATGAAAAAATTGATTTATATTGTGTAAAAAAAATTGTTCAAACTTAATGACAAAAAGAATCTTTAATTCAAAAGAAAACATACATGTTTGAAAAGACACTCATTTAACAATTATAATAATATTTATTATTTGATTATTATATTATTATATCAGAATTTCATAATTATCAATATATAATGATCCTTAATTTAATATCAAATTGGCCCATAAAATTATAACTTAATAACAAAATTATCCCACAAAATTTAATAAATGACAATTTGTTACACCTTGGAATATTAAAGGTCTAAGATAATAATGTAGTACATAGTTAAGGATTTAATTATCATTTACTTCAACTTTTTATAAATTATTTAAGTTAACAATTTTCAACTAGATGCATAACCCAAAGTTTCTTTCATCAATAACAAAAGTTATTTATAATAGGTTGATCATTTAGCATTAATGATAGATGTGTTATAATATTAAGTAAATGTGTGTTTTATCTAATCTAATATTAAGTATTATAATTAATCTAGTGACAATTATAAGACTATAAATGAAAGTAAATGAATAAGTTAAATATGATTTAATGTCATAATTAATTAAATAAATATGACTTAATTGATTAATACAATATTTAATTAAATGTGTTTTAATTTTTTTTATGGAGATTAAGAATATAAAAATATCACTAAATAGACTGTAATATTAATTAAGTTTCCGCTCCAAGTTAAATCAACCATCTACAATAAACCTTAAATATATTAAAACACAAAGGAAATAAAAAATGGAAATAAACTAGTGAGACTAACAAAACCTATTTAATAAACAAACAGTAATTTATACTTATCTCTAAAATGATTTCATGGCAACACAAAGAATAAAATTATCATATTTTCCTTAATACTTTAATCTTTTGAAAGTATTTAAAATCAAATTGTTATCATAAATTATTCATCTTTCAAAATCAATATATACTGTAAGTTTCTACTGTGGAGAGCTACATTGTAGAAAAAGTTATTAAGTTTTGGTTTGGTACGTGTCAAAATCAAAACTAATAAGAATTTCTAAGATAAGACATGTTAGAAGATGTGAAGGTAAGGATATTAAAAAATAAAAAATGTCAGTTGAAAAGAAGTTAATCAAGCATGTTTGTACATTTTGAACATTAGTGATGAAACAACACCTTTGTGACATAAATACAACATATTCACAAATGAATAAAAAATGGGTATTTAATTAACATAATAATAATTTTCTTTCTTGGTTTAAGAAAATGATATATGTTGATGTTAATACTTCATATACACTTTTGATACTCACTCGTGGCATAATAGTGATGTCATTACATTTTGTGACTATTACATTAAGAATTATTGTTTTTACTCAAAATATAGATAATGATAAAAATAGAATACAAAATAGTGGGGTCACAATTAGTATATGTACTTTTTTAGTTTTAAAAACAAAAATCTTATTACAACATTTATGAATTATTTTGGGATCATATAAGAGATATGAAAAATTAACTATATTACATTAAGGGAGTCTATGTTAAAGTGTAAATGGGTTAATAGCAATATGAGTGTGCAATCAAATGATTTAGCGTTTACTCTGATTAACTTGAACAAAGTCAGTTATAAGGATGAATATTTTAATATGGCATATCAAGCGAGACAAATATATTATGTTAATAATCCATGTAATAAGAAATGGTCAAATGTTATTAAGAAGCATGCATGAAATTAACGAAAATGAGTCTCCAAATATGCATGAGACACTTTCGTTTTCAACTAAAACATTTGATGACCTTGTTGTTAGTGAAGTGAATGTCATGCATGCTATTTGAAGTTATCACAATGAAGGGATATGGAAAACATATTAACATAATAGTTGTTTTCCTATTACATTAATTATTTTGTTATAAATGTGCTATATTCATTTTATTGAAATTTATTAATATTTTTTTTTTCATGATTATGTTGAATTTGACGTCTATCAATGACAGGAGCGGAGGTAGATCCATCACCTAGTTGAAGGGGTTGACAAGGGCTATATTGTTAGGGAAAGGTTATAAAATTACGTGAATTCACATTTTGGTAAGGCATCAAACCCAAATTGTGTTAATTTTTTGAGCTATTTGAGATGATGGGGACATGACCATGAGCAAGAGCAATGATCCACTTGAAGGACTTGGAGGACCTATGATAAGGGCTAGAGCAAGGGAAACAAAGGAAATTATTTAACAAGTGTTGTCCATATTATTTGAATACAAGCTCACATTTCAAGAAAAATATCAAAGTTGTGAGTTGCATCATGGCCCAAATGAAGAAAGACTAATGCGTCACTTTGTTTCAGTCTTTAAATTTGTTTAAATAATGACCAAATCCTTTGTAAAATTGGCTAATCAAATTATGTTTTTGGTTAATAAATTAATGAGTTTTAGTTTTGTTTTGTTTCAAGCTGTAATAAGGACCCAATTGGAAACTTAGGTATCAGCCTTTTAGAATACCAAGAAGGTGCATAACTGATTAACTTTTGGTTGTCACAATTTCAGTTACAATTAGTCATTAAGTATTTTTCAATTATTAGGTTAATGGATCATTATTAGCATTTATTTGTCTCTATTGAGTAGTTGTTAGTAGATCATTATTAACATTTATTTGCCTCCATTAAGTAATTTTCAATTCCTAGGTTAATGAATTATTATTAGGATTTATTTTCCTTTATTGAATCTTTGTAACTCTGATGACAAAGTTTTTATATAAGATGAATCATTTTTATCAAAAATACAAATTGAGTTTTATTCAGAAATATTAGAGTTTAACTATTTTATTTTGATAAGAGTGAAGTTCTTTAGTAATTCAAAAACCCTTGGTTGTATTAAAGAACTTTCACATCCTTTGTGAGTTGCCTCCCTTGGTAAGAGTGATTCTTTCTTTCGATCTTTAACATTCACCTCTTGTTCTTTCTTTACCAAAATTCATAAAACTCAATTCTGTCCAGATTTATTTCATGGTCATAATTTTTGTTCTACTCGTCCAAATTGAGTATTTTTTTAGTCTAAATTAAAATACAAAACGAGAACTTTCACCTCATTTTTTAATCACCTCAATCAGAATTTTATAGCTTGAGATATCGAAGTTTCAAAATTCTCCCCAACCTTAAAACTTTCACCACTTTTTAATTCATCTTCTCACTAATTTCCTAAATTTTCTACAAGGTTCTAACCCTAAATATCTTAAGTCAACCCTTATACAAATGATATTCATATTATGAGACTCCTAGCTTGGCATCATGTTTTTATTATTCTATCTCGGGATGATGTTAACGAGACAAAGAAGAACCTCATGTGGCAGGATATTCAGGTATTTTTATATTTGTTGAACACTACATATATAATAATTGAATTTAACATTTGTTGGTAATTTGATAGCAAAATTTTGACATTCTTAACACTAAGGTGCTGAGGAAGAAGATTTTATCCTCCATTGCCACTAAATGGAAGGACTTAAAGACTCTTTTCACAGGAAAATATGTATTTGGAAAGTATTAAGATGAATCTCCCTACCTAAAATATTAGATTAATGAGGAGGATTGACTATAATTTTATGTCAGTCGATTGGAACCCTCTTGGTAAGTTAGTTGTTAGTAATTCTTACATTAATAATACTTAATGTGCTACTCTAATTTTATTTTTGGCATTGTAGGATAAAAAACTAGTTGCCTAGGAATAGCATAAGCTAAATGATGTGCCTATCTATTATCGTGGGGTAGGTATGCATTATTGGAATAACAACTCATGAAAGTTAGAACTGAGTCAACAAGACTTAAATATGTTAACCTTGCATCTTTATCCCCTCCCTCCACTATGAGATGTGAAAGACAACTCGCACAAGGTTTGATAGACAAACAAGTTATGAGTCTGCATGAGTCATTGTTGAGAGACTTATAAGTTTATATATATATATATATATATATATATATATATATATATATATATATATAATATCATTTATACTTGTTTCCTGACTTACCTATTATTGATTTGTTACAGGATAATTTAGTTGATTTAGGCAAGTAAGTCACTTAAGACTCATTTGTTCCCCATGATCGAGAAGATATATTGACAACGACCATAGAAAAACCAGACTCATTAATTGATTACTTTAAGCTAGAAATGTGATTTTAGTTCAAGTCAGAATATGCTCATCCTTAGCTTGCTCTTTATTGAAGTTGTCTCCCTCTTACTTAGCTTTAACGAAGGCCCAATGTATATCCTAATTGTACCATTAAAATTATATTACAAATTAAAGAAAATTAATCCTAATTACTAGCAATACAAAATAAATACATATTTTTTTAGAATAAAAGTATTATAACTTATTATTCTTCTATAATTATATATTTTTATTCATTTTGTTCGTCATTCATTCACTCGTTCACTCGTACAGGACACCATCCCTTATCTTAGACATGACATCCTTTTACTCTTCACACTTCTAATCTAAATTGCAAAATTTAAAAATATGGGTATAAATATTGTATAGTTATTATATAATAAATATATGTTTGTTTTAAAGAAATCCTTAAATTTAAGATATTTGTATTATGAGTTGATTGAGTAGATTTTTACTTCATATATTTTTACTTTGTTTATTTTATTTTAGGATATTTATTTATATTTTTTAGGATTACTTTTTCTGATAAGTACCCATGTACTGTTTCTTTTCAGAATTAACTCAAATAATTTCATAATTATTATTCTTTATTCCTATAATATACTTAAAGCGTTTAGTAACTTACTTAAACAACTTTTATGGTTGGATAAATATTACCCATTTGAAGCCAATGACACTAGCTAAGGGAGAAGTGTATTTCTATTTTTGCTTAAGCGAGCTTAGTTCTACTTAAACAAGATTATATGACAATTTTTTTCATTGCAAAACGTGTTGCAAATTTTTTTAAGAAAAGAGAGTTTATGACGACATATGTGACAAACTAATCATTGACGCATATTTTTCATGATCGGAACAAGTAAAAAAATCTATAATGACATTTTATAAGATAGATACAAGATTTGTATATTTGTAACTTCATAATATAGTGTCAGATTGTCATAATTTACTACATATTTTACCATCATAGAATAATTTCATGATTTTTTTTTGTGTGATATAGCTGATTATTTAAATTTTCAAAATAAATTTCGTAAAGGGTAAAAGAAATTAATGAAGTTTAAAAAAAAAAAAAACTTTAGAAAAATTTGTTTTGCACTTCACCTCCTAAAAAAAACTCTGTAATGGGTAATCTTTATATCAAACCACACGTTTTATGAACTCATATTTTTATGTTAAAAGTTCTAAATTATTATTTTTTTTCAAATAGAAAATACAATAGACAAAATATTAGAAGTTGGGATGAACTCTCCTAAATTTTTGTAAAGCTTTTAAAAAAAAGTTGATATTCTATGAAAATCCTTGAGATGATTTTTCTTCAAATGAAAACAAAAATAGAAGAGTTTTCAATATTATAAAAAGATGAAAAACAAAAAGTGAATTAGAAGCTATAAATCATAAGAACTGTCTTGAAAAACAAATACTTGGAGAAAAATTAGAAAAAGTGATTTTGTCACCTTGAAAGAGAAAGGTGCCATGACTGAGTACGAGAAAATGAGGTCACCAGATTTTCATCTTATTTTTAGAGGTTTTAAATAGTTTTCAATATAAGTTTGATTTTAAGTTTTACGTTAATTATGAATGAGAAAGTTAAATAATATATAAAAAAAAATAACCTATAATATAATGTCTTAAAATTGTGTATTGAGAGTAGTGTGAATTTTTATGTGGATTGAGTTTATTATCTTATTCATATATTTTCTTTTTAGAATCCCTTTCAAAAAGACCCTACCATAAATAATTTGCTAATTGGTGTTTGAATCACACGTAAGAGATGAAGAAGCAACAGGGTAATTAAGAAAATAACCACTATTACAATGTAATTTGTCCATTGGTGTCTGAATCACCAAAGGAAAAAATGTGAAGAAAAGGAAAGAAAAAAAAAAAAGAAGTTACATCCTGATTATGTGATAAATGGTCGTGTAATTAGTAGGTGAAATAAGCATATATCTTGCTTCTCATTACTTAAATTTGGGCTTGAGTTTATGGGCTTTGTAGGATCGATTTTTTCCCAATGGGCTCAGTTCCATTTTTTTTCTGAATCAAATAATTTTATTTTCTATTTTTAGCATTTATTTTAAAAATATATATAATTGTTCGGTCTTAATTCTAAGTTTTTTAGAAAAATAATTTTAGTGACAAACTAACGATGAATGTTAGATATTAGAATTCTATGTTTATATTTCTTCCCATAATATATTATACAATTATTTATTTATTTACATTGAAACTTAAGGGTATTACATGTTATAGTTAAAAATGGCTATTTCCTTTTATATTAATTGATTTTATATTAAAATCTTAGTATATTTCCTGTTAATCTCACAAGAAAACAATAAAAATTATATTTCATATTTAAAGAAATAAATTATAAAATAAACACCGTAATTTGTATTAAATTACTTTTTAATTAAACAAATTTGAAGATTGTGTGTAAGTCCATAACTAGTTAACATTGCAGTATGTGGAAAAAATAGTAGAGATGGTGCTGTAAGTTCGCCGATAAACATGCTTTTACGTACATTCAACATGTATGTTTATATCCACAAAATACCAAACCTCATATGAGTGGTCTTGCAGTGTTGCACATTTCTTCCACCTTTGTGCTTCTGCAACAATCAACTTGATTCTGATGTAAATTTCTTACTGCATACCACAATATTAATCAATTTTTATCAACTTGCTTCTCCAATTATTTCAATTCTTTTATGACAATCTTTTGAATAGTTTGAACTTTGTGATCCTCAATGATACTGAGCATTACAAAATTTAAAGACTATATTATTGCTTTTTTAGGGTATTATTCACTTTCACTCATGCATGATTTTTGTAATATATTACAAAACTTGTTTGTATTAATTTAGAGACATCATTCGAAGCTGTTAGAAGCAAAGAGCATGAAGAAGGCTTTGGGGTTGTCAAAATTTCTTGGTGATTTTAAGGTACTATAAATATATATATATATATATATATATATATATATATATATATATATATATATGCAATCAATTGTTTGACTAAACTTGTTTGTGAATTTATCTTATTATAAGGTGGTGGTGGTGAATTGCAGGGACTAGATGGAGCAATTGTTAAGGCAACAAACTATAAGCATGCATTACCAAAGGAAAAACACGTTCGTAGTACGTGATTATATACTAATAGTTTAATATATAGATGGTTATATCTATCATGTTTTATCTTGTGTAAATTGAAGTAATCTATTTGTTTAGCCTTTCCCACCATTAATTGATGTTTTCTTTTATGTTTTCAGCCATTTTTCTATCACTTTCTCCATCAAAACCTCGGAACGAGGTGATTTACTGTATTCATGGTGTGACCAAGCGTTTTAGCCAAACTAATAACTGGGCTGTATGTTCCTAACATGAACCATTTTTCATGTGGTTATTGGTTGCTAAAAATGGAAGCTTATTGCTCATTGAGTATTTGTTCAGGTTGCCATGAAAACACTTATAGTCATACATCGTGCCATGAGGGAACTCGATTCCACACTTTGGGAAGAGCTTGTACACTATAGACATGTAAGGGGTCACATGATTGACTTATCATACTTTCATGAAAAATCAGTCCCCAATGGTATACACATGCTTTCCTCATTCTGATTTTTCTTCTTCTTTTTTTTTCTTCATTTGTATATATGTCACTCTCTTAACTTCATCGTTTTGATCCAAAACCCTAGATTATTCTATTTGGATCCGTAGTTATGTCCTCTACTTAGAAGAGCGTCTAAAATGTTTTGCTCTTGTGAATTACGACGTTGCAACAAATAGTTCGGTGAGTTATTTTAAAGTGTTTATGAGAAATCTCAGATCCAACAGAAATATGATAATTATTTTTTTCGTAATCTGTGAAAATTTAGAAATATTCGCAAAAGCTTGACACCCAAGAGTTGTTGGAGCAATTGCCAGCCCTACAAAATCTTCTCTCTCGACTTCTTGATTGCAAGGTTATTTTATTACAAAACACTCTCTATCTAATCATGGTGTTTAATTTCTATTTGTTAGTTTTAATGACTCATTTTGGGAAAAAAATAAAAATCTTTCTATTCACTTTTGCAGCCAAGGGGTGTAGCTGCAAATAATCGCTTAATTCAATTTGCGCTTTCACTCGTGAGACAACATCATCGTCATCGTCATCATCTAGAATTGTGTTTCTTCATTTTAGGATCTTTTGATCATGTTTTCGTTTATGATCTTCTTCATTAGGTGGCTGGTGAAAGTGTCAAGTTATACGTTGCAATTACTATTAGAGTGGTCGAATTACTTGACAAGGTGAGAAAAGATCAATACTTTCGGAATGCGACTTTATTTTATTTTTAAATTGCCAATTTAAAATATTTATGGAAAATTGATTCTAGAATGTTTTCTAAAACACCAAAATCAAAACATTTTCAGAAAACTCATTCCGAAAAGCTTATGAAGAAGTGAATTCAGATCCTATTTTTCAATAAGGATAATATTATATTTTTAAACGAATATAGGAAGCATCAACTATATATATATAATCCCAATCAAACCTAATCCTTTTTTTTTATGACAGTTTTTCGAGATGTACAAGAACGATGCTATTAGGTCACTTCAAATTTACAAAAAATCAGTGACTCAGGTACTGCATTGTCAACCTTTTAATTTGATGCATCCTTAATAATCCTTAAAAAGTTTGTATATTATGTTGGTTGAAAATTTTCATTGTAGGCAGAAAGGTTATCTCAGTTCTTTGAAATTTGCAAAAGATTGGAGTTTGGAAGGGGAAAAAAATTCATCAATATTAAAATGGTATTATTTAAGAGGAGCTTCTGTGTCATGTATTTATACATTTACATGTAATATTTATTTCCCAGTGAAAGTATTTGGCATTTCTTTATTTTGCAGCCTCCTACTTCTTTTATTATTACCATGGAAGAATATATTAAGGAGGCTCCAAGTTCCTTAATGCTTGAATACAACATGGTATGATGCTACAGTTTGAATCAATTGAATTTTTGGATCAAAAGTAGTTTTATAAAAAAAATTAACATTTTTATTTTTTATATATACAGTTTTTTTTATAAAAAATATAATATTTTTCAAATTTTTTCTTCATTTTATATTATTGATACTAATTTTAAATAATAATAATTTTATTATATTTTCATCTTACTTTAACTATTATTCATCTTAATTTTTTTTAATATATTTTATATTTATGATAAAAATTGTGATAAAAATCTTTTATTATTATTATTATTTGTAAAAAATTGTTATTAATTAATAATGAATTTATTTTATATTTATTATATTATAAAAATATTAATTTTATTAAACTTGATTTGACATATATAGGTTCAACATTTAAATTCTAAATTCATCATTCCGATTTTAAAAGTACTGAAAAATGAATTTAGGGTAACATTTAGCTTCGAATATTGCTTGGAATATATTTTAATTTAACATTCTTATCAGGACGTGAAAAGGGAAGGAATTATTGAGCACAAAAATGCAGGTTCAGCGGGTGATTTTATGATGATAGAAAACAATGCTGATAAGTCAACAAATCCTTCTGCTGAAAATAACATGCCTACACCACCACAAGCTGCTGAACTTATGGTAAATGCTGTTTATAATTATATATACACAGGTCGCTTTATTATGGAACAAATTCTAAATCAAAATGTCTTGGTTTATTAGGGTTTGTATGACTTACTAACAGGAGCATCTGAATTTGATGAGAAATCTCTAGCAACAACAATTATCGCAACTGGTAGATTATATTCTCTTACTATATATATATAATTTAATGTGATGCAACAAAAACATCATTGTGAGCTATTTCCTTTGTGCATGTAAAATTGAACAGAAAACAATTTAAACTCCACCGATGATGAGAATGAGACCAATCCAGTACTAGGATGGGAGGTTGCTCTTTTTGCTGACTTAGAAAGTAATAAGGAGAATGTAGTAACTGACATTGAGGGAAAAGAGGTTAGTATCTTGTTAAACTTCACCTATTTCTGTCATTTGTCCATTATATTTAATGACTCGGTTCGTTTTTTAAAATTAATTGATTGAATTGGTAGTTTTAATTTATTGTTTATTTTTTAAAAAAATATTTATATATTAAATTAAAATAAAAAAATAATTATAAATAAAATATTATTTTTTTAAGTTTTATTTAATAACAAAACTAAAAAATAAAAATGTAACAAATATTTTTATAATTAAGACTGAATTTATATATATATAATTAGTAGGCAGATCTATTTTATTTCTTAAAATGAGATGAATTAGAGTTTATAATTTATTTTAATTATGACTGATTAGTTCCATAAGGTGAGATATAAAATAGACAAAAACAACTTATTAATTCATTTTATTATAATATATTAAAATAACTTTAATATTAAAAAATTTAATATTAAAATTTAAGTATGAATTAGAAGTCATTTGTTAGAATTGTGAAAGTTGAAAGTTGAAAGTTGAATAATTAATAAACAAGAAAGATTCATAACTTAATAGATTAAGATTTTGGATTAAGTATACATCGATTTCATTTTGAGTATTTTTTTATTGATAGTCTTCTCCTGAATATCAATATATAATTATTGGATACAAGAAATTATAATATGACATTGACTTTTGCTTACAATCTCAGTTACAATGATTTTTGTTTTGTTTTTCATTTAATTTTGAAAAAGAAGATTGGTGGAATGGAGTTGTGGAAACATTTTGACGAGAAAAATGGTGGTGACACTCAACAAAGTGTAACTCACGATACGAGCCAAGTAACGTGGAATCCTTTTGACTTTGAGGGTAGTCATAGTGACCAATTTAGCGTGGAAGTGGCGTTCCCAACCTCACAGAATGAATTTTGTGCATTTCCAAACATGTCATCCCCAATTCCAGCTGAAATGGTGGTGGACATGCCCTACCAACATTCGTTGCAGCAACAACATGAACCTTCTTATTCTTCAAATAAAAAATCGATCAATCCTTTCGATGAAACACAACCAACTCAAAGTACTTAGGATTATGATATTCTCCACTCACTCGTATGATTTGTACATTTGAAAATATGTAAGTCAAAACAACCATTAAAGTTTCAAATTTAGAGTAAACAACCATTTTTCCTTTTTGTTTACCCCTTGATGTGTGTATATATATATATATATGCATGATTGCATGTGTATGTGTAGCACCCAATAATTGTTTTGGGTATTCGTGATGCGGTTTGATTTAATTTTGTTCTAAAAAATCACTCCAATAAAATTTAAAATTTAAACGCGGTTTTGTTTTATTTGGTTTGGTTTTATTTAAAAAAATTTAACAAAACTAAACCAATCTTTTATAGTTTAATTTAATATTTTTGTGTGTTTTTTTATTATAAATTATTAAATATATTATCATAAAATATTATTCAATAAAAATATTTTATAAAATATTATGCATAATTAATTATGATATTTTTAATTTTATTTTTTTTATAATTTTTTGTATTTAATTTAAAAAATAATAATACATGTTTTATATTATAAAAACTAATCAACTCATCACACTAAAGGTTATTTTATATTTTATATTTTAATTTTAATCGTATACATTATAATTTAGGTTGATTTCAATTTGGGTTAATTTCTAAATATTAAACCAAAAATTGAATTGAAGCAATTGGTTTTAAATATTTTAATCCAATAAATAAATGGTTTTGATCGAATTTTAAATTTTATTTTTTTTTATCAAATTTTTATTTTAATTTTAAATTAATTCAACTTTGAACACCTAATTATTTTGATTATGTGTACTAATTTTGATATCAAATAAAAACATCTTTTCTACCTTTTTTATTCAATAAATATGTAAAGTATCATAAACAATTAATTTACTTACTGAAATATTATGTTTTCATGAATATTCATAATCTTCAATTAGAGGGAATTTAAATGAATGGTTTCATGAATAAACTTAGCATTTACGTCATTTATTCCATTCCTTGCATATATTTATAAGGGATAAGTATTTTTTTTAATTTGTTTTTAGTTCATTACGTTTAAATTTATTATGTCTTCAACTTTTGAAAATATGTTAACTTATTAGTTTTTTTTTATATATATTTAAATTAACATTTAGTCATGGCTTTTACCATCATAAATTCATAACTAAACCGATAAAACATTTAATTTAAATCATTTTTATATCTAAATTTAATATTTAGTAATATTTTTTATTGTTACAAAATTATAAAATGATTATTTACAATTTTTTAAACATTTGAGGACAAATTAATCAATTTTTAAAATATAAGGCCTAACACAAAATATAGGAATACATATTTAACCATATTAATTATTTTTTGAGACTAAATTGTACAAATAACCATTAATATTCTCTTAACATTAACATGACCATAGTAGATTGTTGAAACATTTTCATCACTAAATAAAATACCATTTTTGCAAATTAAATTATGAAAAAAGAAGAATGGGATGTGAATATCTAACTTTACATTCAGTAATTTTGTTATTTAAAATAAATGTTTGATATTGTAAAATGTATTATTTGTCACTCTAAATTATTATATTTATGATTATAATAAATTTTTGAAAGTAATTAATTAATAGATAATATTCCTAAAATTATTTAATAGACTTATAATTAAATATAAAATAATTTTACCGACGGATATTTATTAATCATTTATGAAATCGCGTATTATAATAAAAATATTATAATCCAATATTATAATAGCTTTTATAGAAAATCGCGTATTACTAATATTTTATGCATATATTATAATCCAATATATAGCACTTCCTTAAACTTAACTTAAATACAATTATTGATTGATACTTATTTATATAAAATATTAAATAATTAATTTTTCAAATACCATGATAAATTTTAAAACTAAAAAGGAAATTATATTATTGATTTTTTAAATAATAATTGATAAGGGAGAAAAAAATTTAAAATTTAAGTTCCATTTATACTAGATATAGTTACATGAATATAAAAATGTATCGTAACTTAAAACCGATTTTTAAAAGAAAATAAATATATATTTGTACTCAATTATTTATATGAAATACATAATCGAAATAGAATATAAATTTTTTCATATATAATAATAATAATAAAATCGTATATTCAGAGCAATTTAAAAAAAAATCCTAAAAAATCACTTGTCATTTAAAAAATTGAATATCTCATCATATTTAAAAAAAGAAAAAACTATTTGCATTCATTTAGATAATAATAATAATAATAATAATAATAATAATTTTTAATGTTATAATAGACATCTGCACAACAAACCTTGTAATAATGAATTAATGAAATAACTTACATAAGAATACAAATAAATTAATGAATTTTTGTCAAAAACAAACTTAGTAATAATTTATGATTTTTGTAGCCCCAAATCAAATTTCTGCAAGCATAATTAATGAATTAATGGAGTTAAAAATTAGAAGAAATTTTTTTTTTTTTGCAAAACTTAAACACTTACTACGAAAATTAAAATTAATACGTAGAACAAAGTAAGAAAGACAGCAAGGAAGCTTTCCGATGAGGTTTTCTGAAAGAGGAAGTGGATTGCGACTGCAGAGTGAAGGGCAACTTTTGCTTTTCATTCACACAATTTATAAACTGCCATTAAAAAGAATTGGGGTGTCATATCGACACACATCTTGAAAAATGAACCTAAAATAATGGCATGCGATTGCACATGATTTTACAATTTTTCACCACCCAGAACCTGAACATGATTCATCAGATACACTTCTTGTTTCTGGGATTCTGTCTCTTCAAGGTATGTGAAGATAAGGAGGAGAACTGGTGGTTCATAACATGTGTTTCTTTTTTTCTTCAGTTCAACAGAACTGCAACATCTCTCTGATGTAGCTTCATCACTTGTAAACATGTTTTAATTTGGTTAATTTTGGAACCCAGAAAGAAGAACACAGACACCCTCAACATCATTTCTGCATGAAAATAACAGTTTTCTCTTGCAGCATTTAAGTGAGATTATTGTGATGTTTTAATTTCACAGGCTCAGACCAATTTGTTAGCTTGCTGTTCTTTATCTCTCCTCAGTTTGAATCATCTGATGAGAGATTCCTGTCTTCAGCTTTATCTTGGGAGCTGTCCTACTTTCTATTCAGGTACCTCTTCTCTCTCTGGCACCTGTTTTCTTCTCCCATAGTAAATTTCATTTTCTTTATCTGATGTATGTGACTTTTCTCAGACATTCTGTCCCTTTCTCTGTTCTCTGTCGTCACAGTCTTGAGCTTTTTTATTTGAACTCAAATTATTCATAACAAAATTTCAAATTTTATATTCTAATCAAGGATATATTTGATTACCACCGTTGAGTTTATCTTTGATTAGATGGATTTTGGCTAATCTTCTTTTTAGTCCTTTTATATATTTTGTGATCATTATGATTGGACGATGACATGGCTTACCAAATTTTAATGGTCTTTGTAAAAATTGAAATCCTAGGTCAAGATCGAACTATCAAAATCTATAAACAAAAATGATGTTATAATTAATGAAAGAACACAAAAATCTCCCATAATTAGCGGCTACAACCCATAATACATAGAATGACTTATGGATGGATGGGTTTGGTTCAAGTAAAAGGGCCGTTTTTATTTTTTCTTCATTCCAATTTCAAAATCAGGTTTCTTCTTTAAAATAAAAACTTTTGTAATTTCAATTTCAAAATCAGGTTTCTTCTTTAAAATAAAAACTTTTGTAATTAGATCAAACATGTGAAGAATTTTCTTGAAATTTCATGTAGACGGTAGAAATAATGATATTATAAAATATAAATAAATAATGATATTATAAAATAATGAGAATATTCATTGATTGACATTATTAGAGTGATTAGAGTTGCATATTAATCCACTCATTACCCGAAAAGGAAATTGGCTTACATTTTACAAGTGTCGCATAACTTTTTTGTTCTGTTTCCATGAAACGTAAAATCCGGGTTCTTTTCTTCATTTCATACTTCCTTACTTTATCACTCAAATTACTTAACTACCCTGTTCAGTCGCAGTAGTCAATCTTTTATTATTTATATTTTGAAATATTTTTAGTTTTTTCGTAGAATGCCTCAACTTTTTTTCATAATAACTTTCTCTGTATCTTTCATATTACAATAATGTATGTGTTAGTATTATAATATCATATATATATATATATATATATATATATTTTTTTTTTAATTTATTAAGAAATCATATAAACTCTTCATTATCCTACCTCATTAATTTGATTTGAATCCATCTAACTTTCATTCATATATAATGTAAAAAAAAAAAAAAACTTGTTTTATGTATATAAACATTTCACATTATTTTTTGTGCTTTTTATTTTATCCGAACCTTCTTAATTATTTTTAAAAGTTAAAATTTATATATTTTAAAAATATTAGAAGATGTTCTTCATTTAGAAAAAAAGTTCGTACAAATGTTAAAAAATAAATATCTTTGTTTAAAAAGTTATTTTTTTTATTAATATTTCATCTCACTTATTTATCTTTTCTCAAGTAAATAAAATATAAAAATTAAAATTTATTATTTATAATCATTTTTCTGTATTGTTTTATTTATTTCAAACTTGATATATATTTATAAAAGCAAATTTTCGATCAATCAAATTTATAATCGATTATATATAGTAAATAATCATTCCAATTATAATTTATTATCAAAAGAAACAAGAAAAAAATAACATTTTATTAATTTTATTTGAGATGAAAATTTAAAAAATAATTGAAAAATGTTACACTATATAATACATGTTTCATACAAAATAAGAATGAATCTATTTAAATATAATTTACTAATTCAAATTTAAGGGATAAAAGAAAATTTTAAATTTTAGTACCGAAATATAGTTTTTTTACGTTCTTAATTCATTATGGAAAATCACTCTACAGGATCTTTAGATTATTGATTTTCACAATATAATATACATCAATACATGAATTATAGTAAGAGGACTAACTTTGATTCACGAGAATCTATTATTTAATCTTTTTATTCTCCAATCTCCTTTTCTCAATCTATCTTTTTATCTTTCATTATTTTCACACGCTTTTTTGATGATTTACAGTGAAAAAAACTTTATGACCAAAGACAAAACCTTTATTCCATTTTATTAACCAACGTCTATCAAATTGATTACCGTAAGTTAATATTTTATTTTATATTTATTTTATTCTAATTTCACATAATAACCAATAAATTCTCATATTTTATTAAATCACATTTGAGTCCTTCGTTATATTTCACATTAGTAAGATAATTGAATGAATTAATTAAATTAATTCTAACATGTTATACTTAAAAACAAGAATATTTTAATTTTATGTTTGTTATAATAATATTTTTATAATTTATTATTATATTTATTTTAAAACTTTAATCCAGTTTTATTTTTAAAAAATATATTGATGGAATGAAATATATACTTTGAAGCCACACGAAACCCATAAATATACCAAATCAACATCGTGTTCATGAAAGCATAAATCCATTATTACTTGTTATTCAAATACTCTTATTTTTTGCAACACAAAATCTCAAATATATCGCAATATGCCAATATTTAAAGAAAAGGTAAGGAAGAAGGTCAAAAGTTCCCAACTTTTGAATAAGGGCAGGAGTGGAATTGCCCTAATTGAATAAGGCTACGAAAGGAAACAAGAGGGGCAGAGGTTGCTTGCGCAAATGTAGCTAATTTGGTCTTCGGTGGCAAGCAACAAGGAAAAAAAGAAAAAGAAAAGAAAGTGAAAAGAAAAGGAAAAAAAAAAAAGGAAAGTTAAGGTGAGGAAGTGATTTGAGTTGAGGAAATGTGGTGGTTAAGCCGAAGCAAGCAGATTTATCTCATGTCTAAAACTGTACGCACACCCACCATTCATTTTCCTTATTTTCTTCTAAATTTATGGGACCATGTCATGTTTATCGGACAAAATTCCACTCACAGCTAGCACAGCTAGATATGCATTCTCAACAACACCATCCTTTTCAAACATAGACAATTCTGGCTTTCATGCAACCCTTTTCCGCTTGTTTTCTTTTTCTTTTTTATTTTTTTTGACAAAATACGCGCACCAGCACCCACTATTTGGTCCCTTCCCATTTTGTCTCCAAACACTGCTATAAAGTTTTAGTTTTTTCTTCACCTGTGCCATTTTTTGTCATATATATGTATATATATATTGATCATACCATTATATGATGGTGGTGGCAGCTACTGAAGCTGAGGCAGCTGAATATGGTGAGGATTGTAGCTGTCAGGGCCTACTGGATCGAAGAATACAGTCTTTGACACAAGAATCTTCTTCCTCAGGCAAATGGGTTTTCTTAGCTAACTGTCAAGGATGCCATAGTGGTAGCATAAACTGTTTCTGAACTCCAATTCTTGCCATCTCACTACATTTCTCTTCTTCATCTCCTGTTTTTGAGTTTTGATTTCTGATGCTGCTGATGGTGATATTGGCTAGACGGCTCAATCTGTTAGCTAGTGATAGCATTGTTATTATTTGTTTTCTGCTACCTTTTCCTTTTCATTGTTTGACCCATGAGTGGATATTGATTAATTCCAAAGAAAACACTAGTTCTATATTGATTTGCCACAGGTCTGGTTTATCATTATGATCTCAGGTCCTTGAGTGGTCTTTTGGGTTTTGGTAATTTTGTTTTCTGCATCTTGAAGCCAATCCTGGGAAAGAAAAAGTTTGGAACAAGATTTCAACATTGGGTTTCTACAGATGGTGAAGCAGCACCCAGTGCTGTAACTTTTGGGTCAGTGATCTTTTAATTTTGGGGGTCCCTTATATAGTACAGTACAGACCCTTCAAAATCCAGCCACTGTTTTATTACCGTTTCAAATTTTATGTCAGTCTTTCGTTTCTGTCTCTTCTACACTATTTTCTTGTTTTCTCTTGGCAAATGAGCTTCATCATTAACTGTGACAGTAGAAGAACCTCTGTCTCATATTATATACAATAGTACTGTTTATTGTTTTTTCTTTAATCTATTCTCACATAAATTACTTCACTGATTAATAGATAAATAAAATAAATAGTGCTGTTTTTAGTATGAATTAAGTAGTTGAATCTAGTTCTTGTTCTTAATGGTTGATAATTTAATTGTAGTTAATAGTTTTAAAAAGCTTAATGTCAGACTTGTGTGTTTGAGATTTTAGTAGTGAAAATGATTTTGATATTATGCTGACGTGAAAAAATGGGTAAAGCTTAACTTTTTAACTCTATACTGTTCCTAATTTTAGGTTATAATTTCTTAGTTCATCATTAACTTAACGTGTAAATGGAGTCCACATTTTTCATATCTACTGTTATATTATTCTGAGACATAAGATTGAGTGAGTATAAAATGCAAAATGATGTAAATTTATGGAAATAATATTAGTAAGAATCATGGTAATAATATACCTATCTACATAATATAATAGAAATAACGGTAAATATATACATATCTTTATAATCTAATAAAAATAATGGTAATTTAGTTGTTGTATTGAGTTAAAACAAAATATTTAATATTTAATATGCAATTAAATATTTTATAATTTCCTATATCGATCATTTAAAGTGAAAATATCTTTGAAAATTTACAATTCATAATTGTTAAATGTAAAGATAACGATTATTTAACATCAATAACCCAAAATAATATTTAATAATATAACGTAGTTTATTTTGGATTTTCTCTCCCCTCACAAGCCTAAATTTAAGTTTATGGAATATTTTTTTTTTAAATTTACATTTGGATTTAAATTTAGAAAATAATTACGTACATCAGCTTTTAGCTTATACCAACTTTAGTTGCTACTAAACAATAAAATATTTTAATGCTAGTATTTTTCATATGTAATCAAATATTCATCAATTATTATTATAAATTAATGAAAGATATATATAATATAACGAATTCAGACAATTTTTTTATATTTGTCTTTCTGCATATTTATAGTACATGACCAAAATATTTATAATTCGGTTAAGTGGTCGTTAGTATCTACAATCTTGCACCAAAATCATAACTTATCTGTTGTTTCTGCATATGTTTTTAACTCAAAAATTGTTGAATTGGTAGACCTTTAGTTGTTAATATTATCAATAATTATTTTACTCATTGCATAAAAAAATCATAATCAAACTTATTATAAACAACTGAAGACATTGATTCACGTCCACTTCCCTATAACATTGTGATCATAGAGTATGAATTTGCACTATAGAAACTTTTCAATCTAAAAGCTATGATTGCCACAACCTAAATCTCAAGAAAACAAAGGACAGGGGAAACCATATTCAAGCCTACCAAAATTTCAAATTGCGTTCATATTAGTGTCTAGTGTATACATTTGTTGGTAACAATTCAACCTAGAGAATCTAATTCAATCTTCATCTAAGAACCTCCCCAAAAAAAAACAATCCTGTGTATACAAACCGTATGTACATGTAATGCAGTGAGTTGTCTAAGATGGCCAGTCTGTAGGTACTTCATCAAAGCCAGAAGTGCAACATTGCCTGTTCATAGAAATTTACTATCATTAGTTTTTATTTGAAATGTTAGGGATAAAGAGCACAAATAATTCAAAACTGCATCAAAAGCCAGTCCCAACCTATCCTACCCCATGATCCTCACATGTAAACTAATACCAAATGTACAGTGTATACCACAGAGAATCAAAGAAACACTCATTCTGACAATAGATCATTTCTTGTTCCTCTCAAAAAGTGAAGGAAAAAAAAAACAAGAGATTGTATATACCTCTTGGAGAGAAGCCAAAGACAGGTCGTCCTTAGGACTGGTTTTTTTGGTTTTCAAGCTTCTTATCTCTGATTGTATTGATTGGAGTTGACTTTGTATGTCCTTTAACAGCCTCAACTGCTCTTCACCATATTCATGAGTAATCTCTTGCTTTGCACTAACACTCTCCCTCTCAAGCCTCTCAATTCTCTGTATCAGCTTATGTAACTCAGCTTGAGAATTGCAATCCTCACCCATCACTTCTTTTTTATGGTCACTCACAGTCATCATAACTGTAGGAGAAGGAGTTTTGATTTCACGATGCACTTTAAGCATACCCTTTTTCTTTTCTGCTCCAAGTTTGACAAGTGATTCAATCGTTCCCTGAGACACAGGATCTGGTTTTGTTAATCTGTTCTCTGCACCCAAATTCAACCCTTTTCCATGCTTTTCACTAGTTTGTGGGACTTCATACACATCATGGACATTATGCAAGCCAGGAGAATCGTTAACAACTCCTCCATTATGTGAACTTTCACCTTGATTCACTTCGTCTGTGTTATTAGAGAGCAACCTCTCAATGCTTGCCTGTGATATAATTGAACAGGACCTTCCTCTTCTACTACTCAAATTTGCACTCTTTTCTCCTTCAGCACAATCCGAAATGACCCTCACTTGTTCATTCAACTCCTTTATCTGGTTCAAATAAGAATCAAGAGTTCCACTGCTACATGAAAAGTCAACTGACTTTCTTGTCAGATCCAAACTAGTTTGAGCTACTTCCTTGTCAGTACTCTCCTCCTCTACTATCTTAGGAATCACATCAAGAACTGGACTAGGTGATCTTTCCCTGGTAGCAGCTCTCAAGGAACTCAGAAACTGAATTGCGGGCATTGAATGTAGCCTTCTAACGGTGCTACTCTGCTCCCCATTTTCTCCGTTTCTTTTATCACTTTTATTCAGCATCAAATCCTCTGGGAACTCAAACTCATTAGCACTGAGTTCACACCCCAAGCTCATAAGTTTGTGTCTATAAGCCTGGACTTGAAATTCGAGAGACACAATTAGCATTTCCTTCTGATACATAAGTTCCTCAAAAGCCTCAAGAGAGGCCTCAGCATGGCCTATCTTCTCTTCTGCCACCCTCTTGTAGTGACCTGCCTCCATCTTCACCACAGCCTTCTCTCCCTGCAAACGCAGTATCATGTCCAGTGCTTCACTCGTTGCAGTAGCTGAAGCTTCTCTTTCCTCATCCAACTCAGCATATAGCTTTTCCAGAAGTTGCTGCTGGGCACGAAGTGTCTCCTTCATCGCTGTTACATCACTTTTACTTCGAGATATCACAGAACACGTTAAGCTTTCTGCCATTCTAAACCTTGCTTATTGAACCTATTACCAATTCCTGAACACACAACATAGAAATTCAATATCAGTACATAACAACCAACCTTCAATTCACAATCATTAAAGAATGATAGGGGGGAAAATATTGTTATTTTTTGTTCAATCAATGTAACTGAGGCATATTGTCATTCACAGACCGATTTCAATATTTTCAGATAAATCATGAAGTATTAACGGAAAGAGAAAATGTCGTGGCTAAAGGCATGTGAACACGAGCGTATGAATGAATGAATAAATAAATTAATTAATTAATAAATGCACAAAACCGACGAAAATAATGAAAGCGTATGAATGAATAAATGCACAAAACCGATGAAAATGAAGAAAACTAGTTTTGAAAGTCTAATACTCCATGTGCCGCATCTCAGAAACAGAACAGCGATACGAGCAATACATACGATGAAGAAGAAGATGAGGATCCATTAACAGATATACCATAACGAAGAATGAATCGATGATATAAAAAGCAACAACTTACCAGTAACCACTACAGAATCTCAACCCAACTGAAAATCAGGAATCAACAGTGAGAAAAAATAGAGTAAGCGCGAATGCGATGTTGTAGTGAAGGGGTGTTTGGTCGGAAACAAGAGGAAGGGAAATAAACTTGGAAAAATGAAAAAGATTGGTTTGCTTAGAAAAGGGGAGAACTAGAGTTTAAAACTGTACACGCTTTTCAAACAAGGAAAAAGACTTCAGACCAAATCGAGAATTTATCTACTTTCCTGAATGGGTAGAATTAGAATGGAACAAACAAGAAAATCACGCGAAGGAGCGTGAAGAAGCAATCTGCTGCAAAATTGGGTCAGAAATACCAAAGGGGCACTCACGCATCGTGTGCACAATCCACACAAAAAAAGTAAAAAAGCGAGCTTTTGTTATACGTGCACGAACTGCACTGAGTCAGGCGCACAGAAAACACGAGGAAAAGGACACAGTGTGGCTTTCGGTTTCCAGTTACGCGCACAAGACAAAATCACGGTTTGTTAACGTTTTCGTGTTTGTTGGTTTCAATGCCAACACATTCATTTATTTATTTTTTTTTTGGTGTTTTTAATCTCACGAGTGATTAAACATTTCTCATTTCCTTGTTTTAGGTGGTAATGGGTTTGATTCTTTCCCACGAACCTTCGAGTGCTGCTTGCCATAGTTGCTGCTCTCTCTCTGTTTTATACTTAGTTTGATTGTGAATGGAAAAGAAAAGAAAAAAATAGGAGGAAAAACAAAAGAAGAAGAAGAAAGAAATAGATACAAATAGAAATTATTTAATAAAAAAATGTTTAAGAAGAAAAAATTAAATATAAATATTTATTATGAAAAAAAAGAAAAAGAAAAAGTAAACGAAAATTAAAATATTTATTATTATTATTTATTATAATCAATATTTTATTTATTTTTCTCTCATATTTTTTAATACTATGTATAGATAATTAATAGGATACATTATTATCCATGGCATTTTATTTTTATGTATTATTTAATTTAGTTTTTAAATTTTAAAAATTTTGAATTTAGTCTTTTATGATTTTAAAGTGGTTTAAAAATCAAATTATTATTACTATTATTATTATTATTATTATTAAATAGGTTTAATAGAATATATCAATCTAAAACATCCTCTTAACCAGTCATGTTAAACAAACAAAATTTGTGTTTCAATTTTGAATTGGATATTTTTATTTTTCATTCCTCTTAAATGAATAGCTAATTAAAGACTTTGAGTAGTTATATTTTATAAAATACTAATATTTAAAAAAATAAAAGTAATATTATTTTAATATAATATATAGGTTGATTATAATTTACATATCAAATTATTATTATACCTAGAGTTAAATTAACTTCATTAATATATATTTTTAATGGATAAAATTAATCCTCAATTTGAGTTTGACCCAAATTTAAAAATCATAAACTTCTTTCTTAAATAATAATTTTTCTCGTCTCCACCACGTGTTAGAGTAATGTTTTGATTTTTATTTATTAGCTTACGTAGGTTAAGATATTGTCGATTAACAAAATATTTATTTTAGACCCAAATATGTTTTATTATTAAGATTTATGAAATTATTTTATCATGAAACATAATTTTAAGAATTAATTTAACAATAAGTCATAGACTATTTTATCTTCGAATCATATATATTCAATTTTTTTATTATCTAAAATATTAAAAAAAAAAACTGAAAGGATAATCGACGGACGGGAATTGCGGAGTTGCACAAGGCATCGTTTCTATTGGCTACAGGGAAAGACAGCACGACGCCGTTCGCCGACCACCTGATTTAATAGAATTGGTTGTCAAATAAAAATGAAGTCAACTCCTACACTTGCAGAGATTAGAACCTTCCTTCTATTCAGCACTTGCAGATATTAGAACCTTCCTTCTATTCAGCTTTAATAACATTATTATGGTAGTGATGTAGTGGTGGATATTTATTATTCATATTATATTACAGAGTATATAATATATTATTAATAAATAATAAATAAATATAAAATGAGGAAAGAAGATAAAAATAAATAATAAATTATTTTTTTGGTAAAATAAAAATAGTGATGAGTGAAAATGAATATGATAAAAAGTAAAAAAAATTTGAAGAAATTAGTTTGGTGTGACTATTATTTATTTTTTGTGAGAACTTATCTTTGTGTTCGCTATGTTGCGTTGTTATAATTTTGAATAATAATAATAAATAATATTTGGTAGTTTTAGTTTTAGGTGAATAATAATAAATAATATTTGGTATTTTTAGTTTTGAAACAAAAAATTAAAACGTGTTAACAAAAAATAATTTAATTTAAATATGTAAACAAAATAAAAATTAATTTGAATAGAGTTATTGGAAATATTTTTTAAATTAATTTCTATTCGACTAACTAATTTGTTTCATCAAAAGTATCTCAAACTAAAAAAAAAGTGTCATTCAATAATATTAGGAAAATATGACAGAGCTGTATTATTGTATTGTCTTCATAAGTTTCAAAATTGTGATTATTGAAATGTTAACCTTTTTCAATTTTTAAAAATATATATAATTTATGATATTTTTTATATCAACTTGATGTTTTTTTCTTTACTTCTTTATATATAATATTTATTTGAAAATTTTTCATTGAACTTAATATTTATCAATTATCTCGTTTAACTTATTTCTTATAAAATATTGATAATCACTTTAGTTGTGTCATAATGCAATCTAGTATTTTTGTATGTATCTTTTGTGTGTACATAGTCAATGTAGAAAAAAACTTTGTTCCAAATTTTTTTTGTCATACCAATCAATCATATGAATAATTCTTTTCATAATTCAAGTTTCACTAAATATAGAGTTATTCATACTTAAATTAGATGTGTAGTTGGTTAATAATTTAAATTAAATGATCAATTAGACGTGTAATTGATTAATATGTTTATCATATTATCAATATTTTTGTGGGATGCTATGTGAAGTGTAAGTTATTCAGTCTTTTATTTGATAGTCAATATTTCCACTAGATGTTTTGTTGAAAATGAGCTAGTCAAATTTTCATAAATTGGTTAATGTTGTATAAAATGATAAACTCTTGTTAGTTAAGTCGGTGAGTTTCGACTTATTAATAATATGTATAGTGAGTCAATATTTTATTAGAGTACGTAGAGTTTTAACTTGTTGGTCAACATATTAGTAAACGATTTGCTAGTGATCATTTGGTCATGTTTGAACTAGTTGTGTATAAGATACTTCATTGAAGTAAATTTCTGTAGTATACTTAAAAACTTAATGGTTTTGTTACAATCAAAATCTAAGTAAACTTTTTGTTACTTTTTATGTGATCTAATTGATTTATCAAACCTTTTAAATATTTCTTAAAAGAGATTGAATGTAGGCTTTGAGTTAGGGTAAATTAACATAGAACCTTATTATTACCTGCTTCTAAGTTATTGGTTTACTTACAACCTTTGAATAATGGTGAACTAGTATAAAAGCATTGTTATTATATGCTTCTAACTCATCGGTTTGCTTATTTCATTCATTGCATATATTCATTTAAATAAATAACACTATTAAAACTATTGCAAAATTATTTTAAAATTCTTTATTATATTCAAATGGTTTCTTCATTGTCCTACTAAAATAATGATATAGAACAATTTTATCTTACATTTTAATACTATCTGATAACACCTTACTATTTGTGATTAGATAACTTGACAAATCAACTAATAAAAAATGATTTTTAAAATTCTATTCAAACCAATTTGTTCTATATAAAACAATAGCAACTCAAGAACAAATTGAAAATTAAAAAATAAAATAAATAGGATAATAGAATATGCTACTTTCATGATGAAAGATATGTGCTAAGTTAATTAGCACTAGAGTCATCGAAAAATTAAAATAATATAATATGTGAAAGGAAAAATATTTCTAAAGAACTTAGGATGAGAATTCAAACTTTTCTTCAATTTAAAATTCAAATATTTGATATAAATAGATAAAAAAAGCCTTATACGCTAAGGATAGAAAATAAAAGGATATAATTATGCTTTATTTAAGTGGTAATAAAACATTTATAAAAATAATTTAAAAAAAAATATTACCATAAAATCTTACATGGTTTAATCTACAAATTTTTTTATGGTCTTATCCTTCAATTTTAACACTTCAGTATTGTGAAACCTATTAATAACTTTATAATAAAAACATAACGTGTTTTTTAACTCTAGAAAAAAAGGAAGTTAAAGAAGTAGCTAAAAATGTCTTTACCTACTTCTTCTAAGTTAGAAGTGGTAGATTTTATTAGTTATTTGAACCTATGTTTTTTTTTCATATTATTATATTTAATATGTTTCTAAAATATTTTAAAAATAATATAAATAAAAAAATATTGTTGTTAATTCGACGGTTAATAAATTAAAAAAAATTGGTTTCTCATTCAATTCAATTCAATTAATGATGATAACTAAATTTTTGGATCATTAAATTATTATTTTTTCTAATCGTGTTTTTATAGGTTCTCGTAGATAAAAACTAATATATATGTTCCATATATAAATTAATTAATTTATCTTAAAGAATTTTTTCATATTAAATATTTTCGACAGACATTTGTAACATATATATACTCTTGGGTATAAGCTTACTCAAATATTGATAAAAAAGCATAATTATATTTCGGTTCTTATTTTTAAAAATTTTAGTCCCTTGCTTTCTTTTATGTAATTTTGATTTGATCTCTATATTTTATTAAAATCATTTTATGCAATTTTAGTTGTTATATTTAACTAAATCCAAAATTTTAGTCCTTAATTTTTCTTTTAAAAATTTGGATTTTTTTAATTATCACTATTCATTAATTAATTTCATTTTCAGTTTTTTAAACATTTACTATTACACTCAATTATGTTTGATATGATAATTTGAATAACTAAATTAATAGTCACTTTAAATAATTAAAATGTTAATTTTATTTTCAATAATTGTATTATTCTTAGATAATACCATTCTTAAATAATTTGAAAATAATTTATAATATAAATTAATAATATCATAATCTATATAAAAATAAGAAAAAATTAACTTGGTAGCATAAAAATCATTCTTTATAAATTTAATTTGATAGAATAATAAAAAAAAAACTATGAATCACTAAATAAAAATAATGAAAATGAATAAGGAACAAAATTGTGGAAATAAAATTAAGAAATAAAAATAAAATTTTAATGTAATTTTGATCTTTAAATTTTGGCTTTGAAGTTTTCATACAATTTTGATTTCTATATTTAGCTAAATCCGAAATTTTAGTCCGAAAGAAAAATATAATTTGATAGTATACAGATTTTTCTTTATAAATTTAATTTGATAGCATAATCAACTGTTTTTAAAACAAATATAAATATAATTATGAATTACTAAAATTTAAAGGATCAAAATTATGAAAAAAGTAAAGAACAAAATTGTAAATTTTGTGAAATATAAAGATTAAAATGGTGGAGATTAAGATCTAAATTTTATTTTGTATGTAATTTTGACCTTTGTATTGTAAATTTTATTTTATTTTTTCTTTCTTCTCATTTATTTCTTGTTACTCTATTTTTCTTTATCTCATGCTTATTTTCTTTTTTCTCTTTTGTTCTTTTATTTTTTTCACTCATCTTATTCTTCTAATTAAAAATAGTAAATTAAAATTTGATATAATAATTTTTTATTAATAAAAAAATATTTAAATTATCCTAAAATATTATAATTTAATATATTATATTTAAAAAATATTATATTATAAATTTGAGGTATTATAAATTGTTATGTTATAATCATTAAAAAAATGATTATTTTTTAAAGTAATTTTTAATAAATATATTTTTAAAATTATACTAATCTTCATAACTCAACCTAATTATAATTAAATTAAATTATTAAATAAAATATATATTTAACTCATAAATATTTAATATATTTTAATTCGTTAAATAATTAAATTATTACAATAAAATAATTTACAATTAATTATGTTATTATAAATAAAATTATTTTTTGTCATCATAATTTTAAATAACTAGTTGATATTTTTTAGTTTTGATATTGATTTTAAAAAAATTATATATATAATTTTTATTTACAACGAGAAACATGATATATATTTTCTTAATAGTAATAAGATGATCATTTGTAATATCTCAAATTTATAATATAATATTTTTAAAATATAATATATTATATTATAATAATTTTAAAATATAATATATTTTATTATAATATTTTTTTTGATAATTTTAATATTTTTATTTTTGAAAAATATGATAAAACTTATTTTATCAAATTTTAATTTAATATATTTAATTATAGAAATAAGAGAAGTGATAGAATAACAAAATAGAGAAAAAAAAGAGTTAGAGAAAAAAAAGAATATAAAAAATAAATAAGGAGACAAAAAAAAGTAAAAAACGTAAACGAGAAAAAATTAGTAAAATACTTGAATACAGGAGTTTATTTTTCATTATTGAATTTTGTGTTTGAACATTAACCATGTTGGTAAATAAATTTATATAAATTCTATTTAAGTACTTTTTTTTAAATATATTATTTAAGAAATTGATTTAGTAATCTCAACTTATTAAAAAAATATTTCATAATTTAAAGATAATAAGAAAAATTAATTTGATAACATAAAAAATAATTATTTATAAATTTAATTTGATAGTATTATATAATTTTTAAAAATAAAAAATAAATATAACTATGAATAACTAAAATTTAAAGGATTTAAATTATTAAAAAAATGTAAATTTTATAATAAAGATTAAAATAGCGAAAAATTAGATTAAAAAGTAAAATGGATCAATGCAATGAATAATATATTAAAAAAAGTTACTATGTAAGTTTATTTATTTATTTAATTACAGTTTTTACTGTTTATATTCAAGATTTAATAATAATTTCATTTTTAACATAATACATTTTTTTCTTTTCTAATTTATTTCTCTTATTTATTTATTTTTCTTTGTTATCTTCTAGTGTTTATTTTTCTGTTATTACAGATAAAATTATTAAGTTAATTATTTACTGTCATAACAAATAAAATTATTTATTTTTATAATAATTTTAAATAATTGGTTGATATTATTTTAGTTTTATTATTAATTTTAAAACATTTACTCTAAGTTTTAATTAGAAGATTAACCACAAGATCAGAGGAGAAAAATAAGATAAATAATTGAGAAAAAAATTAATAAAAAAAGAGAAGAAAAAAAAACATATATAGATAAACATTAAAGAGACTTATTTAATTAAATAAATTGATAAAAATTTATTTAAATAAATTTTATTTTAAAATGTATTATTAAGATTGAATTAACTAAAATTGCATATCTTATGAGATATACTTAAGAAATCAAAATTAAAATTAAGAGTCCAAAACGGGTTATAAAATATCGTGGGTAGAGTCAATGGGAGGCTCCATAAATAACCAACAAATTAATCAGGTTTTGTGAGGGAGTGAGAAAACCTCTTTGAAATCTGACACTACTAAAGTTCCACAAATTCGCAGGTGAGGTACTACCCTTCGCTCTCTTTTACCAATTCTTTACTTGCTTCAAATAAATTGCTCCATCGACTTGTTTGTTGCCTTTATTTTCTCAACCGAATTTTGCTTTCTTCGTGAAGCTTCCTATTATACTGAAATTAAAAGTATTAAATGTCGTCATTATTGTTCATTTTTTCAATTTTTTTCAGTTTTGTGGACTGTAATTGCGTTATCAAAGAGAAACACCTGAAAAGTAATAAATGGTATGTGCATCACTTTTCTCTGCCGTTTTAATTATAATCATTCTTCACTGTGTTGAATGTACTTAGAGGAATTTCGCGATGAAATATAACTTTCAAATTGAAAGTTAATGATTGTGTTTGCATGTTTGTTTTCAAGTAATATGCGGGTAATTGTACAAATTGTTCTTTTATCTTTGTTTTTAGGTTGTGAAAAATGATAAAAGAGTAAAGGAATTGGTAAAAACAGTAGTCTTTGCTGTGCTTTCATGAGAAAGGAAATAAGAGACTAACGTGAATGTTATTCTGTATACTTACCCTCTCTTTCCCCTACAGTGTGTTAGTGTAGAGCCTTTTGGTAAATATTAGCTGTGATGTTAGGGCTTTAGAGATCATGAAGATTTTTATAACTTGTTTGATTTTTGTTCCTTCAAAACTGCACATTTTGTTACTGAGGTTGAATCATGCTATATGATGGTTATTGTTGTTTGTGTCTGGAAAAGAATAGGTTATTCCCTGTTTTCTTTCAATTTCATTATCAATTTCTGTCGGCCTTAGCCAGGTGTGCTTTAGTATCATTCAATTATAAAACAGATACTCTGAGCTATGATAAGCCATCGGTCCTATAATGTTAAATGCTATTCTCACTCATAGCGTAGATGGGGATTTGTTGGGTAATTATTGTTGGACATCTGTTATGCAATATGAGGAATTTTTAGTGATCTCAAACTAAAGTACTGTTTATTGTCAGGATATGTACATTCGGGTTAAACGTAGTAAGACAACCTACTTCATCCGGTGCAAGGCATCTGATAAAATTCTTGACATAAAGCAGAAGTTGCAAGAACTTGTTGATCAGCCAGCTAATAATCAACGGTTAATTCTACCTGATACAAGGGAAGTGTTAGAAGACTCTAAGACTCTGGCAGATCAAAAGGTAATGTAGCATTACATTTTCTGTGAAGTATACCTTTTATGTATTCTTTTTAATGTTTGTATATGTGTTAGGCTATATATAATTCCTGATTATTTTTACATGTCAATTCTTAATATATAGCTGGCCAAAATGTTCTGTTTTCTCTCGAATCACTTGCACTTGCATCTCAAATATTTTGACAATTTCCTATATTTTTTTCGCAATTCAGGTTGAAAATGATGCTGTTGTAGCACTGACCTTGAAAAAAGGTAATGCATATTTCTTCCTTTGCTTATTGTGTTAAGAGTTCTATTACATGTGTCCTTGTTGTTTTCTGAAAGATCCTTAAATTTGGATTTATAGATACGTTTATACAGGTCATCCTAGGCTTTAGTTGTATTAAAATTTAGATGTACTATAGGAAAATATAAGTTTAGCAAGAGGTGCGTCAATCCTAACTTAGTGGACAAAATTAGTGACCTTACAAGTCACATGGTTTAAGCGTCTTGTTTTCATCATACAAAAACAGAAATCAGGGGCCAGTGTAAATGTTAAATTGGCTCTAATTACAAATGAATTTTTTGCTTTAAAAATGTTTAGTGAAAAGGCATTAAAAAAATAAACTCATGTAGCACAGATGAGAATGTTATGTTGGATAAGTGGACATGTTAGGATTAAAAATGAATGCATTAGAAAGAAAGTTGAGATAGCATCTGCTGCAGAAAAAATGGTAGAATCCCAACTGAGGTGGTTTGGGCATGTATGCAGAAGTCGAGTAGAAGCCCCCAGTTTCGATGGTAGCCTTAGCCCTATTACTAGTGGTAAATTGAGGCTGAAAAAAGATCAGGCAAAACAATTAAGAAGAATTTAGATTTCAATGTTTTGTAGTAAAACGTTGTTGTACCATTTGATCCATGTAGCTGACCTCATGTAGTGGGAAAAGGCTTGTTCGTTGTATCGTGAATTGTTGCACCATTGTTCATTCCTTTCAATGCTTCAATGGGACTTTTAATTTGGCAATGGCTTCCCTTTATCTACTGTGGAAGGGTCTGACACCAGTGACCCATAGCTCTTTTCGATATTTTTTGTTTTACCAAATAGAGTACTATTCAAATGCATTCTTCTGTTTAACTTTTATTATTAATATTAATATTATTATTATTATTATTATTATCTAGTCATGGTTCCAAGTTATGAATTTGGAATTGTCGTGATAAGAGAAGATATTATTTGTTATTGTAATTATTACTGTTCATATATGGTAGGGATACGAGAAGTTATTACTAATTATTATTATTATTATTATTATTATTATTATTATTATTATTATTATTTCTAGGGTGATAGAGTTCTATACCTCGTATAGTTGTTTCAAACAACAAAATGAGAATCAAAGTTTCAGTTTTCTTCACTTAAATCTTTTTGAAGTTGGTACTAGAGTTTCTAATATTGGGAGCTCTCCTCAGCATTCAAACTCTACCTGCCTTAGTTGCAGTTTCACTTTTTCTGGTTTGTGTTGCTCAAAAGTGCACCCACCTTACGTTTGGGGGTTGCTTAAAGTAGTCCCAAGTAAGCTTGCCACTATGTTGACCACCTTCACCGTTGTCATTGAAGTTACTGTTTTGAGCAGCAAACACACTAGGAGATTGACCATCGTTAGACAGACCTGTTCCTAGAGTCACATTGCTGAAAGGTCATCCGTGCACTCTCATGTGTGACATCTTTTGTCTGAGCGCGAAGTTCACATGCTACTATTTGCCAGCGGGTGTAGGCATGTCTATCCACCATTAAGCCCATTGTTTGTGTAGCCAGAATCCCGTTGAGGAGGTGGTTCTCAATATGCTCTTGTTTGGTCCTTTTGCCTCCAATTGAAGTGCCTCTTTGTCCATAGGCATTGTTAAGACACTATTCACATCTCCTTTTTCTGTTGGTTCTTTTTTTTTTTTTCTTACTCAACATCTTCTAGCATGGCTACTAGTGTATCTCCTTTTTTTCCCATTAAGCAATGCTAATCTTCTGCATTTGCCTCTCACGTGTTTTTCAGTTTATTGCCACAAGGAGGACAATTGGATCTGTTTGGGAACAAGGAGGGTTATATTACCTTAAAAACGTGGGAACCAAGGGTAGTTTCAATAAAGAAATTACTACCTCCTGCCTTTAGTTCTGAAATACTTCCAATTCCTCTCAAATTTGGCTTTTCCATAGTCATCTTAGACATTTGTCAATTTATGTCCTCAGGTCTATGTCTCCTTCTCTATTTTCATAAGAGTCTGTTGAGTCTTTTAAGTATGATACATGTCAGTTTATAAAAGCACCATTGGATCACATATTCTCCTTGTAATACCAAAAGTTTTACCTTTTTATTTTATTCATTTTGATGGATGGGGCATGCGTCAAGTTCTAACATATATGGTGTTAAATTATTTGTTACTTTTATTGATGATTGCACAAAATCACATGAATCTTTCTCATGGAAGAAAATTTTGAAGTTTTTCCTTTATTTGTGAAGTTTTTCTCATGAATTTGGGAATCGATTTCTAAAATATATGCAAATAAAAAATGGTTAAATTCCTTTCTGAAAATGGTATTGTTCATGAACTCACATGTGTGGATACACCATAATAAAATGAATTTATTGAAAGAAAAAATAGGCATCTACTTGTAATGATTAGTGTCCTTTTGCAAATGTTTGTACCTTACTCCTATTTGGGGGAGCCTATACTTGTTGTTTCCTACCTCATTAGTAGATTATCCTCTTGTGTTCTAGATGACCTTATTCTTGTTAAATTTCTATCATCTTTCTTTCCATCTATTCCCTTTTTGTTCTATCTTCAAATTTGTGTTTTTTGTTATGTTGCGTTTGATCATGTTCATAGTCAATTTTGTGAGAAATTAGATCTTAGAGTTGTTAAGTGCATATTCATTGGATATATTTATGATAGAAAGGGATATTGTTGTTATTAACCTCTGAGTCAAAAAACTTATTCTTCTATGGAGGCCTCCTTTTTCAAACATTCTTATGTGTGGATCCCTAAAAGTCAGGTCTTTTGACTCTCTTGAGTTGTTCTTTGTCCCTTTGGTGTAGGAACCTTCATCCATTCATCCTGATGTTACCCTTGGTACATCTTGCAAGGATGCTCTTGAGGCTACTCTTGATGAGTACATTTTTGTTAGTCAAGATCAATACCAAATATTAGTCGTCCAAAAAACCTCTTCCATATTCATTATCAGTGGAGACAAAAGGAACCTAACATGGTCCATGAACAACTACAATCGTTTGAGTCGGAGGTAAGTGTTCATACTTGTAAAGCTTTTGAAAGAAAGACACCCCATCCTTGGTTGGGAGACTTACTCATGCTATGATTTCCTTGGGATATTGGTAGTGTCATTGTGACCATACCTTGTTTATCAAACATTCCATATTACTCTTTTCTTGGTCTATGTGGATGGCATGATTGTTGCAGGAGATGATGAGAATGAAAAGTTCATCTTGAAAGAAAAGCTTGTTTCTCAATTTTAATGAAAGATCTAGGAAAATTAGAGTACTTCTTGGGATAGAAGTTGCCTACATAGAAAAAAGGATCTTTATGTTCCGAAGAAAATATGTTATAGACCTTCTTAGAGAAGCATGTAAGATTGATTGCAAGGCCACTATGGCTGCTATAGAACAGAACCCTATAATTGGGAGTAATGAAGCTTGTTCTGCATTGAGTAAGGGTCAATATCAAATACTTGTAGGGAACCTTATTTACTTAGCTGACACTTGACCAAAAGTAATTTATGTTGTAAGTGTGGTCAACCAATTCATACATGATCCAAGAAAGTGACATTTAGAAATTGGGAATAGGATCCTTCAATATCTAAAGACAAGTCCACTAAGAGGATTCTTATTTAAAAAGAATGAAAATTTAAATAAGAATATGTATATTGATGCAAACTATGCTAGGTTTGTTACTAATTGGAGGTCCACCTTTGGATAATACATCTTCTTGGGTGGAAATCGAAGAAGTAAAACATAACATGTTATTGCAAGGTCCAATACTAAGGTTGAATTTCGTGTAATGGCACAAGTGATGTGTGAATTGTTATGGTTGAAAATTATTTTGAATGATGTAGTGAAATATGAAGAACCTATGACTCTTTGTGATAATGAATCATTAATATTGCTCACAATCCCATTGAGCATGATAGGACCAAGGACACAGAAATTGATATACATTGCATTAAAGAAAAACTGGATAATGACCTCATAATGGTTTCCTACATCCCATTAGAACTTCAACAAATAGATTTGTTTACAAAAGAACTTACCACAACGGTTTCATGATATCAATGCAACAACTCAAGGGGTGTGTTCAGTTAAGAGAAGATATCATTAGTAATTGTGATTATTGCTATTAAGATATTTTGTAGGGATACAAAGAGTTAGGGACTTGTTTGTTTACTGTTGTCAAAAATAAATTTCAATTTTTTAATTTTTAAAAACTAAAAAAAGTTTGTTTGATAATTGATATGTAAAATTAGTTTTTAAAAACGGTTTATTGTTTTTTTGTTTCTAAAAACTAAAAAAATGAAAACTGATGAAATGTGTTTATTTGATTTTAGTTTTCTTTTTTCTTAAATGGTATTTGTCCATTGATTACGCCACATCACTGCTTTCATTGTTACAAATTTGTTGAAGTAGTCTTTCAATTTCTGCGTGGCGAATTTTGACCATTGATTCCGGAGGACCAAATAATATATTATTAAAAAATATTAAATAAATATAAAAGGGTAAAAAAAGATGAAAGGGTGAGAGGATAAAATTGTAAATATATAATTAAATATATAAAATGATGATTAAGTTTGAGGGGCAAATTACAAATGACCAAAATTATATGAGAGTTTCAAAATTTTGGGGGGTCATGGCTCTTCTCAGTTCCCAAGAAGATCCGCTACTGGTCGTAATGGTTCTTCTCCTCCTTAACATAAAACAGCTTTCAAACAAGAGTTATCAAATAAGTTTATTTTCAATTTATTCTCTATAAAATAATTATTCAAATTTTTTTTTAAATTAAAAAGCAAAAATTAAATCAGAGATGTCTTTATTATTTGTAATTATTTTTGGGTGGTAGAGTTCTATGTAATGTATCCTCCTGTACTGTTTCAAACCAAGAAACGAGAATCAGAGTTTCTGTTTTCTTCCTCGTAAATCTTTTTCAAGTGAACTTCGAATACTAGAGTTGCTCTCATTCTGAAAATGGCAGTCACAATACGTTCTTGTCAATTTTAGTGATGGAACCATAGTCTCGGTTTTACTGTATTGTTATTCCCAACAGGATAAAGAAGCAATGAGTATAGGTTATTACCATGCTATGGCTGCTTGGAATTGCACGCATTATTTGTATATAACCTTGGAAAATTTGTTTCAGTTGGATTTTCCTGCTATTGTCAAGGTCAAAACTTCCTGTTTCAAATTTCACTAAAGCACATCATGTGCTTTTAACTGGAGTTTACTGAGGTTTGGAAACCAAAGAAAAATAATAATTTTTTTCCATCCAAACGTTAACCTGAGCTGCAGTTTCAAATGATGGATTGGACTGAATTGAAATTGTCTTGAAAGTGATAATTCACTATCCCCCTCTCCCGGTTTTCTGTGCATATTAGGAGTGTCTCTCTCTTTGTATATTTGAGGTGATCTTCACAATCATGCAACTGCACTTACGTGTGGCTTATTTTCTGTACCATATTTTGTGGTTGCAAATATTCCTGAATCATTCATTTTGACCGCCCTTGTTTGTTATAGAATCATTATGCATGTGCCTACACAACAACTTTGATTTTCAGTGACAACAAAATGAAGATTTATCTGTTGTTTCCAGATGATAATGAGTTTGAGGAGGTCAACATTGTCCAGCCCAACGATTTCTACCAAGCTCGGGATGCGGATGGTGCCAGTTGGTAAAGGCGTACTTCAGCAATGGCTAACTCAGATTACTGGTACCCTGCTCATGGAATCATTGATAAATATTCCTTTTAACATTTTAAATGAAATTCCCATGTTATTTGCTGATAGTATTGCTCCATTAATGTATCAGTTGGTATAATGAAATTCATAATGGCTCAGTAAACATTTCCCAAAGGATTGATCGATTGTAGGGTAATGATATACTTGTTTACATATTCCTGAATTTATTGCCTGAAGAGAATATGGCACTTTCTGAATCTTTTGAATCAAGTTTGTGGGGTTAAGGTCTAGATTGGTTTTATACCAATGTAAATGTAATGCTGAAGGCGTCAATCATTTGCATAGTATTGGCCATTGGGGGCAGGAACTTTCAGTTTTTATATTTGTCAAAACTTTGTATGTTAGTTCATAGACTTAAAAAAAAATATTCGTCTAGAGTTTTATGAATAGGGTCTAAATCAATTTTTTTATAACTGGGAAGGTTATTAACCAGGGAAGGCATTATAAGTTTTAAAATGCGTACGGTTTTTACGACGGTTTATCAAAATTAAATGATTATATAAATCTTTATAATTTTTTTGACAAAAATTCTGGTAAGCTAATTAATTTTTTTGAAACATCTTGTCATTGGAAAAATCGTACTTTAATTTTTTTTGGTAAATGTTTTATCAAATAACATAAAAAAAATGAATGAACAAATTAAAGTGAATGAAAAATGTGTTTTTTTTTAAATCTATTAAAATTATATATTTTAATGGGTAAATAAGTTGTTTAAAAATGATATGATATTATAAATCTTTCTTTTATATTATTTATCATAAATATTTGTTTTACCTTTTTCAAGGTAATTGACGATGAGTCTCTAACAATATTATTTTAATATATAATAGTTAAAATTAATTATTATTTTAAATTAATAAATTATTAAAAAAATAAATGATCATAATAAAAAATAAGGGTGTTTTTTTAGATTGAATAAATTAATTCTTTTATAATTTATATATTAAGTTATTATGTTTTAAATAAAAATTATTTTATTAATATAATTTAAAAATATATTTTTTTATTTTTATTTAAATATTTTTTAATTAATTATTTTGGTATAGATATATTAATATTTTTTTAATTAATTCAAAATTGGTCTGTTACTAATATAGGATTAGACTATACTAAAATTTATAGTTTATTTTAAAATATAAATACCATCAATTATTTTTATTTGACTAATAAGATTAAACTAGATTAGACTGAATCACCTCTTTTGACCGTTTTAATAAAAATATCTTACACTCTCTTACAAGTACAATGACTACCCACCCCTTCCCTTTCGTCCCAATAAAAGTAACCAATTCATTTGTAAAAGTAACACATTATGACCACTTTAATAGAAAACTCATATTTGTGTGAATTGATTTTGAGTAACTGAAAAAAAAAAACCAATGATCTACGTCTAATCTATTATAAGTTTTCATTGGCCATTTATAAGTTTTCTCGTAATTAATTTATATAAGTATAATTAAATCATACTAAACTAACCACAGGTTAATTAAATTGATAGTTCCATATTAGACTTGACATTTAATAAAACAATGTTTAATTTTTACATTTTTAGCCATTGGATGCAATATGATATTACTATACATTGTAAAACACAGATATTGTATTCTTCTAACTTGTTCTTCATCTATAATAGTTACAAGGAGTAACTTGTTTCTTCATCCATAACAAAGATGTATTCAACTCTTTTAGTTGATAATACAATATTTCTTATTTTTTTTGTAGTCTATGATACAAGATTTTTTGTAATGAAATAATATCATCCACGTGTACTTTTGCATGCATAGTTGCATATCAATAACTTACTAATCAGATAGTGTCTCATTTCTTAAAGCATAGATCAAGGTTAGTGGGTTAGACAAAATATGAGCACATAAGTAGACAATAAACATAATGCCAGCTCTAAATGTTGCAAGGTATAAGGGTGAATCAATCATTTGTATGCAGATTATTTTTCCCACTTTCTCAAACTCTTCATCTAGTCTTAGTGAGGTGGTTTGATGCTTTTGAGCATGTTTTGTTTCATCCAACTTAACTTTTTCAAAAGCTCCCTCACGTGCTTTCCTGTGGTGTGTATAAATGTAGTCTCTTTTTTGTTTAATTTGAACTTTGAAAAAAACTTTAACTCAACCAACAAACTCTTTTCAAACTCATTATGTATCAATTTAGAAACATTCTTCACAAAGAGATTATTAGTAACATAGAATAGTATATCATCGACATATATTTGAATTATAAAAAAATTAAATTAATGACCTTTGTAGAATGTAGTAGTATCTACTTCTCCTTTTATAAAATCATTTTAATATATTAAAAAAGAGCTTATTTTTTTATATCAAACTTAAGGAGCTTGCTTTAAGCAATAAATGACTTTGTTTAATTTAAAAATATGACTACTCTAATCAAGGTGTCAACCTAGCCCCACTAATTAGTTGATATACATACACAAAGAAAGACCTTGCAGATAATAATTTCTAAATGAAATGTAATAAGTATAACTCAATGAATATTTATAGTGATAAAAACTTTCTCACTTAGAAATGATTCTTTTCTTAGACAAACTTAGATTAATGTATTTTGTAAGACTATTTTACAAAATATTGAAACATTTTTATCTTAGCATGTGTAAAACTATGAAACCAACGTTTTTTATAATAATTTTCCCTAACATAATAATTGTTATGTTGATTATGTTATAACTAACACAACCAATTTGTATGAATTTTTTTTTATTACTTTGTTTACTTGAAAAATTTATTTATTACTTTGTTTACTAGCATACGTACTCCACATTTTCCACCAGACAAAATATTTAAATGAGAGAAAGAAATAAGGAGAGATTGATCACTTACATTACATACACTCATTTGAAAGATGTTGTGTAACTTCTTTTATTTATTGATATCATTGAATCTTAAGCATAAGGATTATGAAGTGAGAGCATTAACTATAATGTTGACGTAGAAGATCTATTAGTGATGGATCCAATGGTGAGGTCGTCCATTACAAGATCATTTAATGATAAAAGCAACTAATACCTAGTAGATTATTTGATAAGATCATTTGATGCTATGAGTATTTTGTCTTATGACTATGATGATTGATTCTTCATATTGTTTGATTTGGGATGATTAATTCTTTAATTGTCTACTATTTGATGATTACAACAAACCTGAAAATATAAATACACATAACCCTTTTCTCCCATTTTTTTCATGATCAAATGTAGTAGTTAGAATATCCAAGAAAAACATAAAAACGACAAAATCATAACATTTTATCATATTACATTAAGTTAGACAATACATAACATGACAACAACAAAACTTTTGCTAGTGTTGAAAATATCAATCACACATAGTTTATTTCTTAATTGATTAAATCCTTTTGTAGTAAGTGGTTTAGAATAGATATCATCAAGCTGATTATAATCATAATCTCTTTTCTAAACATGATCTTTAATGAAAGGATGATAAATTTAAATATATTTTGTGTGATAATGTTGCATGAAATTGTTTATTAAGTTGAAAACATTAGTGTTATCACATCTTAGAGGAATCTTATTTAATTTCACTCCATAGTTAGAAAGTTGTTGCTTAAACCATAAGGTTTGAGTGTAACTATTACTAACTTTTATGTATTCAACTTTGGCTAAAGAAAGAACATCATAAACTTTTTTATTGCTATATCATGATATTAAAAATACTTCCTAAAAGATCATGTGTTTTAATAGTACTTTTACCATCAAGCTTGCAATTAACAAAATTAGAATTAGAATAACTGATTAAATTAATAGTTTTTTTCAACTATTTAAGATCTTTTTAGTATGTAACAATAAAATATGATTATTTTTAGGTGATGATTGATAGGTAACACATATGCACACACACTAAGCATGGTATTAGCTAAAGGAGAGTTAAATATCAAGCCTTTTGTACATGATTGGGTCAAAAGACTTAATTTTTTCGTCTTTGTCGACATGGATATAAACTATTTTTTAGATTTTTCTATTTCAAATTTCTTTAGAAGATCATAAAAATATTTTGATTGGTTAACAAATGTACCATTTTTCATTTGTGTCACTCGTAAAGTGAGGAAGAAAGATAGTAGCCCCACATTAACAAATTGTTCACATAACTAATTGTTAGTTAATCAAAATAAGTGGCGCTCAACAAGAAGTTGCAAACTAACGATTTTGCAGATTGACAAATCAATTTGTAAATTCTATATATTATTATTTATGGGTCTTGGATGAATCTTTTACTGTGCTCTTTGTTCCCTGTTGTATAAATAGGACTTTGCTTAGTTTTAATTTTTATGTTATCTTCCATTTTTTAGTTTTACAAATTTAGTTTGCTCTCTAGTTCTTAGTTTAAACTTCTCAGTTTCTTATGTTGGGTAATCCAAGTGAGTTAAGTCCCATATTGAGTAAAAATGAAAAAATTGAGCAACATATAAGAAAATATGACTCATAACCTAATGCCTTAAGGTTTTGTGTTGAGAGTGATATCAATCCTTACATGGGTTGAACTCATGTCTCGTTGGTGTGTTTCTCCTCTGTGAAAACCCCTTGAAAGACCCAACAAGTTGGGTTATGGGTCATACATGTGAGACTTAGAATCACACTTGCACTACAAGAAAATTGCGTATTACCGACGAATATTTACCGATAGATTTGTAGCCGTCGAAAAATAATCATTACTGACGGATATAAAATATTTGTGGAAATAATAATTAGTTACCGACGGATTTGTAAAATAATAATTAGTTATCGACAAATATATTCATCGATAAATCCGTCGGTAAATCCGTCAATAAATTAACAATTAATTACAGACGGATATATCCGGTCAGTAAATTCATCTGCAGAATTAACAATTATTTACCGACGGATATTTCCAGTCGGTAAAATTATATAATATAATTTAATTATTCACCTAATTAAAAAATAAAATATTTTTTATTTAATAATTTAATTTAATCATAATTAGATTAATTTATAATAATTTATTAAATTAAATAATTTTTAAAAATAAATATTTAATTATATATAAATATATAAAAATATAAAATATATAAATATATAAATATATTTGTATATTACCGACGGATTTTTGGTCGTCGAATTCCATCGGTAATATTCATTTACCGACGGATTTTTGTTATTACCGACGGATTTTGACCGTCGGTAATTTTAATATTTCTTGTAGTGTTGGATTTCCAACAATCTCCCTCTCAAATATAAATTTTCCCATATTGGTAAATCCCCTCGAACTCGCTAGTGGTCCTTCCATGTAAGGCACCTAGCTCATTCTCGATTCACATGAGAGAAACACACCAATAAGACATGAACCCAGTCCACATAAAGATTGTCACCACTCTCAACCCAAAACCTTAAGACACTAGGTTATGAGTCATACTTCCTTATATATTACTCAACTTTCTCATTCTTACTCAATATGAGACTTAACTCAGACTTGGATTACCCAACATCCTATACATTGAAGAACATTTCGTAACCTAACATTTCAATTCAGTTTTTCAATTTATGCTCTTATAAAATTTGTCTTTTTTTTCTACTCTTTCTATTTCAATTCATATAATTTATCATTTCTACTATTTTATTATGACTTTCTAGATTTCGAGGATTAGTTTCCTAATCTAAATTGTTTATCATTGATTGAAATTTATTTTAGTTGTTTATAATTTAGTATAATCAATTGTAATGGAGATTGTTAGGTTGAATTTGATAATTACATCATAAATCAATTTTAGGTTTATGTAATTATTTTTCTTTGTTAAATCATGTCTCTATCTCAATTGAATGCATTGAATAAATTAGATCCAGTAATTTGAACAAAAAATGGTTAGAATTCATATAAATCTATCTTGCGGTTAAAATTTAGGTTTAGAATCCAATCATGATCAACTAGTCAAATGGAATATTAGAAAATTAACCATTATTATTACATTGTATTTACATTATTATATTATTTAGATAATAGACTCAAAATCAAGTAAAATTTCAAAACTTAAAATTTTTGCTATTGAAAATTAATCTAGAATAAGTCATTAATGTTTCTAGAGAATACAATATAAGTTTTCTCCTAATTATTTTATGTTTTCCTAACTCTTTTAGACAATAAATTGTCAATCAATCTTATAAGGTTCAATACCATTAAATGTGTCATTCTTTCTTATTTGTAGGTAGGATCCCTTCAGATAATTTGTTAGTAGACAAACTCAATTGAAAAAAAATTAGTGATTAAATATTGTTGCATTCGAAATAATTCATAATTTTTATGTTTGTATACGAATAACTTTCAACATATCTCACATTTCTTTAGCAATTGTGTACTAAGAAACATGAAAAAATTTAACATGATTCAAAGCAAAAGTTATAATCCTTTTATCCTTGAACCATGTTTCTATCTACGTTCATCCTACTGTTATTTTTTATTTTTTGCTTATCATTAATCCAAATATTAAAAACAGATGGATAATTGGTAATAACATTTTAAATGCTTGAATATTGATTTGAAGGAAAATTTTCATTTTATTTTTTGAGAACTAATCATTCACCTTGCTAATACACAAATAATCTATTAATAAATACATATTTAATAAAAGAAAGTTTATTCTTAACTATTAAAAACTTAAATACCTTTTAAGAATTTAATCTTTAAAGATTTTATAAAATTGAATGATTAATTATCTTTAAATAAACTAGAATAATTTAAATATTAATATTTATTATTAGTAGATACAAGTATAACCAAAATATACTTCATATTATTTTGAAATATTTGTTATATTACATAGTTTACAATTATTTTGTTTTTATTATTATATTTGAAGGTATTTTAACCATTACATGAATTAATTAACATAATAAGAGTGTATATATATATATATATATATATATATATATATATATATAAATTTTATTTTTAATTTGAGTTAAAATATTTTAATATATAATATATGATTAATGGTATGTAAAAAATAATATTTCATCTAAAAATAAGAGTGTATGGTCTTATGTCCACTATTATAACATCATTAGGATTAATTCTCATATTTAAATCTACTTTAGAGCTTTCATTTATTATGATTTTGTCCTTGAAAGGCGTTTCGATCAATTAAGAGAGAATCGTGTATATAAACAAACTATTCAGGGCCTCGACTCCTAATGTAAGACTTATAAATGTACTAAACATAGTCTCCTAATTGAGGACTAAGGAGCATAAATACAGCGAAGATTCGACTTTTAACCCCATAATAGACACCAATATTTCGTTTAGGAAAAAAGTGTTTTTGTTTTATATCTTTTCTAGATGTAACATGTAAAAATAAATATATAACAATTGAAAGTAAAATAAATGAATGTAATTAAAATAATTTATCTATAAATACAAATGATAGGATTTTAAAATTAATTAAAAATTAAAATAAAATCTCAATTTCACATTTTTTTCGCTGTAACTATTATTATTTTACAATTTTATCTTCAAGAAAATTTTTCAATATTTCCCATTGAATTCTAATAGATAGAAAATGTCAAAGTACACCATTTTATCATTTTTTTTACAATTTGTTTTAATATTTTTTTTTCAAGACACATTAATACTTTGTTAGAAATTGAATGAGCTAATAAAATTTGAGAAAATTGAAAGGTTTATTTGATGGTAAAATTTACAAAATTATGACAGTTGAATGATAAAATGTTTAATTAAGTTAAAATAAGATTGAAGTTAATATAAAAATGAGTAAAACAGAAACTTGAAGGTTAATTTTATAAAACAATGATAGTTACTTAAAATAAAATTAAAATTAATATAAAAATATGATTTAAACATGTCTAATTTTTTATTTTTTATTTATTGTTAATTTAGAGATAATCTCACCTGATCATTATAATTTAATACATTAGTTTAACAACTTTCATCTACTAACTTACTTTTGAACTATTAAATAGTTTAATAACTTTCATTTAACACACTTTATATACATATATTTATAAATCTTCAATTTAATTTAAAACAATGATAAATTTTCTAAACTTAAATAATTATTAGTAGATTTGATAATTATTGCTTAAATATTAAAAGTATATTTAGATATCTCGTACAGAAATTAATTTTTATAGATTTAAATTATTTGATATATGAACTAATTTGTTTAGAATTTATCTCATATAATTTTTTAATTATTTTATATTTAAAATAATTTAATTTATATAAAAAAAATCAAATCATTTGTTTGTTTTTAAATTAATCCAAAAATATAAAACTAATTAAAAGTAGTGGCGCGAAAACTTCTGGCCCAACTACATCGCCACCTTGGTTCGTAACTGAAACCGTTTTCTCGTATCGCCATTTAATTTATTATATATTTATTTTAAGTCTTCTTTTTGTTTTATTTTTTTTTATTTTACATTTTGACAATATTCATTTTATTTTTCTTAACAAAACTCTTTTTTGTAATACCAAAGAAATCACCAAAACCGTTTCCGTCAAAATTACAGAACACCACTATTCTCCGATGCCGACCGTTTTCCTCGGTCCATCTCCGGCGACCGGTTAACTCCTTTGACTTCGGCGGAATCGTAAGGCTCTGTATCCTTCCTTGGAGTAATCACTTTGTTTTTCTGTGTTTTGTGTTTCGAGTTGCATAGATACGTGAAATTTCTTGTAGTTGAGAAACTTTGTTCTGTTCAATTTCGGTTGTCCGATTTGCTCTATATGATTCTTTCGATTTTGATTGCTTTGTTTACCTTACTATGGCTTTTTGTTTCTGATGAAACTTCCCCCTGTTAATATCCTTTCTTTTCTCAATCTGTTGGAGGTTTAGTTCTCAAATTTTAGAATCGGATGAAAGTTTATGTGCTGAATATGATTCAATGAACTACCGTTGCGTATTGTCAATGCGAGATTCATCGCCTTCGCAATTAAACACTCAACGTGTTTTCTGAATGAAAGGTACGAAACCTGTCCGTCCATCCAGACATCTGTCATGATCCCTCTCACCCCTCTCAGAACCCTTTCTTTTTCTTTCTAAATTTTCCCGGAAAGTTTCTGTTTTCTCTCACTTGCTTGTATTTTCATCGATATTCGTCTATTTAAACCTGCAAAATATGCGGATGGTCAAAGAAATGAAATTATTATTTCTATTTTACACTTCTATATATATATATATATATATATATATATATATATATATATATATATATATATATATATATATATATTCTTTTTAACCTGCAAAATATGACGATCGAATTTTGTATTATTTTTATTTTTATCTTTGCAGGAAATCATGTATGAATTCTTCACTTTTTTTTATACGTATTGTATTAGGGAATCTAGTTAGTTTTGTAGGGATGGAAAATGATCGTCCCTGCACGTGGACATGCATGTCTTTGCCCATCACCCCAAGAAAATTACCATCTGGGACTCCTGCCTTCGATTAAATTAAGAAAATTATAATAATTGCTCGCAGCGTCCAACAGAAACAAGAGACGTAATTTTTAGGAAAATCATCATTAAAAAGTTAGTATAATATTACACTAGGGTCATGAATTGATTATTACTAAATCATGTGAATTATCCGGGGTGGTTCATCTTAGGCAATCCTACAAAGTTGGGTTAAGGAACATGTGTTTGTTTTTTAGGGAAAGAAGAGCTTATCTGATATGCAATATATTGTTTTGGTTCGGTAATCTAATGACAAGGGGTTGCTGAAGTGGAGGAGAAGAGGATAGTGCGTTTTTATGTGGACTAAACCCATTTGCCAGCACAACACACAAGACCATGGCAGTCTCGTGAGAGAAACAAAAGGGGAAAAAAATTTTATAGCCTGTACCATACCCTATGCACTTCCTCTCCCTCACCCTACACCGTCCATTATCTAGTCCACTCACCAGTATTCCCAATTTCCAAGGGGACCCCCCTTCCGCTGCAATATGAATCCTCCTTTTTGTGCAGTTAAACTATAACCAACGTCTAATGATAATAATAAACGTTAAATGCACGTCGAGGCAGTTTCAGCGAGTTTCTCTCACCCATTACCCCAAATGTTGTTTTCCCTCTCTGTGTTTTTCTTACGGTGTCCCGATCTGGTTGGATTTGGGCTTCATCTGATGAGAAAAGCATATCCACTTCCGTTTCTTGGGTTTGATTGTAAAATTGGTTTTCCTACAGATCTGTGTCTCTGTAAAGATGTGCGCTTTCTGCATTTATTTACTTATTTGTCCCTTTTCTTTTTTGACGCGTTAAATTCTTTTCCATTTGTGTCTGACTTTTAAGCTGGGTGCATTTGTGGCAGATTTACAGCACGGAAAAGGATCTCCTTTGTAGATAATTTGATGCGGTTCTTTTATTCCGTTGAACGCGGAACACATGATTGGCAAGGCTGCGGAATCTGGTTTGCCTGATTAAATTTTCAATCAATGTGGTCCAATAGGGATAGTTAGTTAGGGTGAATGGATGTATGTGAATCAGGACAAGCATCAGGGAAGAACAAAGCCTCGGGGAGACCAAGAGTAAGACCACCACCCTTGGTTCTGGCAGAAAAGAACAATGCGGCCACCACCAGGCGCTCATCAACAAGGGAAGTTAGTTCTAGATATAAGTCACCCACTCCTGGTAGCCCATCTAGTACTCGTAGATGCCCTTCACCAAACCTTACAAGAACGACGCCTGCATTAACCTCCCAGTTGTTTCCAAAGAGGTCTCTCTCCGCAGAAAGGAAGAGGCCTTCAACTCCTCCTTCCCCAACAACACGAAAACCTACTACCCCTACCAATGACTCGTCTGTTGATGGGAAATTGTCCAGAAGGCTATCAGGTAGCCGTTTGCCGGACAGTCTATGGCCTTCCACAATGCGAAGTCTCAGTGTTTCATTCCAGTCAGATACCATTTCCATACCTGTTAGCAAGAAAGAGAAGCCAGTTGCTAGTGCTTCTGACCGCACTCTGCGGCCGTCTTCAAATGTGGCGCACAAGCAGGCGGAAACTCCAACCGTAAGAAAGCATACGCCAGAGAGAAAGAGGAGTCCTCTTAAAGGAAAGAACGCTTCTGATCAGTCTGAGAATTCAAAGCCAGTTGATAGCTTGTCTTCTCGATTAATAGATCAACATCGTTGGCCGAGTAGGATAGGTGGGAAGGTACTCTCTAATGCATTAAATAAAAGTTTTGATTGTGCTGATATCAGAACGTTGAACACTTCAGTTCCGGGAACAGGTGTTTCTTCACCGAGAAGATTGTCTGTATCTGATGAATCATGTAAACCGTTGCAAAGGGCTTCTAGTGATGCTGTAAGGCTGTTATCACTTGTTGGAAGTGGCAGAATAGGAAGCGGGATGAGATCAGTTGATGAAGGCTCTCCACGGGAATTAAGACCTCACAAATCTGTTACTTCATCTCCAACTGATAAAGCAGGACTTGCATTTGCTGGAGTCAGATCTCAGTCCTTGTCAACTCCAGGATCACGAGTGCCCTCACCTAGTAGGACCTCAGTGCTATCCTCTTCTAGTTCGCGAGGTGTCAGTCCATCTAGGCCAACACCATCAACTCCTCCTTCTCGGGGGGTTAGTCCATCTCGAATTAGACCAACCAATTCATCCATTCAATCAAACAATTCAATTTCAGTGCTCAGCTTTATTGCTGATTTTAAAAAGGGGAAAAAGGGCGCATCCTACATAGAAGATGCTCACCAACTGCGTCTTCTCTACAATAGATACTTGCAATGGAGGTTTGCCAATGCAAGAGCTGAGGCTGTACTTTATATCCAAAATGCAATTGTGGAGGTATTGATAACTATCTTCTTCTTTGCATATGATGGCCTTTATCATATAATTGGCTAAATTTTCTCACGAAAATCCTTATTAAATGGTGCAGAAAACTCTATATAATGTATGGATTACTACTTTGTCCCTGTGGGAGTCTGTGATTAGGAAGAGGATCAATCTTCAGCAGCTGAAGATTGACCTTAAGCTGAATTCTGTTTTGAATGATCAGGTGATTTTTTTTTTCCTGAAATATATTAATTTTATGCCAACTTTTATCGTTGAGTCTACATTGTAGCTCTTTTATTTTTTACCTTTAAAGGATAATTTAGTTAGAGGCAACTACTAGCGAGATAAGTAATGAAAATATACAGAGCAGGAGATAGGCCATTATATTTAGAAGTTATTTGTCTTATACTTTCGAATTATAGGTTATTATTCATATTATAGTTTGTATTTTAAATAAATTTAAATTTTTATGAACTAAAAGCTTTTAGTTATGTTTGTTTAACTTGGACTTTTAGAAGGTGTATGAATAGAAAAATCTGAAATAGTTTGGGAGGGGTTATCTTTGTAATTAGATGTTGGTAGTGTACGATTCTGAGGTTCCCATTTTACTTGCTACGAGGGCGAGATGCTATTTTTCTCCATCTTTACTTGTTTCCAATTTCAAGACTTAGCCATGCATTTTAAAATGTGAGCCTTTTGACAATGCATGAAGCTGATGACCTATCTTGATGATTGGGCTGTACTTGAAAGTGACCATATTGATGCTCTAACCGGAGCCGTGGAAGATATGGGGGCCGGCACTCTTCGTCTTCCTGTAACTGGAGGAGCAATTGTATGTATCGTGGTAGAATGCTATTTTTTTTTCGTTTTAAACTGATGATGAGGCAATGACTTCATTGGTATGTTACACTTTTACAGGCAGATATTGAGCATTTGAAAGTTGCTATCTATCAAGCTGTTGACGTCATGCAAGCAATGGGATCTGCTATCTGTTCTTTGCTCTCACGGGTGAGTTAGCTGTTTTCTACAGGATTTATATAGCATATATTAACAGTGATGGGGATTTATGTAGCAAATTAACTTCATCAATTTCCATCATTGCCTAGCACGTGTGTATCAATCAACTATTGTTCTAGCCAATATGTATTTTTGCATTTAAACGTCTGTTATTTTCAATGGTTTCTATTTGCATATCTATTTATAAAATTAAGCGTTTGAATTCAATATTAAAGGGCGCAACTGTAAATATTTTATCATTATCCGATCACGAGGTCTATTCTTGGTTCTCACACCATTTCATTTTTGTCTGTGCCAGGTTGAGGGGATGAACAGTTTAATTTCTGAAGTTGCTGTCATAGTGGTGCAGGAAAAGACCATGCTTGATGAATGTGAAATGCTACTGGCTTCAGTAGCAGCTATGCAGGTAAGTCATGATATATGTTTTCTAGAACATGAATTATGCTCGGCAAATTTCTCATTCTTATATTGCATATGACCAATTAATTTACAAATAAATTTCATTTTTAAGCATCAGTTATGACTTTGTGCATTAAATGATTGAAATTTGATGTTTTTTACTCAATTTAGGGATTTAACTTTTAAATAATGCTCGATTTAAGAAACGTAATAATGGTACCATCAAATTAAGTAAAAACTGAGGCTAAGCTTGTATTAAATATTGGAAGGTATAGGGCTGAATCAGTTTGATATCAGATCAGTAAATCCTTATTACAGTGATAAATAGCAGAATGAAAGTTAAGTACACTGGGCCATTTGGGAGTGCTTAGTCTCTCCCACTTGTCATAATTAATTTCCTGATACCCTTATCTATTCTCCGTATATTCTCCCTCATCACCCAAAAATGCCCCAGTTGACCAGTACTGCCCGGGCAGTTATTTAGAATATCCCTCTTTCGCTATGATCAGGTGTGATTCTGTCCACTAAATTATTCAGCATCACTTTCTTTTGGGCTCCGCTACATCAACTATAGTACCTAGGTCTTGGGTCCGTATCATGTACTCTAGATCTATATGATGAAGACCTAGTTTGATTGTAAACCAGTGTCATTTCTGCTTTTCTTACTATTGCTAATGTTTTGAATCCATTTGGTGTCTTTGATTTTGTTCTTTCTGCGACATATTTTAAGGATAGTGAAAATTTAGATTATGGAGTTTTCTTGCTCTGAGTACACTCCGTACCTCATTCTTCACAAAATGTAAACATGCCCCAAAATACTGAAAAGATGTATTTTAATTAACATGCGTCACGGGTTTGATGGAGATGCCTTCGGGAAGATGGCCTGGCTGTAGTATATCTCTCCATTACCTCTCATTTTTATATCGATAAGATTTATATAGTTTGTCTTTGCTTCTTAAATTACTAAGAGAATGTTTGGTATATAGGAGAGAAATAAGTTGGTAGAGTGGAAGTAGATAAAAAATAAAGTGAAAACTAAAGGCATTTGGTTGAAGAGAAATAGAAAAGAGACGAAGGGAGGAATAGAGAGATGAGCAAAAATAAGTGAGAAATAGTAGAGTGAGTCCCAATTTTTTTTTTAAGTTTTTTCTGCTCTTTTTCTTTTTTTAAAAAGAAGGAAAGAATGTTATTATACAGGTAATCTTAACCAGGTTAGCACTACAAGGTTGTACCAATTGTATGCAGCAATCTTAATACAATTGAAAGAAAAAAAGAAATATAAAAGCGGGGAGATCAAACCAAAACCCGAGAATCTAAAATGTTGGAGACCACATCTATCTCTACAAAAATTAGAGACAATACAAAGAGACATTTCTTCTCACCAAATAAAACTTTAAGCTCTAAACCCATGAGTAGCTAAACTATCCGTATACACTATTTGCCTCCTAAAAATATGTGTAAATCTAAATTGTATATATTCTTAGTAGACTCTAAAATATTATTCCTTTACTTCTTCCAAAGAACTAGAGAACTATTATCAGGGTAGATTCGTCTGTAGTTTTCCAACCTTTTTAAATCGTGTGATAATCGATAGCCTGAATAACACTAAGAAGATGAACTCTGCTTGCGTAGAGTTCGCAAAACAGCCAATATTTATCCAGTGTTAAATTCATCTTCACCCATGCACAACTGTTTACTTTTAGTTTAACTGCAGTTCCTTAGTCAACTAAATCTTCGCCCATATTCAAGTCTTTTTTCAAGTCAACTAAATCCCTAAATTTTTTAAATTAGCAAATTTGTTCCTTTGTCTATTTTATTCAGTTCAAAATATTTAGAAATTGAATTCATTAAACTGTCTTTTGCCCTCACCAACTAAAACATTAAAATTCTACAAAAAAAAGAAACATAATTTCTCTTTAAACCAGAATCTCTCATCCTCAACAATTATTTCATATTCCAATTATATCAAAAACCCATAAACATTATAGGAAAAGAATATTTTGAGAATTTTAAACGAAAGAAAATCTACAAGAAGACCACATTTGCTTAATTTGAAAATAAAATAAGAATGATTTAATTGGGGTAAAAAAAATGATCATATATTAAGGATATGAAACTTATTTAAGCCTAAATAATAATATAATGCATTTCTTCATCATCATTATCACCTGTTATTATTAGTTTCTGATTAATTTGAGCAAAAGCAGGTTGAGGAAAGTAGCCTTAGGACGAATCTTATGCAAATCAAGCAAGCTTTGAAGAGAAGCAAGTAGCCAATTTCGTATACTTAAACAAGCACAAACCTGACCTGCTGCCAAGCTAACAAGTTATAACTTATCTCTTGCGGCTTCCTCCATGGTATCGGTATCTAATATCTTTCAGCTTCTTTTTACCTTTGTAAATTTTACAATAGTTTTTTTTTTTTTTTTTTTTTTCCGGTTAAATATGCTGGAATCGATAGTTTATTACCCCTTTTTTTATTTTTTTAAATTCCTTCTTTCTCCCCCGATACCAGAGGCCGTAGGTTTCCTCTTGTAATTTTGTATCAGGCAAAGGAAAAGGAAATGAAAAGCAATGGAGTAAATATCATCCAAATTTACGTTTAAGCTATTCTCACTTTTATCAACAGCTTTGTAATTCTATAGCACAAGTTTCTCAGCATGGATGAGGTTATATATCATACAAATTAGTTGACATATCTTTAGAACAATTGGTTGTAGATAATGAATAAATAAATTATGAAATTGTAATGTTCAATATTAAAAATTATTGAATTAAAAATGGTTTAACTATGTATTTTAATTTTTGATATTTTTTTATTTTTATAAAATTTTCAAAAAAAATCCATTTCTAATGGTTTTTTATTTTGTTTTTGTCTTTCTTCATATAACATATTGACTAAAATATAAATAAGAAATTATCAAAATTTAAGAATTTGTTATTAACAAACTGATTTAATTAAATGTCTATTAAAACTATGTCAATCAAATATAAATTGTCAAAAATTATATTTTTGAAAAAATTTTACTTTATTATGAAAATAAAATAGTTATAAAATATATGTTATAATTTATTATCTTATTACTATGTTTACATATAAGTTTAATACAAGTTGAAATATAAATATAAATAAAATAGGGAGCATGAGTATTACTTTATTAATAATAGGAAAAACATAATTTCTATTTTAAAATTAGAAAACATGAATGTTATAAAAGAAATCCTAATAGAGGTGAGTGTAATTTTCTCATAATTAAATTCCTTTATTTTTTTTGTTTATATTTTTTATTTTTATATTTAAAAAAATTATATAATTTTCATAAAAAAATCCAGTTTATTTTTTAAGAAAATAAACAAGATTAATATTTTATTAGAAAAAAGCCTCATTTATTAAAAATATAAGAGGTAGATATTTATTTAAAAACTAGACAGAGAGCAAGTGTTATTTTGTTAGAAAAATGTACGCAAGTTTTTATTTCTGAAGGGATATCATTTACTAAGTAAATGCCATTTTCTCAAAATATTAAAAGAGTTTATTATTTTATCTTTTATACATAAATAGTTAAAATAATGAGTCTGTAAAGTACCATCATGCCTTACTCTCTCCATCAATTAGAATGATCATGTGACATTGTTTACATCTTACACCCCATAACTTTTAGAGAAAGACCAAAATATCCTCCGCCAAGAGTTGTCATTCTCGGCAACCCCTTTTTATTTTCGATATGGAACAAGTTTTTACATATTCTCAAGTTGGGGGATCCCAAAGAATTCCAATAATCCAAAATGTACTATGAAGAGGACAATCCAAAATAGTGCAAAAAGTTTTAAAGACTATGAATAAAGCAATCTAGAAACCTATTATAAATAGGTTAGTTCGAAAAGATACTTCACATGTGCATTGCCTATCCAAAACTTTTTTCCAGAATAGTAATGTCTTGCAAACTCATTATGAGAGCATTGCGCCAAAACGAGTAAGGTGATTGGGTTACTTTGTGAGTAGGTTGAGTTAGGTGATTCTTAGAAGCATCCACACTCATGAGCCTTAGGAGGTGCCAAAAGCTACTTGTTGCCTTTGATTATTGTTTTTTATTTTCTTATCATTACACTCTAGAGATAATTCATTACAACTCCATTAATTTTAATTTAAAGATCCTTCCAATTTGATACATATACTAAAAAGAGTCCATAAATTATGTTTTGATTTTCTCTCTATTTTATAATCTTTATCCTCTGGAGGTTCCCTGAAATAAGATTTCCATCGTTTGGTGTTTTTGTTTGAGTATAATGAAATCTACTATGGCTTCCATTTACAGTTGTAATGGTTATGCTTTTGCTTTTTTCTTTTAATATAGTGAACAGATTAGTCTGCAATTTTGATCTACTTCACAATCCTCGGGCAGTTTCAGCAAAACCATATGGTAATCAATGTGTTTGAGAACATTTACAAAAATAATAACACTCATTTATACTACACAAAATTTTCACTCGTTGTTCCTTATTCATCCTTGTACATTGCCATGTTTGTTGGTTTTTGAAACCATGAATTTACCCTACAGACATCTTCTAAAGATGTTGTTTAGCAAAGAATAGTATAGGGAAACTAGTCTTTCAGCAGTTGATTCCACATAGCTTGGTATCAGGTCCCTTTGTCTTGAGGACAAATGGATCAATTCTTACCCACAGCAAGGAGAAAATAGAAGCCAATAGCACTGACCAAATCACAACAATGGTGGGTGTGCGGTTTTGCCGACCCATCAAACCTTTAAGGAATGGATAGAGATGGACAATCACCCAGAAAGAAAAGAAGAGCTTTCCAAACAGTGGTCCCCAAGATTGGTACCCATTGTTTATGGCATCTGAGATTCCAGCAACAACACCAACAATGTTAATGATCAAGATAGTGGTTGGAGGAATTAGGAGAGTAGTCCACTTAAAGGTGTATAATTCTCCGAACTCTTCATCATCTGCTGCCTTGGACGTAACTGTGAAGTTGGTGTCAATTCCAGCCAGAACCTTTAGCAGACCTTGTATCACAGCAAAAAGGTGAGCTGATACCCCACCAATGACCCAAAACTGCTCATTTCTCCACCATTCCTCAATGCTCACTCCACTCCATTTCAACTCAAGAATACCAGTTGCAATGATTGAAGAGAAGAGAGCAACAAAGTACAAACCGGCAAAGGTGCTTATCTGGATCACCAGTAACAGAAAAAGTATGCATTATGAGTAAAGAATCTTACTACATAATAAAGATGATTAGCATGCACATCAAGTCTAGTGGTTTACAAGCCTACTATGGAAAAGAGGATGGTTATAATTTTATATGCATGTCATGTGCACTCAGTTCATAACATGAAGGGGAAGAATAAGATCGTTACCGGTGGCATGATGAATTTGTCAGTGAGTAAGCAAACTGCAGGAAGAATACAATAGGCAACAAGAGGAATGGAAGTGAATGGATACACAGTTGTGTTTGCATAGGCAAATCTCTCAAGCCACTTTAGCTTCTTTTCCTTGAAGCCATACCATAGAGGACAATGGTGACTGAAGAAAATCTCAATGGAACCAAGTGCCCAACGAAGCACCTGATTGAGACGATCTGACAAGTTGATAGGAGCAGTACCCTTGAATGCAGCTCTCTTTGGCATACAGTAAATGGACCTCCACCCGCGGCAATGCATCTTAAAACCTGTTAGAATATCTTCTGTAATAGATCCATAGATCCAACCAAGCTGCACATTTGAAAGGCAAAAGCATGAATTGGATGAGCTAATTGTCCTAATTAGAAAACATAAAAACATCATGGAGACATAAAATGCATACCTCAAGTCCCCATTCAGTTTTATCTTCATATCCACAGCTGATCACATGAATGGCTTCTTTAAGCAGGGCAGCTGGACTTGAAGAAGGAGGCACACCACCCTCTTCCATCAAGGTAGAAGTCACAAAGATAGAGGACTGTCCAAATTTCTTCTCAAAATTCATCTGGGACATCAGCACCTCTTTGTCATCATCCATCCCTACTAAATTTAGACAGGTGACACAAGGTTAGAAGAGGTAAAAAGAAAAAATCAATTGGAACATAAGATAGTTAGTTACAAGAAAGACTAGTGATTTAAATCAAAACAGGAACCTTTCAAGTTTGCAGCCTCTCCATTTGCATCACTCTTCTCTTTGTACTTCTTGCGGCTTCCAAAACACGGGCAGCAATCACAGCTTACCATTTTTGGACGTTTGGGGCCCTTGGGAGGATTATAGCCATACAAAGCTTGCCTCCTGAAAACACATCCAGTCCCCACATATACAGGACCTTGAATACCATCTAGACCCTTCATGTTAATCTGCAGAAAGACAAAAGGAAAGGTGAATGATCAAATATTCTGCTCACAATGTTGAAACCAAATCAATTGCAAGGAAAAAATCCTGATAGCAGTGAATTTCTTACATCAAAGAAAACTGTGTTCCTGTTGGCATAACGATCATGTGTATCAATACCGTCAAATCTTTGAGGAAACTGGACATAGCACACTTTCTTCCCAATTTGAGGGTCCATCAAGAAGCACATGGCCTCTCGGGCAGCCTTGCTGTTATTTACATAGTGATCACAATCCAAGTTCAGCATGAAAGGAGCATTTGTGAGAACAGCAGATACCCGAACCTGTAAATTACAGCACTTATTAGTAGGGTCATCAAATACTTGATACGCATAAAGGTGAACGATCATGATGATGCAACTAACAAAAGGTGTTCAGAAACTCTACCAGAGCATTCATGGCACCAGCTTTCTTGTGGTGTTGAAAACCAGGCCTTTTCTCTCTGGAAACATAAACAAGACGAGGAAGCTGGTTTCCTTCAGTATCAAGACCTCCACTGCTACCAAGGAACACTTGGATCATGCCAGGATGATCTTTAGTGTTGTTCCCTGGCCACGGTGTCCCATCCTGCATGATCCATCCTCCCTGAGGAACTTTCTGGGCCTTTGCAACAAGTGCATTGATCCTGACCTTAAACTCTTCGTATTCTCTCTGTCATTTACACGATTCACAGTAAATCAGTGTCTCTAACAGATATCAAAAGTTCTAATCAAGTTAATTGGTAGAATAGATACAATACAACCTTCAACATGTTAGTCCTTAAATAACTTTTAGTTAGTCGTCAAATTAGTTCCGAAATGCATGATGTGAGGACTAGTATATCATGTCAGAACTATAGATTTTTAATTTTTTTTTTTTAAAGAAAATTGGTATGAAAAGCATCACTGTTGATTACGATCCAAACTAGGTTGACATAATAATGCAAACCTTCATGGCTCGACGCTCCTTAACAAAGGTGGGTTGCACTTTGTCCTTTAGGTAGTCAATCTTCTCACTGAAGTACATCTCAGGTGCCCGAGGTTCTATAGAAAATTTCTTACAAAACGGTACCCACTTCCTAGCAAACTCTGCAGTTTCTGACAGGGACTCAAATGTACACATTGAGGCTCCATCATCCGAAATATAGCATGATATCTTATCAACTGGATAATCCATGGCCAAGATTGAAAGAACTGTGTTTCCTGTAACCAGAGGAGGTTCCTTCATAGGATCCACAGTACTAACAAAGACATCCACAGGAGCAAGCATGTTTGGTTCACCTTCACGCTCATACCTGAAAAACATTTTGGTGAGAAATAAGTTTAAACTTTGAGGTCTCAATATAATGACCCTAAAGAACCCCTTGTATAAATTTTACTGACCCAATCACGGCTTAAAAAAAATCAATTTTCTATTAAAGACACTTGTTTTATGAAAACAATTAGAATAAAGAACGACTTTCTATTATTTTCTGTCTCTAAATTAATTTCAGAGTTGTGGTTTTCCATGATTGAATTGTGCAACAGCCTTTACCTGATGGAAAGACGATCGAGGTAGGTCTCTCTATCAATGGGAAACCATTTGGGAAACTGATCCAGAATCCATGAAAAAGCAAACCAGATTTCACATATGATAGAGGTTAACCACAGCCCGATAGCATCATGCACGGGATTCATAAGTCTGTATCTGAGGAAGAAAGCAAGAATGACAAGGCGTGCAACAATCACCATTCTATATGGATTGATTTTGCTAGATGCTATTGGAACTTTCCTTGAAAGTGGTTGCCTTGCTTCATCTAACCTGCAATAATTGGCATCCACATTTACACAATGACCAATATATTATTTCGTTCATCTTAGTTGATTATCAATAACTGCATAAACATTGTTTCCTAAAATGGAGTACATGGCTGCATCTGGATCTTCATCAGATTCTGGCCCCAAATTTCCTTGCTGCAATTTCCAGTCATCCATCCTTTCTTTCCATCCGTCCTCTTTCTTTTCATCCCATCTGGCACTCCCTGCAGTAGCCATCATAGCACGCCACACAGTGAAGTACACAAAGAAAAACATTTCAAGGAGTTGCATACATTCATGTGTGAAAAGGTTTCTATTCTACTAATAAAGAGGGATTGCAAAATAGACCACCACTTCTTACCAGGTTCAGACACTGGATATGGATGCACTCGTTTATGCAGCGAAGAAGACAACATCTGCTCCCCATAACCATTAGATGATATTGGGAACTCCCCGCTTACCTGCATGGATGCATGCACGAAGATTGTTTAGTTGTATTTAAAACAAGAACAAATGGGTGGAAAGAAAATGGTGTCAAATCTTACAGGCCTAGAACGACCCCCAGCAATGACAGGTGTTGGGAACTGGGAATTCTCATCATCTTCAGGACCTCTTCCATAGCTCATCTTCCCATGAAGCATGGCCTCTGCAGCATGGCCATGCTTGTTCTTTTCCTCATCAATATTGAACTCATGCTCAATGTCATCCACGTCATCCTCCTCTTCATCTCCTTCCACCCGCGGGCTCCCTTAACGAGAAAACAGATCAAGATCGTATCAGGTTCCCTCCTTGTTTTAGCCATATGAGTTCATGTTCAACTAATTAAAAATAATTGGAAAATTTGAGTGCTGCCATTAGCACAATTAGTAGCACAAATAAAAAATGAAGTTTTAAATGTTTGAACGTTTTACTTGATCTATGCTTACTAAAAGAAAATGGAAACGTTCATTTTACATCACTATTTTATTCACTCTATTTGTGATGTGATAAAATGTTGAGTGAAGTGAAAAGAGTGAAAAACAAAGGAATATTTTTCAAAAAAAAGGATGTTAAAGGTGGTATATAAATATTTATAACTTTTTAAAATGAGTTGTTTAGTTTAGACACTACACAATAATGGGTTGAGAAAGATAAGGCAATGAAATATGCTTGGTGACTTACCTTTGAGACGCTTGTATTTGGTTTTGCACTGTGGACAAAGCTGGCTTCCTTCTCTTCTTTCATACTCATAGCAAGGCCTGCACACTGGAAAACCACACTCGTTGCAAGCCACAAACAAGTCTCCATCCACCGTGAGTCCCACGCCATCACCACAAATCTCACACACTTGACCATCCAAGTTCTTCAAAGGCTTGTGCTGCACCAAACCCCCATGACATAATAGTACTATTAATCCAACTGTTCCATGAAAACAAACACACTCACACACACAAAGAAAAGGGCCTTTGACGGCACTCGTTCTAGTAGTTTTTTTCATTATTTCTGCTACCACTACATTACCTCTTCATGGCCATGAATGACAACTAGCTCATTCCGGTTATGTGAACCAGCGACCAGTCCAGCGCTGGCTTCCATGTCTTGGTGGTGACTTAGAGAATGGGACAATGGGATGTGGTACAACACAACACAAAGAGTGTGGTGTGAAGGTGAGTTTGTGATCAAAGGTTTGTGTTTTATGAAGGAAGATTGGTGCTGTTGAAAGCCTTAGTATCCCTCACCTAATGTGTCCACATAAGGGTGCTGTTGTTGGTTGCAGGGTCTCCATTGCCTTAAAGCTAAGCTTCGTCTATTTTTCAACCACCATGGCTTTGAAGCCTCTCCAACAGTACACTGTTGTGTTTCATTTTCAAGCTTCCAAAAGAAATTACAAGCCTTCTCCAACCTCTCTCTGTTTTTTTTCACCCTTTGATCTAACTTTTTAGTTGATTCTTGCACAACGTTAATTTTTGAGTTGGTCATAAATCATAGTATAAGCTTAATTACTAGTGGGTAAGATGTGATAATGTGCCAAATTAGCCTGATATTGAAAGCTTGACTGATGTGAAAGGATGGTGAATTAGTATCAATCAAATGAGTTTTTTCTCCTTTGGTTTTTGGTAAGTTGCAGAACAAGTTGTTTAAAGGATTTAAGCAAAGTTTTGATCAAACCAAAATAATTTAAGGTGGATCGAGGTCAAACACTATGACGTTGTATTTATCTCACATCGCATCCATATTTAAATTCCATTACTTATTTCATATTAATTTGTAGTTTTAATTATATTTTTAATATCCCAGATTTAGAGTGATTTTAATTTTAGTTTTTCAAATAAAAAAAAAGTAGTCTTTTAAAATTTATAAAAAATATGATTTTTAATTTTTAAAGAGTAAACTTAAAAAATTAAAATGTATTTTTTAAATTATTTTTAGCTCTTCAAATTTAATACTTGAGGACTAAAATAATGTTTTTTTTTTAATTTTAGAGACTAAAATAATTCTTTTTCAAATTTAGAGACTAAAAAATTATTTACCCCAATTTCAAATATTACAAGTATAATTAAACTTAATTTCTATTTATTTTGATTATTTCAAATCTATGTAAAGCCTCATTCCCAAAATTTACATCTCCAAGAAAGTCTAATTTACTCATATAAACTCCATGAAAAATCAAATTTAGGCTTAAAATTTTCAAAATAATCTCTCATATTATACTTTAATTTTTTTTTTAATTCTTACAAAACTTGAAAATATGACTTTTTTATACATTTAAAATTTTCTAAAAAAAGGGTTCCAATTTAGAGTATTTCACACGTTTAAGGACAAAATTCACTACTTAACCCATATAAACTTTAACAAAATATTTCAATTTAATTTCTGTGATGAGACAGGTAGACACGAAATTTAACTTTATGGTCATGGATGCGAAAATTCAAAATACATTCTTTCGTCACAATGAACATTCCCAGATACCTTAGTAGTGGCAATTAAACTCTCACATCACACTTATAAGTTAAGGGAAAACTAAAATTAATAAGTAGGTAGACATTAAAAATATCAAATCATCATTACACGATTGAAATTATTTTAATTCAAATGTGAAGTTATTGTTATTAAAAATCAACTTTAAATTCTTCTCCATGATTTAGAAAATGGCAAAAACTTTAAGAACAAAATTTTGATTAACTTTTAAGGAAACTGTAATTGGATTCCCATTAACCCTGTCTTATTTTTTCTATCACTCAGAATGATCAATGTTGATGTTCATCCACAATTAATGATGCATTTGTATTCCACCAGAACATGCTCATTCGTATGTATGTTTTTGTGTCATTTGGACACTAACGTCGCTCATCAATACCTTATGCCACATGTGCAATAATAAAATATTGTAATTTTAGACTACGTGTGAAACGTGATTTTAATTTTTTTCTTTATTAGCTTATAATTTTATTTGACTTTTATTAGTAATATTTGATAAATAAGATTTTTTTTTTTTTACATGTTGTAGCACTACTTGAAGTTACTGTTTAAACACTACTTGAAGTTAGAATTTTTATAATGTTTCTATTCTAACTTTTTGTATTAATTTCTCATGTTAAGTATCTGTTTAACTCTTTTATATATGATGTTTTGATTGATTAGAGAAGAATGGATAAAATTAATACACAATTTTTTATGGGAATAAATTAGAGAGTAAATAATATAAAAAAACTATAAATAACTATACTACTTTTGCTATATTTTTAAGTATTTTATTATTTTCTTCATATTTTTCTCTATTTCTCTTCTACCTAACACTTTTAACTTTTATTTATTTCTGATGAATTTTCACTCTTATGTTTTATTTCCATAAATTTTTGTTTTCTTTTGTAAAAAAATGAGATAGTTAAGAATGGTGTAAATGTATCTTAGCGTGCCTTTTGATTATGCACTCTTGGTTATGATAAACTTTTTCAACATACCTGGCTGGTGTTAGATAATTAATCTTTCTGCTTAAAAATCTTTCAATGATAATAAGTTATAATCTTAAGAATAACATAAATTCACGCTAAAAAATTAATCGAATACTTTTTTATCAGGTACCCAATCTTTATTAATCAACTTAATATGTTAGACAAATTGCATAAATGTAAGTAACAGTGACAACAGACAACAGACATTGTAACGGAAAGTTAGAAACTAATAATATTATACGAAAACATTTTACTGTAATAGAATGTATCCTCATCATCAAACGCTTAACATCACACCTATAAATTCACAGTAAATTTGACTGGTCTATTCTTAAACAGTTCTGAAATGCAGAGAGAAAGAGAAAAGAAAATGAATATAAACAAAAAAATATACCATTGTAGAGTAGAGGTGTTGCTTTCAGGAGACTACGTTCTTTGCAAGCTAAAGAACATGTCATCAGCATTCTTGGAAGGGAAGTACTTCAAAGCTAAGCTACCCTCAAATCGTTAGGTGCGTAAGTTACAGCTTCTACATCTTACGATAGAGTAGCCTCTCCAACCTTGAACCACAATATAAAAAGCATATGAAGAACTCTTATTGATCAGAAAATGATGTTTTCCCAGCTAATGCGTATATTGTTGTGACAGTACTACTTGTGATTTAAGTCTCGCACTAGTCACTAGTTTGACATGTACTGTAATCGAAAAGTATCAATATTTCTGTCTATTTCAACCATTCAATAATAATAAGGATAAAAGTAAAGAACTTCCATAAATAATTGGTTAAACTACAATGATATAATCGTTTGTTTAGGATATTTTCTTTTGTTACGATGGTACAATATGTTGATATTTTGGATGGATTATCATAGAAAGATATTTGCAAGTGCATAATCCATCAACTTGGTATTTTTCTGAGGGATTAAAATCAAGAATTATTTATAAATGGGACATAAGCCGATCATAAAAAAAAAAATCCATTTCAATTCAAAACCTTAAAAAATTAAGGTTATAGATTTTTTTTTATTTATACCCAGTATGAAATTTTAGTTCAACCTTCAATTCCAACACTCTTGTTGATCAATTTTGGTAGTCCTTAAACTTTCTGTGGAGCTGCTTTATTTGGAACCATAATTATAAAGATGTTTCTGTCACGAAAGCTTTTAGTCTCTTCTGTTGCAAGCTGCACATCAACCAGGTGGGGTTTGAATACACAATTTAAATGCTTAATAGAATGAAGAGCTTACGGGGACAGAAAAAATAGGGAGGGATCCATATGCTAAGACCTTTTCTGGTTATAGACCATGTTCGATTTAACATTTCCTAATTTTACAAATAATTACAAAATACTACAACTTTTCCTTTTTTTTCTTTTTAAAAAAAAAAAAAAAGATAAATGTTGGTAACATTCTTTCCCTGTCACTCTACTATTGTATAGAAATAAAATAAAAAATTGTTGGATCTTACTTCTAAATCCAGAGATTTGATAAACAAAAAAATGAGACATGCTGTAAGTTGACATTTTTAATAAATTTCAGCGGTAAAAAAAGTTTTTGAGAAAGAGTTTCTTTAAAGATTGTAAACTAAACACAACCAATAAGCAAACAACAAAATTTATTCACTCTTTCCCAAACAAATATCTAAAAAACAGAAAATAAAGTAAAAATAAGAAGAATGTTTTATAATTATAGGAAAAATGTTAAAAAAATGAATTTTTCAAACGAAATTGTCTCTCATAATATATATATATATATATATATATATATATATATATATATGTATATATGTATATATGTATATAGCCCAACACAACTGAAAATTTCTTGTTACCTTGTGACCATCTTTCAAAAAGTTCCTTGCAGCTTTCAACCGCACAAAATAATATCTATGCTGTATCTGTTAATAAAAATTTAAAGAGATTAGTTAAATAAACAGTCACCATAAGGCAAAAATAATAAAGCATAATTAACCTATAAGCTAACTACAGTTCCTAAAAACCAATGCATGTCACTACTCTTATTGGATTCATGTTATTATCCAAAGTTACATTTTGTATTTTTTAGGATTGGTGTGTAAAAGAATTCAATGATAGGCTTTTCAAAAAAAAAATCATTCTTGAATTTATCATCTCCATTTTCAAGCAGAAACCAAAGCAACCCTGAGAAAAAAAAAACATAAATATAGAATAAGTTTTATCATGACTGTGGGCCACGATTGCTTCATAGAATGGACTGGCCAATCTAGAATGTCTTCGAGGAAGACTATTGGAAATATTTTGTAAAATAAAAATATAGAAATAATGGAATTTGTAGAGAAAAAAAAAAGAGACTAAACTTGAGGAAAATAATCATTCAAACACACTTAGATAATCTAAGAATATCTCTCAAAATAATGAGGAAATATGTATTGATGATATTGCAAGTATGTATTTTTCATTGATGTCACTAATATCTTTTTCAGACCAGCATAAATTAAGATATCTATTGAACTCAAAAGACTAGAATCGTTCATGTTAGAAGTAATTAAGTATGTATTTGTATGTGTGTGATTCTCATTTGACTCTTTATCATATATGCACACATTGTATCTAAAGCCTAAACCAGATTTGTGTTTTCCAGAGGATCCATTGTCTATTGGTGCTAAATTTTTTTCAGAAATCGTGTTAATTTGATTTCAGTTTTCCTCTTCATCTTAGCTCCTTTGTAGTTGTCTTTTTCTCTCATTCTCCATTGTTCCCATTGCCGCTGCCATCTCTCACCACAGCCGCCACCGTACTAGCCAGCAACTCCACCACCAGCATCGCCTTGACCAGACGATTACATGGCATCTGGCCAGCTCTCTAGCAGCGATCATCAGCATTGGACTCACCTAGCTTCCCTTTCTCCACATTTGTCCTCACCTTTGTGATCAGAGCCTGTTTTGTTAGAAATGTAGGCTGAGATCAAGAGGGGGGTGAATTGATCTTTGAAAGATTTTCGCAATTTACAGATTATCTATTTCAAAGATTAAGATTTCTGACCAGTTCTTGAATCACACACAGCAAGCAATCAAAATAAAAGCAGTGACAGAATTAAAAGAGAAAGGTTTAGAAAGATACAACTGAGATTTATACTGGTTCACCCAATCCCAAGGCTACGTCCAGTTTCCAGCCAAATTTCAGCTGGGTTCCACTAGATTGAACGTTTTACAGATTACAACTTTAATCTCACACTCAATCTACCACAAGAACCACAATTCCACTTCCTGCACCTAAACCTTCACCAAGAAGCAAATTCCAGTTCTTGATCTACCCTGCAGCCAAATTCCAGCTACAGAAACCAGTATCCACGATTCCAGGCACCCACAATACAGTAAAAGAAAGTAAAGAAACAAATAGAAGAAACTTAGAACGCTCAAACCAGATTTATGCAGTTCTGCAGTATGTGTTTCTTCTACAAAAGAATGCAATTTTGCCTCAAGAAAGAACTTCAATGAACTTCACAAAAACTAGCGTGATTCTTTATTGAAAGTAGCACTTATGATTGCTTTGATTGATTGCTAAAAGATGTGTTTTAAAAAGTTCAAGCAACTCTGTTTATATAGAAGATTTTTAAAACTGCTGGTTTATTTAATCTGTTAAAATAATCTTTTAATCTGTTAAAACGTTCTTGATTATTTTCCAGATTTGTTTTAACTGATACGATACCGTTTATATCAATTAAAACTCTTTGTAAAAAAACTTCCAAACTGTTTTAATCGATTGTTTCGTCTTTCAATCGATTAAAATACTGCAAAATATTCTTATAAACTTTTCTAAGTGATTTTAACTGATAACAATTTGTTTTAATCGATTAAAACGCTTAGTAAAAATTCTCTTAAGTTGTTTTAATCGATTAAAACGCAGTTTAATCGATTAAAAATATTCTGATCGATCAAAAACTCATTCTGATCGATCATAAACTCATTTTGATCGATCATATGCTTGGATTACATCGATTAAACAATACTCCAAGTGGTTTTAATCGATTATTTCGAAGTTATATCGATTAAAATACTACCAGAACACTTCCTCGAACATTTTAAGTGATTTTAATCGATTATTTCGAAACTATATCAGTTAAAACACTGACAGAAGGTTTTCAAAACTTCCTTTAATGAAAACAATCGATTATTTCGAAAACATATCAGTTAAAAACCTGTTACAAAAGTATTAAGAACATTTTAGTTGATAAAGCTTATATGCTATTAGTTAAAATAGTTAATTAAAAAACCTTTTATCAAAATACTTTGTTTTTAACCGTTTAAACATTTTTTAGAGGCAATTGCAAAATCTTTTAAATGAAGAAACCTCATGCAGCAGAAAGATAAAAATGATTATACCTAAGCAGAGATGCAGACTCACTAATCCCACTACCCTTTCATCTAAGTGACCTTTGACTGCCACAGAGTAGCCTTTGACTTCATTTTTTACTTCATCAAATCAACAAGATCTTTGCCAAAGTAATTCAATAAGATCTTCATCACTTTCATGTTTTACGTTCCTCATCTTTTTGGAGACCTTTGCTCTATCCATTGCTGATTTTTTAATTTCAAGATCAACCAGCATAAGCACAAGCGCACAAGAGGCCCATAATCTTAAAAGTGTAAACCATATCATTCCAAAGTGAAGGTATAAGAATGGTGTTGGCTGCCATTGTTGCCTTATGATCTTTAGAAACATTAGTCTTCATCCATTCATCCAAAGTGAACTTTTTTTTAAGATTATTACCGGATTACACAACCTCTGCAAGGTAAGAAATGAAGTAGCAAACCTTGCCACTCCATTTTAACCAACTCCACCTTGTTTGTGACCTTTCTCAACATGTACAAGGCGAATGTGTGGTTATAGATGAAACTAACAAGACTAATACCTCTTTGAATAGACTTTTTAACTTCAGCCATTTTCCCAGTGCTTCTAGCATCAAATCTAGGCAATGGACAACACAAGGTTCTAAAAGTTTCCCTAAGACCAAAATCATTAAATTTACAATGAGTAACAAACTAACAATTACTAATTAAAATTGGGAAACTAATCAGGAAAAAAGATTTGCATAAGTCTTACCAGCCAACAAACACATAATTACTTTTATTGTCCGTTGTCACTTGCACTACATTTTGTTCTCCAATCACCTCCACAGAACCATTTATGAGCTCAAATAATTTATCTTTGATCTTCATATAGCCCGGAGCATCAACACTTTCAACAAACATTGATCCACTTGGACAATTCACCAATATGTTTATCAAGGATCAACTCCTTTTATCAGTCCATGCATCCGACATGATTGAGCATCCATATAATACCTGTTTTTCTGAATGAAACTGAAACAATTCTTTTCTGTATTCCAATTCCTTTATAAGGAGTGGAACCCTACACTCATAATAGTCTGGTACCTTTTGGTTAGGACCATAATTTCCAATTGCCTCAACCATCAATTTGAAACTTTTGAATTCACAACATTAAAAGGAATACCACATTTGTAAAAAAAAAAAAAAAAAAAAAAAAAAAACACATCTTTATATACTGAATAGTTCTTGCTCTAGCTTCTTGGTAACAAGTATCATTTATGCTTGTTTGCTTCTAAGTTTTTCCCAATTTGATATTTGTTTTCGGTTCCCTAAAAATGCAAGTCTGTGGACCATTTGACATTGCTGCCCCTCTTTGCAGCAGGTATAAAACAGGCTAGATTACATGTTGACGAAGGCCTTTTCCTTTCCAGATATTCAAAATTTCTTTCACTTCTACCATCTTGGTCTTCTTGCAACTCATTCATGTTAGTTTCTTTTCCCAAGATTCCTTCAGCTAGGCTCTCACATTAGCTTGAGGTTTTTTGCTAGCTCCAACATCCCCCCTTATTAACCGCTTGTAATTGCTTCTTTCCTTGCTCCTCTCTTTACCTCACGTCCTGTATAATATATCCCACAATGCCACAGTGTTTTCTGTCCCTCCATCAAGAGACCCATCGTACATGGGATTTACTTACTCACATTCCTCATCATCCTTTATTGTAGAGCAGATACCCTGCTGCTCATGTAACTTCCTCCCAACATATACCTTTGTAGGTGGGTATTTATCGGTTTGTCTAAGAGTAGCACGACACAAAGTTTACGAGAAGATGCTTAAAATTTAAAATGCTCAACCTTTTATTTCTGCTAGTTTGAAGACACACAATTAAAAATCACCACTATATTTCCATGAAATGAAAAAGCCAAAACAATCGGAGGTATATATGTTATGCTTTTCAAGAGGAACCATAGTCAAACTGTCTAAATTTAGTACCCATAAGTTCTAACCAGTACTTATTACAATATAAAATTATTTATATTTGAACAATAAGAACATGTCAGAATTCCATACACATTAGAGAACATATGAGTCTCAGAAATAAAAGAAAAACAAATAAATAAGGAAGAAGGATCTAGGCTGTAACATTACCCCATTTTGAGCTCCTTCAAATCCATCCGATTAGCTGCAGTTGAACAAATCTGTATTTAATGTGGTGATTAACCTGAGTTTTATATGAATTGGAAGAAAACAGTAAAAATTGAAAGAAAACAAAAATGCAATAATTAACAGAACTTCTTTTCTGCTGTCCTTTTTTCCTCTTTTGCAATGCACACACACACACACACACACATATATATATATATATATATATATATATATATATATGTAAAAAAATATAATCATTTATAAATATCAAGATTTAAAACGATAAGTATATAGAACAGATAGGAAAAAAAAAACACTAAAGCAAATATAGTCTTTCGTCAACCACATGCTTTATCTTGTTGTAGACTGATTTTAATTTAATTCTCTAAATTTTATACATGTGAGTTGAATTGAAACAGATAATGGCCTAGCATAGAAATAAATGAATATACACACTACCATATAGAAGCATAGCATCCATTTATAGACAATTGAATGCCTTTATAGACAACTAACCATGTTAGCCTCACGGATGCTGACATGTTAATTCAAATCACGGTAACCAATTCAAACAATTGAATCAAAATGTGCTCGCAACGAGATTTGCAGAACAGTACTGAGTGCGGCGATATCGAGGGGTTACTGTTCGTCATTGGAGCGTAGGGTGAAGGAAATGGAAGATTTGAAGAGGGTGCGGTTAGAGTGTTGTGAATTGGAAGGGAAATGATGAAGGAGAAGAAGAGGGTGTTTGAGTTTTGGTTGGTGTTTGGAATTAAAACTGAAATTGAAATTGACGGGAACTTAGAGAAGTGGGAGTGAAAGTGGGCCCACCCATGCTCAACACTCGGTTTTTAGTCTCGCCCATATACGTGTCATGTCTTTCGTTTCTTCGCCTCACGTGTTCGCACTCGCAACGTTCCTGGTATTAAATAACATTGTCATTTTATAACTCAATATAAAGTAAAAATAAAAATAAAGGTAAAAAAAGTTACAGTATAATAAAATACAAATTTAATGAAAATGACTCAGATGATATGGATAATGAGTTTTTGAAAATATTTATCATGTTTAAAAAATTATATGATACAAAATATCATAAACAATTTTTGAAAAAATTACATCAACTTTAAATTTCTTGGAAATAAAAAATTGAATACATAGATAGACAATAACTATAACTTCAATGAATCAGAATTTTTGTTTAAAAAAACTTTGGATGAAGTTTTTCATGTTTTACTAAAACATGAGAATTTGATGTTTTGGAATTGGGATTTCGGGGTGTATTTGTGTACTTGTCAGTTAATCATTACACTTTCACGAGTACGATGATGTATGCATGTTAAGATACTGATTTATTTACTTGATCTTTAAGTTATGATTTCACTTTTTTTTTTTATAATTTTTTGTTAATTTAGGGACATGAGTAGTTAAGGTTCTATGATGCTCAACTTTTGAAATTTTAAACTTTTATGTATATGAGATGAAAGGCAGATTATTTTATTTATAATAGGTTCTCTTTTTTATTTAAAATATTAAAAAAATAAAAAAGTAAATAGATGAAATTGGTATATGTTTGATTTTTTATAATAATACTTGTTGAATATAGAAGAAATAGAGTTTTGGATTAATCTACTTTGTGTATAAATCACACATAGGGTAGTCTATTTATAGTAGAGAGATACAACTAAAAGAGAATCGAAAGTAACAGAATAAACGAGAAGATATTGTTTGATATTGTGGTTAACAATATCTTAACAATATCAAATAATATCTAAATAATATCTAACACTCCCCTCAAGCTGGAGCATACAAATCGTATGTGTCAAGCTTGTTACAAATATAATCAATTCTAGGATCCCGTAAAGATTTAGTAAAAATATCTGCTAACTGATCACTTGAGTTAACAAACTCAGTCTTAATGTCTCCAGACATAATCTTTTCTCGAATGAAATGACAGTCAATCTCAATGTATTTGGTCCTCTCATGAAAGACAAGATTAGAACTAATATGAAGAACAACCTGATTATCACACACAAGTGACATCTCCAAATTGTAACTCTCTAAGCAATTGCTTGAGTCAAACAAGTTCACAAGCAACTGAGGTCATAACTCTATATTCTGCTTCTGCACTAGATCTTGCCACAACACTTTGTTTCTTACTTTTCCATGAGACCAAGTTACCACCAATGGAGACACAATATCCAGATGTAGATCTTCTATTCGAAGGAGATCCTGCCCAATCAGCATTTGAGTAGCAAACAACTCTTGTATGATTATTAGAATCATATAACAATCCTTTTCCAAGAGATCCTTTAATATACTTTAAGATACGAATGACTGCATTCCAATGATCTGCACATGGGGAATTAAGAAATTGGCTTACCACACTGACTACAAAGGAAATGTCAGGACGAGTAACTGTAAGATAATTCAATTTTCCAACCAATCTTCGATACTGCTCAGGATCAGGTATAAGCTCCCCCTGATTTGGTAGAAGTTTAGTATTGGGATCCATGGGCGTATCAACAGACTTTGAATTCATCAACCTAGTTTCCTCCAAAATATCCATGACATACTTCCTCTGACATATAACAATACCATCATTGGACTGTGCCACCTCAATACCCAAGAAATATCTAAGTTTGTCAAGATTTTTGGTCTGAAAATGGTGACAGAGATGTTGTTTCAACTGAGAGATGTCATGGTTGTCACTACCTGTAAGAACGATGTCATCAACATATACTATCAAGTAAACACATCCAGCACTTGAGTGTCGATAAAAGACAGAGTGATCTGCTTCACACCGAGTCATACCAAATTGTTGAACAACCTTGCTAAACTTTCCAAATCAGGCCTTAGGAGACTATTTTATGCCATATAGGGATTTACGAAGACGACATACCATCCCAGAAGACTCCCCCTGAGCAACAAACCCAGGAGGTTGCTTCATCTAGATTTCTTCTTGCAAATCACCATTGAGGAAAGTATTTTTAACATCTAGTTGATAAAGAGGTCATTGTTGAAGAGCGGTCATGACGATAAATAAACGAACAGAAGTCTTATTTGCCACAGGGGAAAAGGTATCTTCATAATCCAACCCAAAAATTTGAGTATAACCTTTGGCCACAAGACAAGCTTTGAGGGGATCAATAGTACCATCATGTCCAACTTTGATAGCAAACACCCACCTGCAACCAACAACAGATTTCCCAGATGATAACGAGACCAATTCCCAAGTTCCACTATTATGAAGAGCACTTAGTTCATCTAACATGGCCTGACGCCAACCAGGATGGGCTAAAGCTTCACGGACAATTTTTGGAATGGTCACAGAAGAAAGAGAGGAAAGACATGTATAAAAAGGTAATGACAGTCGATGATAACTCAAACCAATATAATGGGGAGAGGGATTACGTGTAGAACGGATACCTTTTCGGAGGACAATGGGAAGGTCAGACTCAGGTGTCACATCTGGAGGAGACAGAGTAGTTGACACTTGAGTAGAGTCACATGGTGGTGGTTGTGATTGGTTTCGGCAACTATAAACCTGAAGAGGCAGTGAAGAAGAAGCTGACTGCGGAGTAGAAATTAATGGTGAAGAAGACACAGTTAGAGGGTCACAAACAACATGAACATTAAATGTACTAGGAGTGTTGACAATATTGGATGGAGAAAGAGGTGAAGATTGACTTTTAAAATAAAAAGAGAACTCATCAAAGGTGACATCTGTAGACACAAAATAACAGTTAAGAGAAGGAGAAAAACATTTGTATCCTTTTTGTGATCTTGTAAACCCTAAGAAAACACATTTATGTGATCTAGGAGAAAGCTTGTCAAGACCAGAACTGAAATTATGAACAAAACATGTAGACAAAAAAACTTTTAGAGGTAAGGGATGAAATGGTTCATGAGGGAATAAAATGGAATGAGGTATTTTATCATCTAAAACCGAAGATGGCATGCGATTAACAAGATAATATGCAGTAAGAAGAGCATCACCCCAAAAATGTTGAGAAACCTCTCCATGAATTAAAAGAGTGCGAGTTGTTTCAATAAGATGTCTATTTTTACGTTTAGCTACACCATTTTGTTGAGGTGTATAAGCACAAGAAGTTTGATGCAAAATACCATGAGAAGCCATGCATTGTTTAAAAGAATGAGAAAGATAGTCACGATCATTATCACTGCGCAAAACTCTAATAGAAACACCGAACTGAGTTTGAATTTCATTGAAAAAAGTTTGAAAGATATGAAATAATTCAGAACGATTTTTCATCAAAAATAACCAAGTGCATATGGAATAATCATCAATGAAAGTAACAAAGTATTGAAAACCTAAAGTAGACTTAACGCGGCTAGGTCCCCAAATGTCAGAGTGAACCACGACAAAAGGGGACGAAACACCACGTGTGACACTACGAGGAAAGGAAGTACGACTATGTTTGCCTAATTGACACGACTCACATGTCAAACTAGACAATTTAGATAAGGCAGGGACAAGTTGTTGTAACTTGGCAAGACTGGGATGACCTAACTGAGCATGGAGAAGAGAGGGAGACTCTATAACTGCACCAACATGTGTAAAGGGACGAAGATGATAAAGACCATGAGACTCACATCCTGTGCCAATCACCTGTTTCGAACTCCGGTCCTGTAAACACACAGAATTGTTGGTAAAATAAATAACATAATCAAGAGAACGAGTTAGAGGACTGATGGATAACAGGTTAAAAGGAGACTCAGGGACATAAAGAACATTATCAATGGTTAAAGAAGGGAAAAGTTTAACCGTTCCAACACCATGAGATGATACTCTAGATCCATCAGCCAGTGTAACAAAAGGCAAAGGATTAGGAGAGGGTAAAGAGGAGAACAAAGATTTGTTACCAGTAATATGATCAGTGGCTCCTGAATAAAAAACCCAAGGACCAGAAGAAGATTGGGTTAGACCAGCAAAAGATGTACCTGTGTGTGCGACAGACACAATGGAACTAGAAGACTGTTGATCCTTATACCATTTGAGAAATTTGTTGAACATAGCAGGTGTGTCTGATGAAATAGAAGAAGGAGGATCCTTAGCAGATAAAGGTGGGAAAAGATCAGTCTGAGCAACTGCAATAGATCGAGGAGGACGACCATGTAATGCATAACACTTGTCAATCTTGTGACCTAGTTTGCCACAATGTTCACACTCATGTAATGCATAACACTGGTCAATCTTGTGACCTAGTTTGCCACAATGTTCACACTTAGGACGCCATTTTCCTTGTTTGCGAGGGCGAGTTCGGTCATCACGGTGAGATACCAATGCAGAAACAGGTGTGTTAGGGTTGAGTTTTGCTGGTATATGCAAAAGAGTGGAGCAGGTCGATGTCAAGGTGGAGACAACCGGAGAACCCAAAATATGATCACGAATATGTGAATATTGATTAACAAGTCCGTGTAATGCCCCTAGCATGAAGAACTTTGATCGTTGTCCTATCTCAGTGGCAGGGTCGGGGGAAGGAGGCAATAACTCATTGAACTCATGAAAAATAGCATGAATTTTTCCCATATATTCAGTCATAGAATCTTGATGTTTAGAGGCAATAACATCTACAAATTTAGAACATACATCATAGAGACGTTGAGTATTATTGGTGTATAATAACTTGGCATGTTCCCAGATTTTGGCACATGTTTCGTAGGAACGAAAAAATTTGTTTTAACGAAGGATCAAGAGTACCCTTGAGAACCACACATAATTGAGCATCAATGGTGTCTCAACGGTCTTCCTCACCAAGAGTGAGAGCAGGTGCTTTCGGGGCAAGATGATCAAGATACTTCTGACTCTTAAGCCATAATCTGACGTCTGATGACCATGTGGCATAATTAGGGCCAGTTAACTTGTCAATGGATAAGTGCACATTAACATAGTTA